TTAAGACCGGCACCTTGAAGCTTCAAGGGAATTCGACCTTGCCACGTCCATGACCCTTGATGAGCGCCGATATCGAACCGCATCGTTCAAAGGCTTTCAGACAATGCATGAGATCTGGGGCAACGGCCATTGAGGTTGGTGTCGCCATCTACCTGCTTGAGCGACAGCTGGGCGTTGCCTGCGTTGTGCCTGTTGCGGTTTCAATATGTAAGCCCCATGCCAGTTTCTATGTCGCCAAAGTCCAGTCGTGTTCGGTATTGCAGGGCTAACACGCCGTAGTATCTCTACTGGGGTCCATCTTTGCTATGAACTTCATCATGTCTCGCCAGGCCATGTGGCTCGAGGCCATTGAGAAACGCATCTCGGCCACTTCGGCCATGCTTTCGTCCATGAAAGGAGTCAAGATGTGTGGCCTCAAGGACACCCTCCTTGCAGGATTGCAGCAACTGCGTGTAGACGAGCTGCGGATTTCCAAGAAGTTTCGAAAGTTGCTCATCTGGAACATGGTTTTCGGTAAGTTCATTTCATCGAGGACAGCATACCACACAAACATAAACTAACCAAGAATGACAGCCTACGTAACGCAGGTGTTTGCCCCCGTCTTGACCTTTGCCGTCTTTTCGGTCCGTGCTCGTGACAGCGGAGATGCAACCCTGGATACGGCACGCGTCTTCACGGCCCTGTCGTTGTTTGCCCTGCTCTCGGAACCCCTGGCCTCCCTCGTCATGGCACTCGCTGCTTATTTGGGGGCCGTCGGCAGCTTCGTCCGGATCCAGCAATTCCTTGAGTCAGAGGAGCGCGCAGTTACGCCCAAGCCTGATGAGCTGACCGAAAAGCCCAAGATTAACGAGTTGTCGCCTGATGCCATCGCCGTTCAAGGGGGCAGCTTCGGGTGGGATGCTGAGAAGGAACCCATCCTGAAGAACATCAATCTCTCCATTCCCTGGCACAAGTTGACCATGATCGTCGGGCCAGTGGGCTGTGGCAAGTCTACTCTATTACAGTCGCTCCTCGGAGAGGTTCCTGCCCTGGCAGGCTCGGTGCGACTCGGGTCAACCAGCATTGGCTATTGCTCCCAGGACCCCTGGCATATGAATGGCACTGTCAAAGAGGCCATTATAGGCTGCGAGGAGTACGACTCGACCTGGTATACGAGGGTTATCCATGCGTGCTCTTTGAAGAGAGACTTTCGAGAGCTGCCCCTGGGCGACTCTACTCGCATCGGGAGCGGGGGTATCGCACTAAGTGGCGGGCAAAGCCAGCGTATAGTGAGTTTTCCCCTAGCTGCACCCTGGAACCTTGACACAACAACTAACCTGCCCCAAGGCGCTCGCTCGGGCGGTATATTCTAGAAGAAAGATCGTCATCATGGATGATGTGCTCGGTGGGCTTGACAACACAACCGAGCACCACGTCTTTCATAGCCTTCTTGGCCACAACGGACTGCTCCGTCAGATGAATGCGACGGTGGTCATTGTCTCCTCATCAGGTATATTTACCAACCAAATGGTGAATCCATGGGCACTCTCTAACCTGGACGATAGTCAAACGGCTCCCATTCTCCGACCACATTGTCTGCATCAGTCCAAACGGGGAGATCAACTCACAGGGCACATTCACCGACCTCAATGCTGCTGGGGGTTATGTGTCCTCATTCTCCCTACCTCGCCCTGACTGGACATATACCCCCGAGAGTGACGATCAGATACTCCCTGCTGAACTTGTCAAGGTTCAAGATGATATTGCCATAGCCGAACGCAAAGACTCGGCCTCTACCGCTTCGCTGTCGTCGGGGGATACCGCATGCCCTGCCACAGCTGAAGAGGGAATGAACCGACGGACTGGCGACGTGCAAATCTACATGTACTACATCAAGTCGGTTGGCTGGTGGGCGAGTCTGATCTTTGGGCTCGCCGTCATTGGCTTTGTCTTTTGCCTCTCGTTTCCGAGTAAGTGGACTTACCCAAGGTCTCCCAGCCAGAGATCGTTAAGGGGCTGGGGCGTGTCACTAACAGGGCTTTACAGCGATATGGGTGCAATGGTGGGCTGCGTACAATGAGTCGGACCCCAACGGAAACTTGGGGTACTGGCTCGGCATCTATGCTGGGCTTGGAGGCATCGCCATCGTCTGTTTGTTCATCAGCTGCTGGTGAGCATCACTCCTGTTGGGACCCTGCGCACTATTCAGAACCGTGCTAACAAGAATGTAGGCAAATGATCATAACTATGGTGCCCTTGTCTGGGGAGAAGTTTCACCTTGCCTTGCTCAAGACGGTCCTCAGCGCGCCCATGTCGTTCTTCGTCAAGACAGATTCGGGTGTGACCCTGAACCGCTTCAGTCAAGATCTGCAATTGATTGACATGGAGCTACCCACGGCGGCCCTTAACACCTTTGCCAGTGAGCACCGTTTCTTCCCCATTACAGGTTGAGTAAGACTAACATTGTGGCAGCATTTGTTCTATGTATTGCCCAGATGGCGCTCATCGGCTACGGATCCGTCTACGCGGCCATCTCGTTTCCCATCGTCTTGATCTCATTATACCTTATCCAGAAGGTATATCTTCGCACCTCGCGACAGTTGCGGTTCATGGACATCGAGACCAAGGCACCGCTCTACTCGCTCTTCGAGGAGTCACTCAGCGGCATTGCCACAATCCGCGCTTTTGGATGGCAGGACAAGCTGAACGACAGGAACCACCAGCTCCTCGATCGCTCGCAGAGGCCCTTCTACTTGCTCTTTGCCGTCCAGCGCTGGCTCACGCTTGTCTTGGATCTAGTCGTTGCAGCTGTCGCCGTGCTTCTGATGGTACTCGTTGTCGCCCTCCGTGGTACCATGGCCGCCGGGGGGGTCGGACTCGCGCTGCTCAACGTGATCCAGTTCAGCCAGAACATCAAGCTACTGGTGACCTTTTGGACCAATCTCGAGACGCACATTGGTTCGGTGGCCCGTATCAGGAGCTTCACGGAGACGGCAGTGCCAGAGGACCAACCGGAGGAGAACCAAGATCCTCCGCCAGGCTGGCCATCGGCTGGTGCTATCGAATTTGACAATCTGTCCGCGGCTTATACGTGAGTTCTCAACCGACAAGTTACAACCCGAACGCTGCGCTAATATCTGTTGCTTTCTGCAGCCGTGATGACCTCGTGTTGAAACAGGTATCCCTATCAATCAAAGCCGGGGAGAAGATTGGCGTTTGTGGGAGAACCGGAAGCGGCAAAACATCCCTCATCATGACCCTATTCCGCCTCGTGGATATGGAAGGCGGGTCGATCCGCGTAGACGGGGTGGACATTGCTACACTGCCGAGACAAGAGGTTCGCAGCAAGATCGTCGCAGTGCCACAGCATCCGTTCCTCCTCAAGGGTTCCGTTCGTTTGAATGCGGACCCGATGAGCCAGGCATCGGACGAGGACATCGTGGCAGCTCTTCAGTGTGTACAGGTGATGGAGGCCGTTGAAAAGAATGGCGGCCTGGACGCTGATGTTGACGATTTGAACCTCTCGGTTGGACAAAAACAGCTGTTTTGCCTGGCTCGAGCCATGTTGCGCCCCAGCACCATCCTCATTCTAGATGAGGCCACCAGCAGGTATGACCTTTTGGCTTTCCTTTGTCACCGCCTCCTATTTGCGCAGTCCAGTTAACATAGCCCACAGCATCGATGCGAAAACCGAAGAGACGATGCAGCGACTGATCCGACGGAAATTCGCTGACCACACTATTATCGCCGTGGCTCACAGAATCGAGACTATCATGGACTTTGACAAGGTTGCCGTTCTAGATGCAGGCAGGCTTGTCGAGTTTGACAATCCGTACAGTCTTCTGGAGGTACCTGGGTCTGCTTTTGGGAGGCTGTACAACACAGCCCTGGCCGAAGAGGATGATGATTTGCAGAAGAAGAATGTAACATAGGTAGACAGCGCTATTAAGCCTGTCATGAGCTATGGCGATCCCTGGCTTTCCGCCCCCAATGTCCGTCAAAATGGAACTCCTGGGCGCACCATTGATTTCGCTAGCGCCCTTGGCGAGTCGAAACCGTACTTTTCGCCAATCGCATCTTCAGGCTGCGATGGTCAGGCGTCCTGAAGGATTTCCAGAAGCCTGGCCGAGGCCCATTCATCCTGCCGTTCTGCCGTTGTGCCGTTGTGCCGTGGATTGAAGGGGGGAACAAACAAAAGCAGCATGGTTGCCGCCTTAGCAAGTTGTCGGGTTCTCTCGCAATTCAACACTCAACACTCGCAGTAACCCACCATGTCGAAGCCACCACGTCTGGCCGCGCTCCGGTACCGCGCAAAACCGGCGCTGATTGCCACTGCCTACGTTATTGTGCTAGTGGTCCCATGGATCTTGACGTGCGTCCTGTCGTCTCGGACTATCCGACAGTCTTGGGACAACTCAGGGGCAGTTGAGCGAGAAACGGCCGAGAATCTCCACCGAGTCTCTTTTCTTATCGATGCCCTAAATTTGATTGCAGCAGTAGCTGCGTTGCCTGTCATCTACGCGCTCCTTGCGCGTGCGGCCGTTGTTTTCTCACAGCGGACGGACAACCGCAAGACACTGAACGTGAAGGAGCTCATGGCCTTGGCGGACAGGAACTTTGTTCGTGATGGTTTCCTGGGAAGAATAGGCGCCAAATCTTCTCTGTTCCTCCTGGGGGTTGCCCTCGTCCTGCTCGGTAAGTTGCTTAAAACCCCTTCTTTGTACAGGGAACCAGGACGCTCACAATATACAGCTGTTGTTCTCCCACCGATCCACGCCATTTTGGTCTCCACAGAACCTAAACTCTTCCCGGAATCTTCCCGATACTACAAGAAATATCTACTGAACGGTTGGGTCGGTGAGCGAGTAGGTGTGGACCCAACAATCTCCACCCTCACAGGCATACCGCGAGACCTTGTCGTCGCGAAGACGCGGAATGCCCTGATCAACGCCTTCCCCACGGAGTGGACGGCCACGGCGTGGTATGATCCTGATGCGGACGAGGATGATGATGCGGCAGATGCCGGTCGTTATTTTGCCTCTTCGTTGCCTCGGGACACGACTACGGGCCTGTATAAACAGCATGCGCTTCGGATGAACAGCAGCTCAATGTGTAACGAAATACCGGCCTCAGAAGTCCCCATACGCTGCCCTGGGAGCTACGATCGTGTATTCTACACCTCCTACGACAATGCAAACTTGACCGTCAACATCTGCCTACAAACCCCGGAGGGTAGGAGTGGCCCCTGGAATTACACCGAAGACCGGCAGGAGTTGACCGAGACCTTATACATTACCGCTTCCAGCCCCTGGGCTCGTAGTGGTCGGACGCCTTACGCAAACGGCACCCTGCGTTGCATCGGAAAGACTAGCATGGGGTACTTCGAACTCGGAAACTCCTTCAATGGCGGCAAGTTCGGCCCGCTGCTATCTTCCTTCGACTTCCCCCCCGGCACCGGAAACCCGGAATTTAGCGACGACGTGCGCAAGGCCTGGTGAGCAGAATACCATACCCTTCCCTCAGGTTGCCTCACACGATGCTGACATTGACACATTCCAGGTACCCCAGTGTAGGTCTATTTAACCCGAGCTACGTGGGGGGGGAGTATGTGCGCGATTACGGCACCTCGAGAGACGAATATCTCGGTGCTTACGGTCCGCTCATGCTCGCGGCACACGCCATGTTCGGCGCAGGATCCTTCTTCGACCTCGCACAATCCATCCGCGAGCCCAACGACACGCTGTCCCAGGCCCTTTGTCAGCTGAGCCCCATCCCCTTCTCTCGCCTCTCTCCCGGCCTAAGCCGCTGTGACCCGCAAGACACCAGGTCGAGCTCAACTATCTCTTCTAGCCGGCGTGGAAGATTTGCCTCCAGGCATGGCTGGGCCAACGACCGGGTGGAAGCGCTCATCTCAAATATTCGCGAATCGAACGGAACGGTCAGTGGCCTCCTCAACACGGCCATGTACCTCGCCAACAAAGCCACATTGGATGTGGCCGCGGGTCCGGCCGTTGTGCCCCAGGGAGGAACCTGGGACCCTCGTCAGATATGGCGGGCTGAGGGGATTGAGATCCGCACTCCCGTGGTATCAACCGCGGGCTTGGCTGTGGTTACGGTGCTTCTGGGGTTGCAGGTTGTGGGCATTCTCGCCCTGCTCTGGTATATATACAGTGTGCCGACATGGACCGAGACGCTGGACGCCATGGCTGTCGCAAGAATTACGAGGCAGCTGGCGGAAAGAGACGAGGGATTTCTCAGGTCGGATGCATTGTGGGACCCGACAGCGGAGGAACTCCGCCGTATGCAAGATATGGATGCCCTTGTGGGACTCGTGGAGCGCGAAACCCCAGAGAAGCCCGGAGGTAGTGCCACGACTACAAAGGTTTCTGGTGAGGTAACCTTGGCCCCGGCTTCTTCTGAACATGTTGACCATGTTTTGAGCGTTGGGGCCCCCGGACTCATTTCACGTGGTATGAAGAAGGTTACCAGGTCTTCGGTTTAGAGTTTTTTGCTACCTCTACTCAAAATATTTCAACCCCTGCGCGTGCGGTGTCATCGGTGTGGCGGTATGTACATCAAGAACCTTGGTCTTGTCGCCGACGAGGTGATAGCTATCGAGTTTGCTGTCGTCTTGCAAGATCCCGAACGCGTCCAGGGCTTGGCGCGTCATATGCGGAAAGTGGGGTCGCCTAGATCCAGCAGGCCTTCTGGGGTCGCCAGACATACGCTGCCGATGTCCGATAATAACAAAGCCCGCGTGTCTTCGTATCGGAGTTGGCCAAAGCACCTCTGATGACGCACTGCAACGGTACAAGTTTCGCATACGTCGCCTTCTCCGTCTCAAATTCCTCGTCCCAGCCGTCCTTTTGCTTCTTGAGGACCAATTGGCCAGGCGGGCCCCCTCAGGGAAGCACGACTGAAACCAGACTTGAGCTGGGCACGGGAGAAGGACGTTCACCAGAACTTGGATAATTTCCATGTTGTACCAACGAAGGTTGCACGTGAAGACGGAGTACGTGTCGGTGGACGCCGTCGGCCAGAGTCGCTGTTGCGTGAATGACGCGTGGCCGAAATCGAAACCGCTGTTCGGGTTAGCAACATGTACACGACGGAGAAGCGGAGCAGCTCAGCGCGCGCGCGCACTTAAAATTGCGTCAGAAGGCCGCTCGGTTTTGGAGAAGTTCGGCCGCAGTTTCAAGCGTCCTTGGGGCCGCCGAATTGGAGGCGGTGGAGTCCCAGCGAACGACCAGCCACAAAAGCTCAGTAGGGAATTTGGAGTATTGCCGGTCATGGTATGTGGAATGTGAAGCAGAAATTCCAGTTATACGCACACTGACATGGATGGATGGATGGAATTTATTTCGCCCGGAGGCACTGGGCCTATAGGGCCTTAGCACGCTAGCTACATCCGGATCAGATCGTTTTGCGTTTAACTCGTACAAGCCCCCTACTTCTTCCCTCTTTCTCGCTGCACCATTTACCTCTTGCCTTGGTTGTTGTTAGCAGATCAGCTTGGAGGCTACTTTCTCCAAGTGTTCAGCGTCCTATCTTCAGCAGCTAAAGCGGGACCTGCTGGTTAAGGCTCGTGGTTGAGGCTCGTGGTGTTGAGTGTCGGCTTCTTCTACTGTGACTGGTTTAGACTCTCCTCTTCATTCAGCTCCAGCCTTCCTGTTGCCATTGCGTATTTGATCGTCGCCCGGACTGCCTTCATATCTGGTGACCAATGCCTTGTATCTGATGGCGCTTTCCCTCCCAGATAGAACGAGAGGCTTCCTCGTCTTGCCACTGTGCATTGCAGCATGTCTTCCCTCAGAGCTGTCCATCTCACGCATCGGAAAAGAAAGTGTTCCACTGATTCCCTCGCTTGTCCACAGGCACAAAGGTCTGACTCGACCGCCCCAATCCTGCTCAAAAAACCGTTCAGTCTCGCCATTCCGGTTCGGAGCTGCGCCAATACGCAGGCCTCCCTTCGCTTCAGCTTGTCATAGAGATCGCGCGTGTGCTTGCCTGGTAGTGCTGCGTCCATGGCCTTTGAGAACTTGCCCACGCTTACAGGTAGAACTCTTGTCGTCCGTTGTCTTTCCATTGCCAGCCTCATCGCGGTAGACTTGGCCTGGGGCATTTGGGAGTCGGGTGTGCGTCCTTGCTTCGACGCTCTCTGGGCTGCTGCCTTGGCATCTGACCCTAGCGCGAAGTCAATCTCCGCTGGTATCCACAGAAAGTTGACTGAGTTTCCTCTTTGTCGGTGCAGCCTGGCCAAGTCGTAGATTTGCCGTATGATGCTTTGGCCGGATTGCTGCCGCGGCTGTCCAACTGCTGCCAGCGCTGACTGGTTCCTCGTGATCACGGTGATGTGCCTGTGGCAGATGCTAGCCGGTAACTTCTCCAGGGCCATTGCGATGGCTGCTAGCTCTGCTGTATATGGGTTCTGCTCTTCCCTTGTCCCAAGAACAACAGCATAGTTTGTCACAGTCTCGCTAGTTCTGTTGAAGAGAGTATCCCGTGCAAGGCCGCCCATGCCAACAATGCCCTTCTTTACGGATGAGCTGGTTGCGATCACGATTCCCGAGATTTTGGCACACTGACATGAGGCCGGGCACTCAGAGATGAGACCGGGCACGGAAGATTCTGCCCCACCTCGCCGCAGACTTTCAGGCAGTTAGCCCTAACCCTACCCTTATGCTCACCGCCAAGCCCTCGCCTCGCCAATTATCTCACCATCTCGCTTTCCGCTCTTTAGTGTGAAGGTCCGAAAAATCTCGTTGAAACAAATCTGTGCTATATTGATCTTCTTTGCGTCTTTTGAGGCAGTTGGTTGAAAATTCTGTCTTTCCAAATGCCAGGTGCGGCGCGCGGCGCTTCAGACGTCATTGACGTCATGAGAGGCGATTCGGGGTCTCCAGGAGTGGGATATCGCCGGCCCCAGCGCAAAAGGGTGAAAACGACGAGGGCGATGGAAGCAATGCAACAAGAAAACAATATGGACTGGGAGGAGGAAAACAACAGTGAGAGAATGTTGAGAAACCACAAAAACCGCACAATTCGGGCCGCAGCGGCCGAGAGAGCAGGAGAGGGAATCCAGGGCCAAGAGCAACCCGCGAACTGCAACTTCGAAAACAAATTGGACATTATCAAAACGGAATTTCAGCTTCAATTCGAAAAGCTCAGGGATCACATGGCAGAAGAAATGGCCAAAAAGACGGCCCAGTTGACCGAAGAACTGTCGCAAGCGCGAGAGCAACTCATCCAAGCCCGCCGCGAGCTCGAGGACACCAGACTGCAGCTCCACGCTATGAACGAGGCTCAGGAAGCCCCTCCGGCTCGGCCGGCGTATGCGGATGTCGCCCGATGTACACCTCCTACCAGCGGCCCTAGTCTGACATCCTCCGCAAGCCGGACGACTACGCCAGAGCCAGCGTTCTGCACTGTAGACATGGCTAAGGTACCGGAGGAACACGTCGAAGAGGCTACACCTGTGGCCCTTCGCAAGCTCATCGAGAACGAGATGCGAGCGCCGGGAGACCAACCTAAGTGACGTTGTCTTGCCGTCACCAGAGACAGAGGGAACATCAACCGCCTTAGAATCGTTGGCAGGAACGAAGCGGAAGTAAAGAGAATCAAGGGCATCATCGAAACGAAGAAGGCGCCGGGTGCACAGGTCCTACGTGACCAGTTGTACCTAGTTAAAGTTGACAACGTCAATCGTACGGTTGTTCTCGACCCTGAAGGCAAGGTATTCCCCGGAGCGGCGAAACCCTGGGCCGAGAAACGACGTGCAGATCGCCAAGCTGGCTTGGTTGAGCCGGAAGGACACTGCGAAGGCGTATGGATCGATGGTGGTATATATCACCAAAGCTAGCGACGCTAAGAGGATCATTAACGAGGGCTTCTTCCACGCCAGAGGCGAATCGGGATACACGGGAGTCTTCGAACGCCGGACACGGCCGAACCAGTGCTACAACTGCCAGTAGATTGGCCACAAAGCTTTCCAGTGCAGGAACCCTCAAGTGTGCGGAATGTGCGCCTGCGAGGGCCACCGTCACAGCGAGTGCTCAGCAGCTATACCGAAGTTCGTCCTTTGCGGAGGACCACATGAATCGTTCAGCAAGAATTGCCGGAAGCTCTATCCATCTCGACATGAGTAGGACGTTTCGGGTTATCCAATTGAACGTTAGAAAGCAAGGGGAGGTGCATGACAGCCTAATGAACGACGTGGCAATCGAGGACGCTACCGTTATCGCCATTCAGGAACCCCAGGCGCGGAGGATCCAAGGACGACTCCTAACAACCCCAATGGATCATCACAAATGGACCAAGATGGTCCTGAGCACGTGGAAGGAAGGTAGATGGGCTATCCGGAGCATGCTCTGGGTGAACAAAACCGTGGAAGCCGAGCAGGTGGTAGTGGACTCCCAGGACATCACGGCAGCGGCTATACGGCTCCCGGAGCGCGTAGTCCTGGTCGCGTCGGTCTACGTACCGGGTGGGGATGCTGAGGCACTAAAGGACACCTGCGAGAACCTCCGCAGAGTGGTCGCAAAGACGAAACTGGGTGCAGGAACGACAGTCGAGGTAGTGGTTGCAGGTGATGTTAACTGCCACGACCAACTGTGGGGGGGAGACGACGTCTCGCCCATGAGACAAGGGGAAGCTGACCCCATCATCGACCTCATGAACGAGCTGGTTCTGAGCACTCTACTCCCGAGGGGCACAATAACATGGCAAGCAGGTGGATATAGTTCGACTATCGACCTGGTCCTAGCCTCGGAGGAACTGAGAGAAGCCGTGGTTAAGTGCGGTATCCATGGAACGGAACATGGTTCAGATCACCGCACGATCGAAATAGTCTTCGATATTGAGGTACCTGTGCCGACGCACCACGAGCGACTGCTTCTCAAGAACGCGCCATGGAAAGACATCAGGGCCAAAATTGCAGTCGCACTAGGGGACACCCACCGAGGGGGACGGTCCAGCAGAGAACGGACCGCCTGATGTCCGCTGTCTCCGGCACGGTCCATTCCCTCACTCCCAAAGCCCGGCCATCGCCATACGCAAAGCGATGGTAGACTTCGGACCTGACGCAGTTACGTCACATCTACACGTACTGGAGGAACTGCGCTCGCTCGGAACGCCGGGCAGGATGGACCACAACCGAGATCGAGGCTTCGCAAAGGGCGCAGCCAAACAATACCACGAGGCTATCCGGAAACAGAAGATGAAGCACTGGAGCGAGTTCCTTGCGGACAACGACAACATTTGGAAGGCTGCAAAGTATCTAAAATCCGGAGATGACACTGTGTTTGGAAGGATCCCGCAACTTGTTAGAGCAGATGGTACATCCACGGCCGATCATAGTGAACAGGCCGAAGAGCTCCTAACAAGATTCTTCCCGGCCTTGCCCGATATGATCGACGATGAAGGTCCAAGACCGCAGAGGGCACCTATCATGATGCCTACCCTTACGATGGAGGAAATCGAACGACAGCTGTTCGCAACGAAGTCCTGGCAGGCACCAGGGGAGGACGGTTTGCCGGCAGTGGTGTGGAAGGAGGTCTGGCAGGTGGTCAAGCACCATGTACTGGCGCTCTTTCGTGCCTCGCTGGAGGATGGGGCCCTTCCCAGTCAGTGGCGTCATGCAAAGATTATCCCGCTCAAGAAACCAGGCAAAGAAGACTACACCGCCGCGAAGGCGTGGAGACCAATCTCCCTCCTAGCAACGTTGGGCAAAGTGCTGGAGTCGATGATCGCGGAACGGGTGTCCCACGCGGTGGAGACCTACGGCCTCCTGCCCACCAACCACTTCGGCGCGCGGAAGCAGCGATCAGCAGAGCAGGCGCTGGTATTTCTACAGGAGCAGATCTACACGGCCTGGAGAGGACAGAAGATTGTCAGCCTCATTAGCTTCGATATCAAGGGAACCCACAACGGAGTCTGCAAGGAACGACTGGTCCAGAGAATGAGGGCACGTGGTATCCCGGAAGAGCGGTGCCGATGAACAGAAGCTTTCTGCTCTAACCGTACGGCCTCGATCCAGGTCAACGGGCATGCTGCAGAACGACGGGATCTCCCGCAGGCTGGCCTGCCCCAAGGCTCGCCCCTCTCCCCCATCTTGTTCCTCTGTTTCAACGCGGATCTGGTCCAGCGAAAGATCGATAGCAACGGTGGTGCGATAGCCTTTGTCGATGACTTTACCGCCTGGGTCACATGACCGACGGCACAGAGCACACGCAAGGGCACTGAAGCAATCATCGACCAAGCATTAGATTGGGAAAAGAGAAGCGGGGCGACATTTGAAGCAGACAAGACGGCCGTCATCCACTTTACCCGCAAGACCTACAAAGCCAACTCCGAGACCTTTACCATCAAGGGTCAAGATGTTCAGCCGAAAGACCACGTCAAAATCCTTGGAGTGGTCATGGATGCCAAGCTCAGGTATAAGGAGCATATCGCAAGAGCGGCCTCTAAAGGGCTCAGCGCGGCGATGGAGCTGAAACGGCTCAGTGGTCTGTCTCCGGCTACGGCGCGGCAGCTGTTCACCGCCCTGGTCGCGCCAGTGGTGGACTACGCCTCCAGCGTCTGGATGCACCAATGCAATTGGAAGACCACGCCGGCCATACACAGGGTGCAGAGGGTCGCGGCGCAAGGGATTATAGGAACGTTCAGCACGGTAGCAACACGCGTAGCAGATGCAGAAGCTCACATCCCCACGGCTCAAGATCGATTCTGGAAGAGGGCGATCAAGATGTGGACGGACATTTACACCCTACCAGAGACGAATCCACTCCGCAACACCACTTCCCGGATGCGCAAGTTCCGGAGATCCTACCGCTCGCCTTTCTTTCAGGTAGTAGATCTCCTTAAGGACGTCCCATTGGATAGCCTCGAAACCATCGCCCTAGTCGTATTAGCGCCATGGGAGAGGCGAGTCCGCACTACGGTTGACGGAACAGGCATTCAGCAAAAAGAGACAGAGTGGGCGGTCCAGATCGCCGTAAGCAGCTTCGCACGGAACAACGTGGTAGGGATCGGAGGAGTCGTCCGTCTCCCGCTACCGATGCGAGACGACTCAAGGAACGAAGCCTTCAGTATAACACTGGGCTCCAGGTCAGAGCAAAACCCGTTCCCAGGCGAGCTTGCGGCAGAGCACCGCCCACGACCCTACCAGACAAAGTGGGCAGACATTCTAAGAGAGTCGATATAGCGCTACCAGGGAAACACACTAGACTATTATACGACCACCTGCCACGAAGCGAGGCCGGCGTACTTGCTCAGCTCAGAACAGGCATGGCCAAGCTCAACACATACCTGCGTCGTATCGGAGCAGTACCTTCAGATCAATGCGCGTGTGGACAAGCAAGAGAAACAGTCGACCACTTCCTCTTCCGATGCAAGCAATGGGATAAACACCGTACGGAGATGCTGCAATGTACAGATGTCCACAGGGGCAACCTCTCCTTCTACCCGGGGGGAAGGTCGCCCTCGGATGACAAGAGCTGGTCCCCCAACATTAAAGCGGTGATACACCTCGAAACCACACACACCACCAACGCTGGTCACGTGCCACGCTCGTTGTGATGTCAATGCAGCATGAGAGAGGAGATGGCTCAGGAAACAACTTTCGATGCCACGGATCCTACGATCGTGTTGTCGGTACGCCTTCGCGCGTGGCCCTCTGGCCAGTGGGTCGCGGTCACCGTGACCGCGGAAAGGAGTCACTTCTGCAAGTGTCGAAAAAGAATAGAATTACCCGTCTGCTCCCCTAACTCCTGAGAGGGCCTAAGCCTCTGACTAAATACAAGGACGCCCCCCCGAGGAGGCGGAAGAACGTAACGGAAAAGCGGAAAATCAAAATTCCTGGTCCCCTGGTCTTCTGGTCACCTGACACGGAGGTCCGCGCCCCAGTTCAACATGCGGGCAGTACGGGCGGCGGTACGTTTTGCCATTGCCACAGGTCGTCTGGGGACAGAACAACCGCAGAATGAAGCAAACTAACCTCAACATCCTTAACCCCGACTAACACCCCCTTCATCTCGTGCCAGGCCGGGTAAGCGCGCTTCAACCGCCGAGGATAGGACGTTGAACACTTGGAGATCGGCCTTCAAGCCAGCTTACTGTGCGTACTACTAACCCACGAGCACCCGCAGCAGAAAGGGCAAAAGCGTAAGTAAATAAGCCAGAAAAGGAGGATGTACGGGCTTCAGGAGACCAGGATCTATTTTAGGATATGTATTAGTAGACACGTGATAGTTGCCCTTTCGGGTCAAGCCCGCCGAGCGGAATAAATTGTGTGTGTGTGCGTGTGAAGGTCCGGAGAATCGCTAGGCCAATTACCTCATCTCATAACTGGTTTCCGCCCATGGGCAACAAGATATCGCTGCCTTTAACAGCTACATCAATGTGAGGGACGAGTAGCTTCTAGGCGAGGCACAAGGGCACTGCGTATGCTGACTCAATTCTGCTAATCGAAAGCTGAAGAAAGAGAGGAAAGATACAAGATAGCGCGTTGGCGACGCGAGAAGGCATGCCCAGAACGGAGCTAGTCCGGATGCGGAAGTGCACTTCCAACCCCAACCCTGGGTGCGCTTTCTGTCACAATCAAGATGTCATATACGATGAAGTCATGCGTAGCGTCAATGTTTCAAGGCCATTGATTGGGCTCACCAGCAGGTTTCTGGGAGATGCCGAAAAAGAACATGCCAAGGAGCCAAAGCCGAAGAGACTGCGAATTTGCTCGACATCTTCACTATACAGTCGAGTCAGAAATCGAATGTTCATCTCCCGGATAACCAGCATTGCTGGTGTACGCACGATGGCCGGCAGTGCAAGATGGATGGATGGATGGAATTTGATTCGCCCGGAGGCACTGGGCCTATAGGCCTTAGCACGCTAACTACATCCGGATCAAATCGTTTTGCCTTTAACTCGTACCAGTGCAAGATTGACAATACAGGCATGAGTCACGTGAGAACGGGTCACGTGAGTACGGGTCTGGGCGTCTCATGAGTGACTCGGGAGGATCGTGCCCGGAGTCCTGGTCTAGAAAGAGATGTAGTTAACCAGGACTCGTTACTGTGTAAGTTTGACTCTGCCCCACCAACGAAATCACGGTCCCACTTTTTTCCATCTCTCACCAAACACTTCGCCATCCCACTTGTTGCGCGACGCGAGATGGATTCAGACCAGATCGCCCAGGCAAAAGCGAAGGTTCACTCCTGGGGTTTCCCATGCAACCTAGTCCGTGGCGAGGCCGCTAACCCACGTATGTCCTGGCCGCCCAACCCAATGCAATCCCCTTCGATTCTCAATTGCAGCAACACACCTCCTTCTCGGACTGAAGCCTAATATGCTTCTAGACTATAGACCCCACTCACATCCCATTGCGACGACCTCACTCATTGTCAAGGAAAAACAACTTCTTTCATTTTGAGGCATCCGGTGGAAGATTTTGTCTTTTCCAGATGCCTGGTGCGGCGCGCGGTGGTTCAAACGTCATTGACGTCATGAGAGGCGATTCCGGAACTCCAGGAGCGGGACAACGCCGCCCCCAGCGAAAGAAGGTGAAGACGAGAAGGGCGATAGAGTCAAAGCTACAAGAAGATATGGATTGGGAAGAGGAAAGCAACATTGAGAAAATGCCGAGAAATCACAAGAATCGCACCATCCGGGTTGCAGCAGCCGACGAGGCGAGGGACGAGACCCGAGAATCAGAACAAACCGTGGATCATGACCTTAACAACAAATTGAACATCATGAAAGCAGAAATTCAGACGGAATTCAAAAAACTTAAGGACCATATGGCAGAGGAGATCGCCAAAATGACGGCCCAGCTGACTCAAGAGCTGGCACAGGCGCGAGAGGAGCTCACTCAAGCCCGCAGTGAGCTCGAGCAGACCAAGATACAGCTACACACCATGACTAGAGCTCAAGAGACCCCATCGTATCGACCGACGTATGCAGACATCGCCCGACAGACCCCTCTGGTCAGCATTCCCACCCCGCCGACCTCCACCGGTCGGCCGGCGACACCGGAACCGACGTTCTGCATCGTGGACATGTCAAGGGTTCCGGAGGATCATGCCAGTGAAGCTACACCAGTAGCGCTTCGCAAGCTCATTGAGCATGATATGCGTGCGCCTGGCGACCAACCCAGCTGGCGCTGTGTTGCCGTCACAAGAGATAGAGGAAGCACCAATCGTCTTAGGGTCATCAGTAGGAACGAAGGGGAATTGAAGAAGATCAAAGACATCGTCGAAGCAAAGAAAACGCCGGGTGCGAGAGTCCTTCGACATCAGCTGTACCCGATCAAAGTCGACAATGTCAACCGTACGGCTGTCCTCGACGGCGAGAGCAAGGTCCTCCCTGGGACCGCGGAAGTCCTGGGCCAGGAAAACGACGTGCAGATTGCCAAGATAGCTTGGCTGAGTCGAAAGGACACTGCAAAAGCGTATGGATCCATGGTAGTGTATGTCACGAAACTCGGCGATGCCAAGAGACTCCTCAATGAAGGCTTCTTCTACGCCGGAGGAGAATCAGGGTATACGGGGGTGTTCGAACGTCGGATGCGGCCGGACCAGTGCTACAACTGCCAGCAGATCGGCCACAAAGCGTTCCAGTGCAGAAACCGTCAAGCGTGCGCCAAGTGCGGCAAGGATGGTCACCACCATCGCAGCTGCAGCGAAGTGGTTGCCAAATGCATCTTATGCGGCGGCCCACATGAATCATTTAGCAGAAGCTGCCAGAGGCTCTACCCATCTCGTCATGAGTAGAACGCTCCGCCTAATCCAGCTTAATGTGAGGAAGCAAGGTGTGGTGCACGAAAGCTTGATGAACGACAAGGACATTCAGAACGCAACAGTCTTGGCCATCCAGGAGCCTCATGCACGTAGGATTCATGGCCGACTCTTCACAACCCCCATGGGACATCACAAGTGGATCAAGATGGTTCCCTCGACTTGGAGGGAAGGCAGATGGGCAGTTCGAAGTATGCTTTGGGTGAACAAGGACGTGGAGGCGGAACAGGTACCGATAGGGTCGCCGGACATGACAGCAGCAATCTTAAGGCTCCCCGGTCGGCGAGTCTTGGTAGTATCGGTCTACGTACCAAAGCAGGACCCTCAAGCTCTACGGGAGACGTGCGACAATTTACACAAGACAATCATGGGTGCAAGACGAGACGCGGGCACGACGGTAGACGTGGTAATTGCCGGAGATTTCAACCGGCACGACCAGCTGTGGGGAGGAGACGATGTATCTGTGGAAATACAAGGAGAGGCAGATAGTATCATCGACCTGATGAACGAGTTTGCCTTCGCAGTCTGCTTCGACGGGGCACAAAGACATGGCATCTCGGGGATTCCAACACGACCATCGACCTGGTCCTGGCGTCTACCGAGCTGGCGGAAACAACAGTCAAGTGTGCGATCCACAGGACGGAACACGGATCGGATCACCGCGCGATTGAGACGGTCTTTGACGCCTTGGTCCCAGCACCAAAGGAACGGGACCGGCTTCTGCTCCAGAATGCACCTTGGAAGGAAATTAAAACCGAGATTGCGAGGGCACTAGACGCCACCCCTTCGGGAGGCACTGTACAGCAGCAGACAGACCGACTAATGTCGGCGGTCTTGGAGACGATCTAAACCCTGACACCGACAGCGAGACCATCGCCATACGCCAAGCGGTGGTGGACAACCGACCTTACACAACTGCGTCGCATTTACACATACTGGAGGAACCGTGCTCGGACCGAACGACGAGCCGGGCGACCCTTGGTGGACTTGGAGGAAATGGCGAAAGCGGCTGCGAAACAGTACCACGACGCTATCCGGCAACAGAAGAAGAAGCACTGGGACGACTTTCTTGAAGACAACAGCAATATCTGGAAGGCTGCCAAATACCTAAAGTCTAGCGACGACATAGCGTTCGGGAAGGTGCCACAGCTCGTCAGAGCAGACGGAACAGCCACGGCCGACCACAGAGAACAAGAAGAAGAACTCCTAACCACCTTCTTTCCTCCCCTTCCAGAGAGGATTGAAGATGAAGGTGCTAGACCGCAGCGAGCTCCCGTAGCAATGCCGCCGATCACCATGGAAGAGGTAGAGCGACAACTATTCGCAGCCAAATCTTGGAAAGCACCTGGGGAGGACGGCTTACCGGCGATAGTATGGAAGCAGACTTGGCCAGTGGTCAAGTACCGTGTTCTCGCACTATTTCGAGCATCTCTGGAGCATAGCACACTGCCCAGTCAATGGCGACACGCCAAGATCATACCGCTTAAGAAGCCCGGCAAGGACGACTACAGTGTTGCCAAAGCCTGGAGACCGATCTCACTTCTAGCAACGCTCGGCAAGCTGCTGGAGTCGGTCGTCGCCGAAAGGATCTCACATGCGGTTGAGACATATGGGCTCCTCCCGACCAACCACTTCGGAGCGCGCAAGCAACGATCGGCGGAGCAAGCGCTCATACTCCTCCAGGAACAGATTTACACCGCCTGGAGAGGTCGAAAGGTAGCAAGTCTGATCAGCTTTGATGTGAAAGGAGCCTACAATGGGGTCTGCAAGGAAAGACTTCTTCAGCGGATGAAGGCACGAGGCATCCCAGACGAGCTGCTCCAATGGACAAACGCCTTCTGCTCGGAGCGCACAGCCACAATTCAAGTCAATGGATATACATCCGAGATTCAAAGCCTACCTCAGGCTGGTCTACCTCAAGGCTCTCCCCTATCCCCGACCTTATTCCTCTTCTTCAACGCGGACCTGGTACAACGACGAATCGACAGCCGTGGTGGTGCGATAGCCTTCGTGGATGACTTTACAGCGTGGATCACGGGACCTACGGCGCAGAGCAACCGAGAAGGCATAGAAGCCATCATCAGGGACGCCCTAGACTGGGAGACAAGGAGTGGTGCGACCTTCAATGTCCAGAAGACAGCAATCATACACTTCACTCGCACAATCTATAAGACCGACGCACAACCATTCACCATCAAGGGGCAGATTGTCAAGCCTCAAGACCATGTCAAGGTCCTTGGCATACTCATGGACACAAAACTAAAGTACAAAGAACACATTTGGAGGGCTGCGTCCAAAGGCCTGGAAGCAGCGATGGAACTGAAACGCCTCCGAGGTCTGTCCCCATCAACGGCGCGGCAGCTGTTTACATGCACAGTTGCCCCCGTGGTAGACTACGCCTCCAATGTGTGGATGCACGTATGCAAGAATAAACTCGCAGGACCCATCAACAGGATCCAGAGAGTGGCGGCGCAAGCCATCGTGGGGACCTTCCTCACAGTGGCAACGAGCGTAGCGGAAGCAGAAGCTCATATTGCCAGCGCACAAGATCGGTTCTGGAGACGGGCCATCAAACTATGGACCGATATTCACACCCTGCCATACACCAACCCATTACGCAGAAACACGTCTCAAATGCGAAAGTTCAGGAAAAGCCACCGCTCGCCACTCTACCAGGTGGCAGACACACTGAAAGACATCGCAATGGACGAGCTGGAAACCATTAACCCGTTCACATTGACACCTTGGGAGAACCGTGTACAAACTGTCACTAACGAGCCGACGACAACACGCCGGAATGCCAACGACGATATTATATGCATCGCCGTAAGCAGCTCGGCGCGAAACGGCCTGGTGGGAGTTGGCGGAGCTGCGACGCTGCCGGCATCTGCATACGGCACCCCAAAACTTGGGACCTTCTCCTCTACGCTTGGCTCAAGGTCAGAACAAAATCCATACTCTAGGGAACTTGCGGCCATCGAACGAGCATTAGGCACACTGCCAACGTTTAGATCTAGCCGCATCGAGCTCTCAACACGCAACAAAGCGGCTGTTCTCGCGATCCGACACGCTCGACGACAGTCCGGGCAACGGCACATCTGCCAGATATACCAATCAATCAGAGAACTACGCAGGAACGGAAACACAGTATCAATACGATGGTTCCCTGCAAGAGAAGAAAACAAGCTTTGGGAAATCGCCAAGGGGAACGCAAAACATGCCACTCGACAGGGCGCCGCTCCGGAAGTACAAATGCCCAGGATGCGGTCGACAACCCTCAACGTAGCACGGTCCAAGAGAGACAGCAGCAATCACCTGCCAGACAAAGTCGGAGCTCATTCCAAGCGAGTCGACGCAGCACTACCAGGGAAACACACCCAACTGCTGTACGATCATCTATCTCATAAGGAGGCTGCCAAACTTGCTCAGCTCAGAACAGGCATGGCAAGGCTCAACGGTTACCTCCACCGAATCGGAGTAGCACCGTCAGACCAGTGCGCATGTGGACAAGCAAAAGAGACAGTGGACCACTTCCTATTCCGATGCACAAAATGGACAGCGTACCGAAGAAAGATGCTCGAATGTACAGACACTCAGAGAAGCAATATTTCCTTCTATCTAGGAGGGAAATCGCCGTCGGACAAGAACGACTGGACTCCTGACATGGCTGCCGTTCGCGCAACCATACGGTTCGCAATGGCGACGGGCCGACTCGACACGAACGAACCACAGGCCGACTAAATCACCTAACCCACCACACCCGACAGCACCGACCCCCTCACCTCGTGACACAAATAGCAGGCACCGCTTCAGCTGCTGAAGATAGGACGTTGAACACTTGGAGAATCGCCTTCAAGCCAGCCTACTAACAGCCCTACTAAACCCACGAGAATTCGCAGTGAAATGGTAACTGTCGGAATATGAACTAGAATGAACTTTACGGGCTTCAAAGAGATTAAGACATATCTTGGGAAATGTATCGTCAGATTGTAATACTAGTTGCCCTTTCGGTTGACCCGCCGGGCGTTAATAAACTACTACTACTACTACTCATTGTCAAAGGGTCGCTGACCGTGAGCTTCGTGGGAAATGCGGGAAATGCGGGAAATGCGAAAAATGCCAAAAAGGCAAAAAAGGCAAAAACTGCGCAGGGCAAACGCACATACGGCCCAGGCGAACGGGTCGACGTGCTGCCTAATTGTGTGTATGAGATGACCGCGGGCAGCGAAGGCTGCACGAGAGTTATGGGGGCAGGTAAGGAGGGTAAGTAAGAAATGGTGCGTGCTGTGCTTGCCTACCAGACAGCTACGGCGACTACCTTTTGCCTCAACAACTTTTCCTTGGCAAGGATCATTGTTTGTGTGGCGTGAAGGGATCTTTCTCACCCTGATACGTATAAGTACCGGTCGGCAAAACCAGTCCGTTAGCCTACAGGCTGACCTTTTCCTTTCTTGAAAAAGGGGACGGAACTCACCTTGCCATCTCGGAAACCGTGTGGACAATTCCGAAGGTCCGGCGGATCAATGAATCGCTGCCCTTCAGTTGCCTGTTGATGTAGACGTTACAGGCGGCATAAAGAAAGACCGAAACGGTCGTTCTCGTATACCCCAGGCCGCCGATGAAGTATGGAGACATTTCATGGCTGCAAAGCCGCCTCTACTTTTCAGTTCAGAAGTAAGAAGTCCTGTCTTCGGAACTAAAAGGGTTGAAGCGAGCAACCCTCAGGCGCGACGCATTGTTGCGCCCTTCCCCAAATCCTCAGGCCAGGAACAGGTGCTGGGTGGTCTTTAAGGAGAAATCCTGTAGGTGCCGCTGTTTGCCCCTGGCCCAGGTGCCCAGCGTGTCATACCTTGTCGGGCCTGGGGGTGGTGTCCGCAGGGCGGACGGACATGGAAGTAATACATCGCCCGCCCTGCCGATGGAGCTTGAAGTCAACGATCTCGACCTTGAAACAAGGTGGATACTGAAGGCCTCCTTTCGTGTTCCGCGGATCAAAGAAGTCCCTCAACTAAAATTCTGCTTTGCAGCGACTGAAAGGAGAGTAATTATCTTGGTGTTGCAGAAGTCAAACAACCGCCCAGCCATCCTCTTTGACTGACTCCCTACAAACGTTTTCCCGTAAAAGGAGTCCGCATAGACCTAACTTGGCCGTGACCCAAGGTCTGCCAACATTACCGCTTCTTCAACGGAAGCCAGCTATGTTAAACGAGAAGGCCTCATTCTCTACGTGGCTCGGTTTTGTTGAAGAAGTGGTCCATCATGTCTAGCTTGGCGTGTAAAGCTGCTGCCTGCACGCGTGCATGAACGTCCCTGTGCCACGACAAGTGCTCGCCTGTCTATTGGGTTGACTGTGAGTACTTTGCGAAGGAATAAGGGGTTTATGGTGATGCTTTGTTGATGCGGCGGGTAGGATGACATGGATTCTTCCCCGACACAAACTTCACCTTTGGCCCAAGCACCAAGTCCGGCAAGATCATGGTCGAGAGACCAACCCGGGGTCGAGGGCGCCGGTTGCTGATGGAGCGTCAGCTATGATTGCACAGGCTGCGGCTTATTACTGGTAAGAGTAAAAAATAACATAGGTACTTGGGCGAGCATGGAAACGGGAAGGCAGATATCGGAAGATGCATGCTGGGGCTCACAACAAACTTCTTCAACCACCACATTGAGTGTAATGGTCTACTGATTTCACAATGAAAGAGGAAGGCGGGAATCGTGAGGCCGATATAAGAAGGTGGTAATTCCTGAACTAATCTCTTGCCGTCGTCAATTTTGAACCTGACCTTGACGCATTTTGTATCAAATCGTCATCTCGAGTTGAGGTGTGACCCTACCTTGACTTTGAGCCACTCTGACTCCCCAAACGGTAGTCGGCACGCGTTCCGATCCTGGCCACGGACGGGTTCCCCCCCCAGCCCATCTTACCTACTCAGCCCCTCAGCCCTACAATGAGTTATAGCTGGCCTCGATCTGGCGGGCCATGTAGGCCAATTCGAGGCGAATGACCAGTCTCAGAAAGATGAATGCAGTCTTGCATGGCCGATTCCCTAAACGGAGACATTGGCAAATTTACCAATGCTGAAACATGCGTTCCGAGCGGCGTGCCAAGGCTAAAAGGTAAGGGATGGAGCGAAGGAACAGAGCCAACAAGCCAAGGTAATCGGGCAAGTACAGCTTGTTGAGGTTAGAGGTACTGGATGACTTTCGGCGTTGTTCCTGCTTTCGAGGGTTGCTCGACATGCACATTTGGACATTCTTCATCTAGCGAACCACCTGCAATCACTCACATCAAGCCACCATCCCGCATCACCAAACTCAATACAGACTTGGGGATCCTCTCCTTGTGCAAACAAGATGGTAAATGAAAATATGACTCACAATGCCAAATTCGGCCCACAAAGGAATAAACAAATTCTCAGCACCAGATACTGCTCAGATAAAGTCAACATTCTTTGGCTTTGATGCAGCTGCACTGCAGGTTTCGAGGGTGTCCCGGGGAGCCCGGAGGTGGCCCGGGGCAGGAGGCCGGGGATGTGGGGCCTGGCAACGACTGCCGGGCTCCGCTCCAAGGGACCGCTCCTGCCGTGAACGCCGGCACACCCCGGCTCACTTGCCAAATCGGGACGATTACCCCGGCACGACATAGAATGAATGGAGGTGAATTTACAATCATTCAATGAGTGCTAGCATTGTTTTGTTTGTTGAATAGAAAGGACCCGCTTTTACAGGTGATTTGGAAGTTGAATCAGGAGCTTTCGTCGCAGCCATAAATTCACCCTCTCACACCACTTCTCTCTTAGCTTCTCCCCCACTGCACAACCACAACCTTTTTTTTTTTTTCCTGTCCCCCTTCGGCATTTTTCTTGGGTGCCTTCCACCCTCGCTGCTGTTTTTTGTGCCCCGTCGCCGCTCCCCTCTCCCCGTCGTCCTCTCCGCAATCTTTGCGATTTCGTTCTTTTTTTTTTTTCCTTTTGTTCTCCTTGCTCTCCTTGCCGCCGTCTTTCTTCGCCAAAATGGCGCAAAGCCGTGGGATTCTTGGGCTCCCTGATGTGGTGTTGGGCAGAATCTGCTCGCAGTTCTGCCCCCACTGTGCTGGGGAGGACTGCCTGGGTGGCTTCAAGCTGCCCGACAGTTTCGAGGGGCCGGAGTACTTCGGTACTCTGGCTTCACTGAACTGGGTCAATTTGCGCATCGGTCGGCTGGCCCAGGCCACCCGACTCCACGTCTTCTGCAGCCGCCGGGACTCCCTCCCCCTCCTTGTCCGCACCCTCCTCGACCGCCCCCAGCTCGGGGAAAACATCCGTGTCATCCGCCTGGTATGCCAATTTACCTACACTGCGCCCCACCCTTCCACTTATTACCCTGCTACACAGCCCTTGGAACGGCGTCTTCCTTTACCCGAAGCACTTAGAGTTTGTTCGGGCCAAGGCACTAACATGGTTGAGTAGGGAAATCGCGACAAAGACAGCCACCGCCAGTGTGTCCTGCAGGAGTTGGGCACCCCCCAAGCCGCCGACACGCTGAAAGAACTGACCGGGCTCGCGGAGATGGCCAAGCTCGACTTCTTGAGCACTCGTCGCTCTCCCTCCATGCTCGCCCCTTTCGAACAACTGCCTCGAATCGAGGACTCTTTCTTTTCCTTGGGCGACTTTTACGGTAGCTCCCAGTTCTGGATGTCTGGCGACGCCCCTGTCGCCATTGTAAGTTTGCCCATTGACACACCACGCGGGGTGAGATGAGTCTTAGCTAACATTTGTGCGATAGCCACGCATCGCCAACTCCCGCCTAAATGCTTTCCTGCTCTTGAAGTTGGCAAAGAAGGCTAAAGCTGTCGCCATTCTCGGCGAGTGGCCCCTCGCCGTCTTCCCCGAGTTGCGTCATCCGGCCCCAGAGACCGTTGCCGGTGACACCATCCAGGCCAACCACCCCGACAGCTTACTGCCCGAAGTCGAGACCCTACGACTCGACAGCAGCAACGAGAACCCCCACCGCCGGTCAGGAATGTGCGTCGTCGATATGAACAAAATTGTTGGCGTCCTCTCTCATGCTTCCAATGCCCGCAATCTTGAGATCCGCGGCGGCAACCATCTCATGTCCGGGCAGAAGGCTAGAGACATCTGTCGGCCTTCCCTCAAGAACATCACGGCCCTCCACCTAGATGCCAGTAGCGGCAGCGCCATAACCAGCATATTGTTGTGCTGCAATCCCGAGAACCTCAAGCACTTTCGGTTCACCATACCTCATGGTCTGCAGGACAACATCATGCGGACGGCCAAAGTCCAAGCTTACAAAGTCGTCTCACCTACTCGAGAGGTGCGGCATGCACGAGACCCTGGAAACTATCCACATTGATACCACGTATGCAGTTTACTACGCCAACATCCCCGGTCGGACAGCCTTCACGACCGTTCCCTCCTTCTCGGCCTTCACCGCCCTTCGCGGCCTCACCATTAGCGCCGATAACATTTACTACCCCTCGGTATTCCCTCGCGTACTCCTCCGCGACGGAAACACTAGCGACGGGAGCACTGACGACGGGAACGATGACGACGAAAACCCCGGCGATCAAACCACCAGTGATGAAAATACTGGCACCGGACACTCCACCGGCGGAAATCCCGCTGCTGGAAACGCCAACAAGGAAGAAACCGCCCACAAACCTCGCTTCCTTCGGCTCATCAATTTCCTCCCCCGTGGCATCGAGACCTTCGAGGTTGTGGGCATTTACGCCATCCACCTACAAGAGGTCATGAACATCCCGCTCGAGTGCCGCCCCGACGGCAAGCTCCCCAACCTAAAGAGAGTTATTCTTCGTGGCCTGCCCGATGGTGCGGGCGTTCTGGGGTCCGTCACCAAATGCGAGTACCCGGTGCCGTTGGAGTACGGAGAGGATATCTTCGATGACTGGTACCACGTGATGCGGCATTCCCATGATTTTGCCCCATACCGCAGGGAGGAGGTAGCAGCTTGCTATGCGGAGGCGGGAGTGGAGTATGCGTTTGACATGCCCGAGTACTTCATCCATGAATACATCGGAGAGTGGGAATCAGTACTCCATTTAGGATGTTCTAGGACATTGGGAAGGAAGACCTGCGCACCACTCGGTTACATTGTTTGGGTGGATCGGCATGATTGCCGCCACCATGCATCCCTGCGTTGCTTTGGTTTTTCGCCATCTGGGTCGTCGCTGGGAAGCTATTTTATTTTTCGCGAGAGCCCCGGGTCATTATCGACGGCGTTGATGTGATACCGAGGTGTAAGGCGGACCTCGCCGCCCCATTCAGCAAAGGCTCACGCCGGCCGGAAGCCTCCCAGGCAGTTCGATGCACCAGTTGGTCCATCATGGCTAAGTTTGGGGGAGGACGAGCCCAGTGGCTTAGGTAGTCACGGTAGTTAACCAGATTATTTATTCATTGCCTTATTCACATGATGTGAGCCGAGTTTTGTCGGGATTCGCCCCAATTATTTCGCTTCTTTTCTCATTATCCTGTCCATCTTCGCGTCGTGTTCCGGTCGTCACCCGCAGCGGTGAAGCTTGAACCCCCCTGCAGGACCCATTTCAACCACTCCGAGAAGTTTTTGTAGGCCCATCTGTCTCAACTTCTCCAACCTTGTGATCTTGAGCCACAGAAACCCATCCTATCCAATCCGCAACCGCGTCATGATGCCAACTTGCGCGATGAGATCTGGCGCTGGCACTTCTTGACAGAAATGGAAAGTGTCCACTCCTCAACGAAGGAGGGCGGTAACCATCACCCGACCTAAGATGTAGTCTCGGATCGTTCGGCAAAGAGGTGCGCATCCACCCCCGCTACCTCCAATCGCTATTAATATGTTGATGTCCCACAGTACCACGTGAAGGGTCCAGCAACCCGGGGTGGTGGACGACATCCGCCGGTTCCACCGAGGCCTATTGCCGCCGCCGGATACACGGCGGCATTCCAAAGCCTCAAGCCACCGGGCAGGCACCTAACCGAGGATCAATGCAGCCTTTGAAGTTGAACAGTGACCTGGTGAGCGGGGAATTACCGTCCAACAGCAAGGCGGGTAAGTCGGAGGTCCACCAGGAAGTACGGCTATGGTGGTAATATTGGATGTACTCTCGGGGATTCAACCCGATTCATCCTACACCATTAACCCGATGAAATCTACAGTGTGGTATCCTGGACGTCACGGGTTGTTGGCAGGAAAGTTACAACGACGGAGATGACCGATGAGCACCTCGCGTGGAGTCATGGTTCAGGGCGAGGGGAAAATGACGGTAACAGGCTGGTTATTTATTGCCCAGACCATTTTCGGTCAGAAGCACAACTCGAATAGGCCTGAAGAAGCGTGATACATGGCGCTACGTGCGTTCTAGAATCGCCAATGAGGTCTTCCACACCACAAATATATGGAAGCGAGCTCTACGTACCCTGGCAGTGTCACCGTAGCAGTCGGGAACAAGCCCTCGGGCTTATTTCTCCCACTGGTCAACCCCTCTCTTTCTTACTCCCCTTGGTCCCCTCATGCGGCCCATGCCGACACACATTCGAATGCCGAGGACTCCTCTCTAACTTCTGAAAGTGCGGTGCTTTGTCGGGTTACCGCCAAGGTGGCTTTTAGTCGCACCGAGACGGAATAACTGCTGCCGTTCCTGCAGATGGTCACTCAGCTCGGTAAAATCGGCAGCCTGTCATTTAGCCTTATTCACGGTTTCTCTTATTATGCTCGAGCAATGCTCCGGATAGTGGTTGCTGTTACCCTTTTCCTCTTTAGATTAATTTCAGGGCGCATTGGTACCTCTACTCAGTCTAAACAGCCTGACCCTTCCTGCGGGTTCCTGATCTACGGCCGGCAACCGACCTTGGGGTAGCTGGCATCCGATTGATGAGTGGCACGATGTGAAAATGAACGGGCTTCAAATGTCCCGCGATACCCCCCCATGCCGCCGATCTGCGAGCTGCCTTGTCGTCGATCCCGCGCGCCCTGCTACTTTTGCATAACCGCACGGACTTGAACCGGCCGTCGACACGATGAGATCCGTTTACATCGCCCTAGCAGCTGCCCTGTGCTGGACCGGCACTCTTAGCGCCAGCCCGGCCGGGGCGAAAGATGATGTCGAAGTGGCAATGATGGCCGGGAGGCGCCGTCTCACAAGGACTAGCGGTCGATACCGCAGCGAGTTTGCGGCGCTCGGTGCGCGCCAGGGAGATCAACAATGCGGAGCCCAGTTCGGGAGATGCCCCGGCGATCTCTGTTGCTCCAGCTATGGCTTCTGCGGGGACTCAGTCGACCACTGCCACCCTCTCTTTGACTGCCAAACCCAGTACGGCACCTGTGGGTGGCCTAGAGCGGTCCCGACAACGTCCGCCCGCCCTACTACGAGCTCAACACCGGCCCCGCCTACGACAACCACCCCGAGTTCTACCTCGGTCAGGCCACCCACTACGTCGACATCCGTTACAATTCCGGTCCCATCGGGTGGCCTCGAGGTCACCCAAAACGGCATGTGCGGCAACAACACCATGTGCATCGGCAACCCTAACTACGGACCCTGCTGCTCTCAGTTCTTCTGGTGCGGTTCCTCCATCGAATTCTGCGGTGCCGGTTGCCAGAGTGACTTCGGCGCATGCCTCGGCATCCCTGGCCAACCCGGGAACCCCATCACCAACGGCACCACGACATCCGGTGGCGGCAGTGGACCTACCTCTAGCCCTCCCACAACACGACCGACCTCTACAAGGGTTAGCACCACGACCACTACCACTACCTCTTCCAGAACAACGTCCTCTTCGCCTTCTGTGACGCTGCCCGCCGGCCAAACGTCTAGCACCGACGGCAGGTGCGGGAACAACGTGAACTGTCTCGGGTCGAGATTCGGGCGATGCTGTAGTCAGTTTGGGTACTGTGGCGACGGTGACCAGTATTGTCCGTACATTGTGGGTTGCCAGCCTCAGTTTGGGTACTGTGACCCACAGTAAAGGGGCTGCTTGGCGAGTTGAAGTTGGGGGGCGCAGAGTGGTAGCAGGAGCCATGTTCTGTATGTCAAGACTAGATCAATACAATTGCAAAGTTTTCATCAACAGGAATTTGCCCTCATAACTGGCGGTTATGAAATTCATGATTCCATTTGACACTACAACAAGATATTAATTAGCCGAGGGGATGAGGAACACGGTCCTCCCTTTAGCCTGCAACAGTCTCCCGTTTCCGTCACAAATGTTCCCACAAACGACAGAACCTTTCCTTTGAGTTATCAGCGGCAAGTGCCATGTGGTGGGCTAAGCCCTGGCGCCCCAAAACTCTAACACGTTAAACCCCTGTCTCTGCATCTGCCCTATGATCCTCCCCCACAGCTGTGCCATTGTTGGGGCTTTCACTGTGGTTGGAAGCCTCTTTTCCAGTGAGATGTTTCTCGGATTTTCGCTTCTCTGCATCATCCCTATTTACGAATCAGTCAGTTACCTACATCCACTTTAACTCAACTTTACCCTTGAGGTAAGACGACACTCACCAATCCTGGCCAGGATTACACTCCTTCCACCTCAAGTACTTGAGTAAGACGTAGAAGCCACACGCAAGCAGCGATCCAAGAAGCGGTCCAAGCCAATAGATCCAAAAATAGCCCGGAAAGCTATGATTGACGACTGCGGGCCCCAGAGAACGAGCCGGGTTCAATGAGCCGCCAGTGAAGTAAACACCTGCCGAGTAATTAAGAGTCAGCAACCCCCAGCATATCGCAAAGTCCAGTGGTAACAAACCAACTAGCTCGGCCAGGAAAAAGGTGATCCCGATTCCAATAGGAGCCAAGAACGTCGACTTGTGCTTCTCCGCTGCAAGCATGATAATGACAAAAACAAGCTGAGCGGTGAGGAACATCTCAATGAACAAGCCTTGAGAAATGCTCGCTCCTGCACCAAGCGTGGTTGCGACGGCCATTGGACCAGGGAACAGGGCCGAGACGACCGCTGCCGCGGCGATACCCCCGAGGAATTGGGCGATAACGACGACGAGGAGGCGGACGAGGGAAAGACCGCCAACAAGAAATAGTGCTAGGGCGACCTTTACAACAGTTAGTTAAGCAGGGATGGTACAGTTCCGGGGAGGGGTGCTTGCCGCCGGATTAAACAATCCTCCGGTAACTCGGTAGAATGCCCAAACATTGGCCATCAAACTCAATCCAAAGGCCAGGGCGATGAACATGAGGTTGGACGTGTTGGGCAAAGGAGTGTCCCTTCCATTTGCTGGCGCTGGCGCGGGAGTGTTGGCCACTTGGGTTCCGGCAAAAGCGAAGAACAAGAACAAGAATGTGCCGACAAACTCTCCTAACGCTGCCACAATATTATTATGTTTTGTCAACGGCTTGGTCAACATGGGAAGCCTGGTCGGCGAGCCATTCTGCCCTGCTTCAGAAGCGAAGGAGAGCATGCGATGGGGTCTGGAACTCGAGGGACTCATGATGGGAACCTTTTTCGGGCAAACGGTGAAGTGCATAGAGATGTGGGCTGCGTGTGCGATGTTTGACCTCTCGTAAAGAAAGCGGGAGGGACCATTAGGGAATCAAGTAGCTCAACCATGGCATAAATAGGCCCCCAAGCAGCTCAAACAAAGACCGGACCGGATCCTCCGATGCGCTAGCGGGGACCACACGGTGGCCATGGGAAATGTCCGAGCTGCATGCATCCAGGTTACCCCGATGAATAGGATAGGTGCATGTTTCGAACGTATAGATGTGCCACCACATCATCATGCAGTCAAGGGCTGATTTGAAGGGTCCGGTGTTGGGTTCCGGGACCAGCGCTAATGTGCTGTTTCCGGTGGGCTTCCAAGGGCCACTGGTGAACCCTCTTATCAACAAAGCAAGCAACGGCACAGTACTCCGACCGGAAAATGACAAGTGCCGAGAGCGAGCCCGGATCGAAGCTTAGCTACATGGCAAGGATTCGACGGTTCCACCGGTGCCTCCCAGATAGCTTCTTATGTTTATGATAGACAAACCGAGGCGATCCGGCCGTGCTACTATCGGATATTGTCCAGGGGCGTTGAGGCGGAACGGTCTGGGCCCCCCGGGTTCGGGCCCGTTCCACAACATGGATGAGCACGACGCAGAGAGGAACCATTATTGTGTGGTACAGCTTCACCTTTAGGTTCGCCACGAGGCAGGGCGGCCCTCCAAGTCCAATGGCAGTTGCTCTGTAAACGCTAGGCGAGATATTTTCAAATTGCCCGAGCAGAACCGCTCCGAGACCTACCCGCTTATCAGGGGTCTCGATACCAATTGCCACAGCGAATTCGGCGATGGGCAGCTATTGTCGCCGCAGACCCCCCATTAAACACGTTCGCTTACCTCTCTTTTTAGTTCTTGGAATACCCGTCCGGATTCGGTCCGGCCCACTTTACGCCAGTAAGCAGCACAAAGAGACCAACGCCGACCGCGATCCGACCCGGCGCCGAAGGCCCGCCCGTCTTCCCCAATGCTCGCAGAGCCCCCAGCCGGGTGAACAAAGCAATAACCTGGGACCAGGGACGTGCATATGCTATCGAAAACATGACACATTATGTATGCACCTCACAATGGTTACGGTTATGGCGAGATGCCAAGACGTATCTCCGTTTTCGTCAATTCTCAGTTGCCGCCCATGAGCATGCTCGCGGAAACATACGCCAGCCATTGGGCTAACCGCAAGCCCTTTTCACCGGTATGATAGAAGCGTACTGGCGGCGAAGTGGGACCGTGATGCCAGCCTCCCCGCCAATGTCATCCCGAGAAAGACGCTGGGGCTGTGGATGATTGCGTCATGTCATGTGCGCCCAGCTTGTCGGTTCTGATGAGCTTCCTTTGTTCCGTCGACGCTGCAAATAGTCCAATGACTCGAGCACATGCCACACAGCAACGTCGACGTCTGCCGACGAACCAACACCGCCGTGAGCACCCGACGAAACACGAGCGAGATCACTGCCAGCCCGGCCGTGGCGCCCAGCTGTCGATAGAGATACACACACGGCGTGACCACCGCCTGGTCCTCTGGGCTCGCCACCGCCACAACCCCTACCCGCGTGGCCATCATGCCCGCACCATTCCCCAGCCCACCCACCAACAAGCTCCCACTAATCTCCCACACCACACCCGCAACCGATAACAAACCCCGTCACTACCACCACCACTCCCCGCCCGAAACATGAGCCCAGCTCCCACCGCCACCCCAACACACGCCACCCCCACCAGCGGGTAGACCACCAACGCCAGCACCCGGAACCCCTTCCCCCGCCTCCGGCGCAGCACGGCCCCGCCCATAAATCCGCCAACCACGTCCGACGCAATGCCCGGCAACATCAGGGCGCCCGCGGCAGACGCCGAGAAGTGACCCGCCGTGGCCTGGTACAGCAGCGGCACGTGAAAGAGCACGCCGTACCAGGCAACAGCGTCAAATGCCAGGGCAAGGTAGGGTCCGAGGAAGGGGCGGCCGAAGAGTAAGTGGAGGGGCGTGAGCGGGTGGGCGGTTAGCGTGTGTTCGGTGCAGAGGAGGGCGAGCGGTAAAAGGGCGCTGGCGAGGAGATAGAGGTGCGTTGTCCATGTGAGGGGGCTGGAAAGGAGGTCGAGGTAGAGGAGGAGGGTTGTTAGGGAGGTGATGAGGGCTATGGCGCCGAGGAAATCGACTTGGGCGAGCTTGGTTTTGGTGGAGGTGGGTTTGTGATGGAGGCACCGGGGTTAGGGTTATTGACTTGGGCTCGAGTCGGTTACTTATTTCCGCTTTGGGAAAGTATCCGACTTACATGTCTCCGGTCCGAAGAAGACGTGGTCTGCCCAACCATCTTCGACTTCATTGTGGACTCGATGTACTACAGTCTATCCCTTCTCAATACTCTTGTCTCGCAAATTTCTTCCTTCACCTCACTTTTCTACCAGCTCTCTCCCGTACCTCCATCTCTTGATCACTACCACCACCACCACCATCACCTCCATAACAACAATACGAAGTTCAACCATGTCCTTCGCATCTGCGGAGAAGGAGGTGAGGTCCTCATTGTCTTCCCAACCCCAGCCCCAGGCCACCGATATCGTCGAATCCGCCGCTTCGCAGGATGGGCTCAGCACACCGGGCGCGCCTGGGGCGTCGGAACCGCCGGCCAACACACCGGTGCAGCTGGCCCTGATCCTCGTCGCTTTGTGCCTCGCCGTCTTCCTGGCTGCCATTGACTCCGTCATTATTACTCCTGCCATGCCAACAATCACCAAAGAGCTCAATGCCTCGGACGCCGGCTTTGCCTGGATTGGTTCTGCCTACCTCTTGGCCCTCTCAGCCACGTCGCCCTTTTGGAGCAAAGTGAGCGACATATTTGGCCGAAAGCCCATCCTCATCGTTGCCAACGTTATTTATCTCATTGGAAGCTTGGTTGCCGCCCTATCCAACAGTCTCGTGATGCTCATTGCCGCTCGTGCCGTCCAGGGCACGGGTGGTGGCGGTCTCATCACCCTCGTCGAGATTTCCGTGGGTGACATGTTCAGCCAGCGAGAACGCGGTCTCTTTTACGGAATCTACGGTGCTGTCTGGGCGGTTTCGACTGCCATTGGACCTGTTATCGGTGAGTTGAGGATGAGCTAGCAAGGTAGGACTAAACTGACTTGACCAACAGGCGGCGTTTTTACTGAGCGCGCGACTTGGAGATGGTGCTTCTGGTTCAATCTGCCTTTCGATGCCCTGTCACTCATCATCACCATCATCTTCCTACACACCCACAACCCAAAGACGCCCCTAGTCAAAGGCCTCATCGCCATCGACTGGGTAGGCTCCGTTCTGATTATCGGCGCCACCCTTATGTTCCTGATTGGGCTCGACTCGGGCGGCGTCTCCCACCCGTGGGGTTCTGCCTTCGTCATTTGCCTCATCCTCTTCGGCGTCGTCGCCTACGTTTTATTCGGCATTTACGAGCGGTATGCGCGCTACCCCGTCATCCCCCGCCGCATCTTCGTGGGATTGTCCCGCTCTTGCATCTTTGGCGTCGTCTTTTGTCACGGCGCAGGCTTTATCGCGCCCATCTTCTTCCTTCCGCTCTACTTCCAGGTTGCGCTTGGCGCCACCCCCATCCAGTCCGGTGTTTGGATGCTGGCCATCGCCATCTCCTTCACTTTGTCCGGCATCATCATGGGTATCGTCATACAGCGCACCGGCCACTACCTATGGATCATCCGCGGCAGCATGGCTCTCTTTACGCTAGCTGTTGGCCTGATGGTCACTTTCGGCCCAACGCGCGACTGGCCGCGCATCATCATCTTCCAGATTCTGCTCGCGGCCGGCATTGGCGCCAACATGCAGACGCTGGTCATCGCCATCCAGGCACTCGTCGCCCCGGAGGACATCGGCGTCGCTACGGGCACGCTCAACTTTGTGCGCAACATAGCCACCGCCATCAGCGTCGTGCTGGGGCAGGTCATCTTCCAGAGCATGCTGGCCAACCATACTATCGACCTGGAGGACTCGGGGATCCCAAGCGACGTGGTGCACCGGCTCGTCAACGGCGGCGCCATCTCCGGATTCGGGCTGACCGACGGGTTTACCAAGCCGCAGCGCACCGCCTACGCCACGGCCTTCTCCGACGCCATGTCCAAGATGTGGATCTTCTACACGGTGCTGATCTTTGTCGGTTTCCTGCTTTCGTTCGGTATCCGCAAGAAGGAGCTCATGACCTCGCACCAGGTTACCAAGACCGGGCTTGACGCCGAGGAGGCCAAGCGCCGGAAGTTTGAGACGCCCAAGGATGGTAGCGATGCGGTGGCTGTAAATGGGGAGAAAGCGGAGCACGCTTGAGGTACCTTAGTCAATTGGATGGAGAAGCATGAAGTGAAGTTGTTGTCTGCTCGGGGCCCATGAAGTTGGTCAAGAGAAATAATTTGCACACACAATTTATCTGTCAGCTTAAAGGGTACCAGAATATGATCTTAATCGAATAAGAAACAAAACAGTCCATTGACCAAAAGCCGCCGGTACTGTACGGGGCGTCGAGTCTGTTCCTGCGTGTGATCCACTATTATCAGTACGACTTCATAGCTTGTGGAAGGGGGAGGGCAACGATTCCTCGCAGATCCTTCTTGTCGTGAAGGTTTTTTGGGAATCATCGACGGGAACAGCCACGGTTGGCTTCGTGCACGCCGGTGGAGGCACATGGGCGAGTAGCTCGCTCAGATACGCGCCCCGACCCTCCAACGGCAAATTAGCCCTTGACAAAGATGATGTGTGCCACAAGAACTTGAGTCTCGCTTCGCATAGCTATAACAGCATCTGCGATTATGCCCGTAGATTCATTCAGGAGTGTGGACTCGATATCGAGAAGGTCAACTCGGAAGTCGCGGATCTTGACTTGGTTGTCTCCCTCGAGTCGTCCCTTGTGCATGAGCGTCCCGTCCGGGCGGAGGCGACCGACGTGGCCGGTTCTGTAGGAAACGTTAACGTCCCAGGCCGATACGAACCCGTTAGTCAGAAACTCCTCGTTCGTAAGTCGTTCTTCGTCAGATACCCGACGCCAACTCCACAACCACTGATCAGGATCTCGCCCGGAAATCCCTGCGGCACGAAGTTTCAAGATCTAGACCGCCGAGGAGGTACAATGGGGCGTCGGTAGTAAAGCGGTGATACACCTCAAAACCACACACACCACCAACGCTGGTCACGTGCCACGCTCGTTGTGATGTCAATGCAGCATGAGAGGAGATGGCTCAGGAAACAACAAAGTGATGCCGCGGATCCTACGATCGTGGTATCGATACGCCTACGCGCGGTCACAGCTGCCGCGAAAGAAATGTCACTTCTGCAAGTGTTGAAAGAAAAGAGTGAGAATTGTCTTGCCCCTTAACCCCTGAGAGGGCGGGAGTTGTCTCTCCTAAATACATGAGAAGTGCCAAGGTGGAAAAACGGAAAATAGATAACCCTACCCCTCTGGCCACTGCAAGGCGTATACCCCAGTTCAGTAGTGGTGTCTCCACGAAACTGAGTCTTGAGGAAAGGCCGGCGAAGTTGGCCCATCTTCTCCTCGACCGCCTGAGAAGCAAGTACGGAGAACGGGGTTGGGGTAAATATCGTGGGCGGGGGTGACTGCGCCGATGCCAGCGAAGCCAGCCTTGCTCAGGGCTTGATTTCACTTTGATCGAGTGATGCAGGGAGAATATGGGCGGCCGTCATTAACGCCCAACCACCAACCGGAGAGACCACCCATAGAGAATGAGTAGTGGATAGACATGTTGTCAGTAATGTCGAGGAGGAAGAAGAACCCGCCGGGTTCAGCAGCGCCCGTACATTTCGGAGGGTACCTAATTATTGTGTAAGTTGGTGGGAGTGTGGAGACATTGGAAGCGACAACAACGTCGTATGAGCCGGGCTTATAACCCTGACTGGCCGGGTCCTTTTCGGCATCGAATGTCTTGAAAATCATCTTCTCGCCGGCGCCTTCAAACCGGGCAGCAGCCTTCTCGAAGAAGCTGCTTGCGATATTAGTAAAGGCGCAAGACGAGTAGGCATCGTCCACGGCATCCAAGATAACTTGGGTTGAAGAGCCAGTTCATGCGCCGATGAAGTTGATCCGTCCGGGGATAGCGGTGAGTGAGCTGCTCACGCTCAGTCTGATGTCGATGGGCCAGGGGTATCGCTCCCTCAATTCTTTAATGGTCTTTTCGTCGTCATTTCGCCACTCGGGTTTGACGTACAACTGTTTACCGTCCATCGGGCGGCCGGGCTTCTGAATTAATTACTGGTACAGAAATCAAGGTGGCGGCGCCTGTCGGAGCAAGTTCGGAATTCTCGGGTATAACCATAGCAGACATTTTAAGGAGAGGAGTGGAAGCCGTCGGTATCTATGGGGATCAAGTGAGCGGGAGTGGCAGTCCGTGGGGCTAGGGGGGAAGGCGATGGGCCGATGACGACGCGGACTGTCACCGGACTGTGCCATCGGCGACTTTGGTGAGGTATGCAGAGATGGCGAAGTTCGCAGTGATGGCATCCGCCTGGACCGTGATGTTGGAGAGAGTCGCTGCGATTTTGATGCCAGCCTTTTCGTCGGGGAAGAGAAGCGCGCGGGTAATGTCGAGGTCACAGACTTCGAGAAGCTGCCCGGATATCATGTCCGTGGTCCTCAGCCATCATCTGAGCGGCCTCCAGAACCATCGAAATGTACCCTGCCGCGGGGAACACAACCTGGCCTTGAATCTGATGACCTTCCAGCCATGGAAGGTCCTGGATGCTAAGGAAGTTTCACCAACGGAGTTCGATCCCAGTTCCGTCGTCGGCCCTGGCGCCAAGAAGCGCGTGGGGGATTTGTGAACGGGTACGGTATTGTTGGCTCTTGCGAGACTCGTACCAGTATGGCTTGTCATGGTCCCAAGCATAGGTGGACAAGTTTCTTGAGGAGGGTAGGGCGACCAGCTTCAGGAAGCAAGGTATAGACAGCCGCGAAGCCAACGGCCGACGCACCAAGGTTTGCCCATACGGTGCCTAGACAAGGAGAAAAGACCAGGAAGCCGCCCTCCCCGCGCCTCAGTCCTCCAGAGTACGGAATTTCGACGCCGAGCTCGGCGATTGTTTACGAAGCCGGGCCTTTCAGAGCAGGATTGGGGCCAACTTCTAGAGCGAGATGAAACGGGCCGTCATTCCCCACCGCGGCGATCACGGCCTGCGAGGCGAGGATGGTGTTGGCCATGCTATCCCGCCAGTGGGTTCTACCGAGGGTGTCGTTCAGCTCGACCTTGGCCCCATCAAGGACGCCCGACTACCAAACACAGTTTCTGGCTGGTGACTTCATGGGCAACCATGGCTTCGACATACGGCTCTGCACACGGCGGCATATGATGCGAGTGGTTTACTTTGCAGTTGCCCGATGTTCGAAGCGGATGACAACTTAACGGGCAGGGCAGAACTACGCGAAGTGACTTTTGCAGCGCTGCCTCAGAGCTGGCAGAGAAAACAAATGGTAAGGTGGAGGATGTATGACGCTGCGTAGGGGACCCGGGGGGGGGGGGGTTGCTCTGAGGGTGTGTGGCTTTCGAGGATCAATAACGTGGGTGTGTTGTGTGTTTGCCCCTCCAAAACCTTGCTCCATGGTTAAATGCGAGTTACTTGGAGAAGATAAAGATTAAGCTTACCGAAGCTCCATAACTGCCTATTCTTACCGTGTAAGGTAAGCACCTCCAGATGGATTGAAGGTCGAGGTCGAATACAACGTGGTCAGCTCGCCTGGGAAGAGCGGCTGGGCTTGCCGGCTCCGATACTGCTGCGATTCAACCAGCCAGGCTTCCGTGGAGAAATCACTATGGAATACATCTGCCAAGTTACCTTAAAGACAACGCTGACCACTGATGTCCGTGGAAGTGCTTGACCTCACGAGGGGCGTATTGCAGGCATTAATTACCTAAGTACAATGAAAAACGTGACAGCTGCATGGCACAGGGTTGCGCAGCCAAAACAAGGTGGCCGTAATCAGGTACCTGGGTGACAGCCCGTAACCGAGGCGCGGCCCGACCCTGAACCATCTGTGCCGCCCAAGCTATCCCCATATTCGTAGGGTAGGGGTAATGAAGTCCCGCCCGGCCCGCCCTACCCTGCTGTGAAACTCGGCACCGACCCGAAACCAACCTTACCTTACCTGCCTCGGGTTGGTAACGCCAAAACCTTAACCAAACCTCCCGTCTCTACCGACCACCTTACTTATTCGCGATCCGTCATCCGAGGTCATCCACATTCATCCATGATGACCATAACGGACCAGCCAAACAGCGCCAACTGGCAAGATCCAAGTCCTGGCGCATTCGACTTTGAGCGATTGCTCGATTTTGGCGTCAAGGACATCGAATCCAGGCGCAACAAACCCTCAAGGCCGCTGGCATGCCAGCGCTGCCACGGTCAAAAGCTGCGGTGTGTGCGACGCACCAGCGATGCACCCATCTGCGACCGATGCTCGTCTGCCAATGTTGAGTGCGTTAGCCGCCAACCGCAGCGCATGGGCAGACCAGCCGAAACCACCACCAATGGTCTCAATAGCGCACACGATGCGGGTCGTCCCGGTTGGAGATTGAAGGCTCACGCCGAGTCCCATTCACGGCCCGCCGGGACTCCCTTGCTAACTGCAACTGGTGGTACGAAGCGGCGTAGGAAAAGCCCAGGCGATCCATCCGCCAGCTCATCGCCAACCGACATGGTCATCACCTACGACAGCGCGGCAAGACAGTTCGAGTTGGACGGATGGATGTGGCCGTCCGGCCCTTCTCTTTCCGACGCCGCGCCTCCAGCTCTCACCGCCGCCAGCAACACGGCACATTCCAGCAGCGGTGTCTCTTCCTCGGCCCTAGTGCAGCCGAGCACCGGTTTTACTTCGTATGTAAGCCCGCTTGGAAGCTTCGGTAGTCCAAATGCGCTCCTCCAGAGCCTTGACGACCTATCAAATCTGTTCCCCGCGAACATCGAGCCTCCGTGTTTCGAGCCGCAGCGCACTCCGGAGACCAGCGACGGGGTTAGCGATGACCAGCTCTCGCCCAGTGACGCGGTTGAGCATTTATCAAGACTCCATCTCGAGCTCTATCATTGCCTCGTCGCCGTCAAGGCCGTCGAGAAGATGAAAAGAGATCGGCTACGCTACCAACCGCCCACAAAGCCCGGCGGCGACATCGACACGAGCTGGTCTGAGAATTTGTTTCGCACCACGGAACGCTTCATCGAAGCTCTCGAAGACTACGTCGGTCCCCAAGCCTCGGATCCCTGTTTCCGCCCATCGTCGGGCCCAGCTCCTACGACTATGGACGACGACCAGAACCGCTGGGAGGACACCGACCCCAGCAACCCCGGGCCCCAGGTCGACACCGCCACCGGTCTCATGATTGTGAGCTGCTATACGCGGCTTGTGCAAATCTTTGACGTCGTGGTCTTCGTGGTTGAGACTTTTCAGGACATGGATTGCCCAGGCAGCTACGTGCAAGTCCGATTCGGCGACTTCACCCCTACCGTCAACAAAAGGTTCCAGGCCCGGGCGTTGGGGCAGTATGTGCTGCATCTTCTTGAGGGCATATCCGATGGTGTGGACAGGGCCGTGGCCTCCCGACAACCATATGCACGTGCAGTGGCCGAGGTCCGAAGAAACGAGGGCAGGCTCAAGGAGCGCATATTGACCACGTTCCATGGGGGGCGAAAGCCTTACCTGGGCGCCTCCCGGGGCCCGACATATCCTTTCGTTCCCAAGAAGGGGCGCCGGGGCTGATGCAGTAAGACGACATCAATAGGAACCGACATGGGACCAGCTTTTCATGTTTGTACATATGTATATCTAGCGAAAGAGCAGAGGAGGCGGAGAAAAGCGGAGGCAAAATCTTGACTCCCATTGAGTGATCAATCCATCATCCCAAAGTTCCTTAGATCTGCGATTGCAATTTCCCTTCCAAACATGCCACACGCTTTGAGCTTAACCGGACCCCGGATACCTAAGGAACTCCGGCTCGCTTTACAGCTTGGAAGCTTATTCTTTTCGGGGTCAGTACAGGTTTGAAACATACACGCGTGCAAATCGGACTCGGGGTCACGCACTCTCAACGGAGTCCAACCGACCTCGGAGCTTTCAGGTCAACTGTGACGAACCTACTCCAGGACCCCGTCCTGTTAAGGTTCAGCTTCGGTTGAAGGTAATCTCTCAAGGGTGCTTAGGTTCGGTGCAGCCAAAGAGTGCACAACAAAGACTTGTCTCAACAGTAGGCTCTCGAGCTTGTAGCGAACTGTAGTTGTGATTGCTAACTGGAGAACTCCCAGAGCTCTCCAGAACGAGTGGCTATATACTATCTAGGATCCGAAGTATCTCTGTACTTTTCCCTTGCGGGACGCCAGGTGCTATGTTGCTATGTGCTATGTTCTGTCTTAACACCATAGCACCTTAGCACCTTGCAGCTTGGCTGACGTCCCTGTTCCGAGTCCTGACTGGTCCATCTAGCGATTGGCCCGGGGCATCTCGCGCCCCCGAGTCCCACCTATTGGCATATTCGTGACACCCCAGCACCGCAAAAAACCATAAGAGGCAAGAACATGCCGCATATCAATATATTGTATGGGTCGGCCAAACCTCGCTGCTTCTTAATGGTGGGTATTAAGGTCGATGTCGGGGTAAGCGGGCTCTCAATTGCACCTGCTGTTGCTCTATTAGGTATGATATGGTATATGCCTCGGGGGCGAATGCCAGGTGTCAACGAATCACTATCTGTATTTCTGACAAGCTGTCACATCTTACATTCCCAGGATCGCAAGGATACCTATTCGCCGCACTCAACTTCCAGGCTCGGCTATAAAAGTCTTAAAGGCCATGTCGTAGGCCAGTAAACGACAAAGTAGGTAACCACGTATGAACGACTTGAGAGCTTTCCCCGGCTTTGGAAACGAAGCACCCCGTGCATGCAATCTCCTTGGGGTGCTTGAGGATGAGCTGAATCATGGCAAATAGTCGGACCCTCGAGCTCCGTAGCCTCACTTTTGGCTAGGTGCTGTGTTTCTGATAGGCTATACCGGCTAAGTTCCTCGGCTCGATGCACCTCGATCTGATGCGAGGGGTCGGACTCTCAAATTCTTGGAAATCCTGTCTCTGTTTGGAGTTTATACTACCAGTGGTGTCAATCCTTCGAATCCTTTCAGTTATCCGAATGTAACTCCATGAAGGCAGGAGTTGTCACTTGTCTCTACGCTTTTGTGACTTGATGTTAGGCTTCCGAGATCCAGAGCCCAACAAGCTTACCATCGGGCCCTCCTAACTGGATGGTGAAAGAGTGCAATGTATTGACAATGGAGAACATATTAAAAACGGAAACTTCCTTGAGAACAACCGGCTTTTGTGTCCCCTAACATGGAAAGTCATCGTGGGGCTTTGAGCTCGGTCTTCCTTGATCTCGGACTTAGACCCCTGTCATCTGTCCCACGCTAACAACCATACAAGAATTGAAATGCGTGAGGTGTGGTCTTGGCTGGCGCGAGCCAGCTTGAAAAGGTTTGGGGATGATAGGTGGTATGTCGGTGTCTGAATCTCCGGGGCAAGGGCGGCATAGTCTGCTCTATCATTATATAAAGCACTGCTCCGTGCCGGTTGACGAAGGATGCTTTTCTCTCTCCCTCCATTAGTCACCTTACGTTAACATAATACCTTTCCGTCTCCAAAAGACTCATCTTCGTTTTTCAGGTCACCCGCCTACCAAGCTTGTATGTTTACAACCTCGAACCACTAGTTTCTTGTCGCGCTGACCAACAACGCCTTCCAGGTCACCATGAAGTGCGCTACACTTTTTACCGCTGTCGCTCTGCTCCTCACCAGCGCTATGGCTCTACCCAACCCAAAGGCGGCTCCAGAGGCTGAGGCCAACCCGCAGATCTGCTACTGCAACCTTGGATGTTACGACACTTGCGGTCAGAAGTTCTGCTGCTAAGCCACACGTTCCTGGCGCCTAGTCACCTCGGAGACATGCAACTGGAGATCACTAGGCATGCATGGACGTTTGATTGGTCGTTGGTAACTACTTTGGATGATCATTTTAGTTACAATAAGTCTGGCTAGCAATCAAGACAATGTCGGCCTCTGAAATGGAGGTTACCAACAATGAATAAAGTCTCAGGGCAATAAGCGAGATGCCCAGCGATGCCCCCGGGGCCAAATATGGAATGCAGTTGATGCTTACAATCTTTTCCCAAATACAAATTCCAGATCCTCCGATATTACCCCATGATTTGTACCGGTTTATGATTTGCCCCCTGTAACGAAACAGGACTGGAGCCCCCTTAGTTATTAGGTTGGAAGCACGGGCATCATTAACAAAATAGCCCGATGCGCGTGGAGCAAGCACACGAGCATAGAAATCACCCAGGAGCCACGGCGGACGGGCTTCGAACCGTCAATCTCGCCCCAGATCGCTATTACCGCGGCTACGCCACGGCGCGATCTTGGGGGCTTAATTGACTGGTTCTTCGCTCGGTAACTAAGGTCTTTTCGCACCAATGGTGATGGTAACGCTTTCTTGGTGTTTTGAATAGCGATGGCTGGGAGTGGTGGCAATGGCTGAGTTGGGTGGGAGCGATGGCCGAATTCACTGGGAGGTGAGAGGTGGCAGCTGTCGCCAGGTGGCGCGATGCACAATTGCAGTGGGACAAAGAGGCACAGGCAGCTGGCAGTATTTCAGCCGGCGTTTTGCCGTCGGAACTAAGAAATTTAACTCGGGTGATACACCGAATGCCGCCATCTCCCATGAAGCCCGCTGAGCTCAGAAAGCTCAAAACCGACGAGTTTCCGAAAAGTGTTTGCTTTTATGCGGTGAGAGATGGCAGAACACGGAGCAAGTGTTCCGGGCGGTCGCTGGGAGCTGTAGGCGATTGACTGGCAGTACCGGTGCTGTCGCTATGGCGCTGAGACGACGTTGGGGGTGTCAGGTTGAAATATGGCCGCTGGGGCGACCTGTGCAAACACTATTTGATGAGGCTATTTAGAGATGGGTTGGGGGGTGACTCGCACGTCAGGCGGGCAACGGGACTCTCTCCGCATCACGCCGCCGTAGATCCTGCTCCCTTGCTTCAAACGATTCCCGGCTTCTCTGCCTCAAAGCGCTTAAGTCAAAGGGGACGTCAAAGATGACGCCTTGGAGCGTCTTGACCCGCGAAACAGCCACATACGAAAGCCCCGGCTGGAAGTCCCGCTCCGAGATATCCACAACCGCCTTCTCTACGGTCATCCCCTGCGACTTGTGGACGGTGATGGCGTAGGCGATGGTCAAAGGAAACTGCTTGCGGGTGCAGACAATGCGGCCTTTGGGGAATTCGCGTAGTGATTGAAATATGGGGACGACGTTGGCGTAGTTCACCCCCTGAGGCGCCCCCTCAACAGAGAAGCCAGCGGGACACATCGGCGGGCCCTCGTAGCTGTCAAACTCAACGGCGACGATGTTGGGGGCTTCTTGTCTCCAGTCTACGCCTGCTGCCCAGGCAATATCGCGGACGGTCCCCAATGCTCCGTTGACGAGGCCCGCGGGCGTCCAGATATTCTCCGTCAACATCACCCTCGCACCAATGCAAAGGGGAAGCTTGTAGTGGAGATTCCCAGCATCGGAGGCGGGCACTGTCTCGGCTCCCAGCCCTGTGTGCTTGGCGACGACTTGGCGGCAAGGCTGCTGGAGGGCGACCATGTGGTCGAGGTTGTAGTTGGTGACTTGCTGATTCGTAGGGAAGATGCGAATAGCCTCATCGAAAAGCGCGACCTCCTCTGCCGTCAGGTTGGACCGTACACGGGTACAAAGCAACTCCTAGTGCTCTACCGTTGGCTGGTTGTTTCTGAGGCCTTCTAGGGCGGCCCGAAAAGCCTCCTGATCCGCACCTCGCTGACGCTGGGCGACGGTGAGTTCAATGGTCTGATTCAGCGCCTGGTAAGCATTGCGGCCGGTAATCTCTAGCGGCTCAACTAGCTGAGCCGGGGAGTACAGTGGCTTGCCCCTGACGGGGGGGAGCTGATAGAAGTCGCCCATCAGCAGAATACTGACCCCCCCGAATGGCTCATTGCTGCGGGGGAAGATCTGACGCAGGCGGTTATCGATGAAGCCCATCGTCTTCAGCGAGATCATAGATTTCTCGTCAATGACGAGATATTTGAGCGACTGGAGGCGAGCTTGCGCGGCAGCCACGTCTGGAGGGCTCAGTGGCTCGAAGGCGACGATACCGACGGGGAGGCGGAGCAGTGAGTGAAGCGTGGTCCCCTGGATCCCGTTGGCAGCTACGCCCGTTGGTGCTGACCGAATGACGATATTCTCAGCATCAGGGCGCGCTTGCTGCACCGCCCGCTTGTACAGATGAGCGGATATTAGCTTGATAGCGTAAGACTTGCCTGAGCCGCCTCTGCCGTCAATATTGAGCCTGAGCGGTGGAGGGTGCAAACCATCAACAGTCTGCTGGTCGTGGGTCATCACCATGTCGTAGATGAGGCGCTGGTGGGGGCTCAAGGTGTCCTCCGCACCGTCAGGGAAGTCACCGACGTCAAAGCCAAGGGGATGGGCGAGCTTGGTCTCCTTCCAAAGCTGGTTGCTGAGCCAGTATGGGCGGGTGCCAACGTGGCTGCCCCAATCTTTTGTAAGATCCTGCGGACGGTTGCCCAGGAGTTCGATATCCTCCGTCTCCGGACCCCGTCGCGGGAGCTCACGCGCCAACTCGTCCCAGGGGATGGGATTGGCCGCGTCTGGTGGCTCCTCGTCCTCATCTGACGCCTCCTGAAACTCCTCTTCGTGACCGTCAGCCATGACGCCGTAATAGTCGTCTTCGTGGCTGTGGTTCTCCAAGCAGTAGCGGTAGGCGGCAGAGTAGCTAGCAAACGGGACACCATCTACAATCTTGAGCTCGTCGTGGTGACGGTGGGGGTGGTGCAACGTCAGCTTCATACGGCAAAAGTCGTCTCTTTGAGTTTCTTGCTTGTATTTGGGAAAGTACCGCAGCACCCGGTCTTTTGCTGGTGCTTGCCAGTGCCGCCATGGCTTCTTGGAGAAGTTCACCTTCGTCAGGAATTGGAAGTAGCTGATCCCACCCCAATCCTCGGTGTCCTCTCGGCCCAGATATTTAGTGTAAATGGAGAGCGTCTCCTGGACCGTCTCGTCATGGATGATGTACTGACGTTGCGCCTCAGGGCTTCGGCAGTCCACCTTGAGAATCTGACGGCTGCAGTGGACGAGTTGAAGCTCAAGGAGATGGTGAGCGATCTCCTGGGCTGGGTAATCTCGCTCCGCGGCTATCTTATTCATCATCTTGCTGACGAAAGAAAGCATAGGCGTGCGATGAGAGACGTGTGGGAGAATCTTGCTGGCCATCTCTCTGTATGAGACCGTCGCCTCTTCGCCCTTGGCAGCGTATTTGGCGACGTAGTTGACGACAGCAGAGAGAGACGTGCAGGGAGAGAAATCGATGTTTGCCAGCCACGCGATGATGACGGCCGGGTTGAAGCTGTTGAGAATAGCGTCATTGCGGGCACCGTCGTACATCTAGTAGTTTGGGTTGAGCGCTTTCGTGACGATGGCTTCTTGGTGCTCCGGCCGTGGGAAATAGAAGCGGCAGGCGAGCTCACTCTGAGGCGCTGGTGCTGGAGACGCATCCAGGGGTTGCCGGGGAGTCTTCTTCTTCCGTAAGCAGTATGAGGTGTTGCAGTGGTGACGCTGGACGCGGTTGACAACCTTGGACAGCTGAGCGAAGCTTAGCTCACTGTCAACAGTGGGAATGGCGCGTAGCGGGTTGCTTTCGCCCGGCGGCATCTGCCGCCCAGCCTCCGGGTTGACGGCGTGGACGTGAATGCCCCAAAACTCAGCGAACTGCTGGCGGGCTGCCTCTGAAGTCACCTCAGGGAGCGGTGCTTCAAGGAACCAGTATAGGCCATGGCTGTGGGGACTGCCACGGCCCTGCCACTCGTACCGTTGCCATAGTTCAGTGAGATTGAACTTCTGCTTCATGACGAGCGTGGTGAACAGTTGCAGGCGGCGGTGAAAGTGGTAGGCTGCGATATGGGGATTATCGCGCAAATTGGCGACAGAGATGCGCATCCGCTGGAGCTCTTCAGCAGCCAGCCACTCCTCAAAGCGCGGCATGTGTTGATGAAGGCTTTGCCAGTGGTTATCTGCAGCACTGAAAGTAATGAAAGCACTGGGGCATTTGAGCGCGAAGGCCATGGCGAGCAGCTCCTGAAGCTTGACACCCCAGTAAGCTTTGGTGCCGCGGATACTGCCCGTCCATCGCACGATGGAGTCAAGAAGCCGTTTGCCGTCAGGGGTCTCATTGCGGAGCGCCTCCTTCAAAGTGTCGATATTGACTGGCTCGGGGTTGAGCTGCTCATGACGCTTCACGAAAAACGCGCTTCTGGCGCTGATCTGACGCCTCATCCGAGTATTGAAGGCGACGAAGCGAAATCGGGGGTGGCGCGCGAAGCGCCCGTCGCGCCATTTCAGTGCATGCTGTAGATAGTCGCCATATTCGATACTGCGCTGCCGCGGGAGCACAAATTCAGCTTTTCCTTCCGGGTAAAGTGAGGGGAAGGCAAGAGAGAGAAGAGCTTGGGAGCGATTGAATTCGCTGAGGGGAGTGCTGCGAATCTCGGGGACGACGATATGGTCCTGAGCTGGTGGTGCTTCATCTGGAGGTGGAGATTGCCGCCGGGGTTGAAATTCCATGGGATTGTGGACATGAGGCTCACCAGCAAGCTCAGCGCGCAACATATCAAGTTCTCGCTCGCTGACGACCATATTCGGTACAGCAGCCGCCTCCTGGTCATCAAAGTCAACATCTTCAACAGCATCCTCGAGGCTGACAGCAGCATCCTCAACTTCATGGATGGGAAGCTGGTCCATGAGATCGCCGCGCTCCGGGAGGGCTTGCAAGGCAGCTTGGTCCACCTCAATATCTCGATAGCCGGGGTGGTGGGCGCGCAAGAAAAGCAGCCACGCGGTGACGACCTTGCGGCGCACAACAAATTGACGGCGGAACTGGCGCTGGAGATGCGGGTGGTTTGCGGTGTTGGCAGGCCGTAAGATGATAACGTCAAGATCCCGCGCAAGGCATGGTAGCTGGCCATAGACCTTGCCCACGTCCCGCAAGAAATGCACGACGTGACCGCGATACTTGTATTGCGCACCGCGCACCGTCAGGACCTGAATATGGACATGGACGCGCGCGATAAGCATTTCCTCAACCGGGGTGAGCTCACCTAGTCTTGCCAGCTGAGGAGGGACGTCTCCGAAGTCAAGATTGTTGGCGGCTGAGTAGAAATAGGGAAGGGGAGGCTGGTCGGCTTGCTCACGGAGGTAGGGGAAGTCGCGACGCTGGCACGTGTGGCAGACAGCAACACCATTAAAGTCCCGTAGCTTCATGTCAAACCAGCGGTGCTGACACCGGCCGCAAAGCTCCATCTTGTCGTCCGTAAGCTGCTGGTGAAAGGATTTGATAAGCCGGGCATCCTCCGAAGTTACCGCAATTGTATCCAGCGGCGTCACCCCCGGCTCAAATGGAGGATCGGGTGCTGTGAGATCGCGAGCAGGTATAGGCCGCACTGAAAGCGGGCGTCCTCTCGCAGGGCGTGGAGGCAACTGGGAGGCGGGGATGAGGCTGGAGGGAAGCTGGCTTGAGGAGAAGTTGTTGGGGACGTCGTCACCGTCATATTGAGACGAGTGGACCGATGACCGGCCCGACGGCAAGAAGCTCCCACTAGAGTGACCCTGCCGCACCTCCGGTGTGACGAGCGGCGGGCCACCGGCTCCCGGTGTCGTGGGAGCGGGGCGCGATGAATCAAGCTGGGAGAGAGACGGTGACGAAGACGAAGAAGGCTTTGCCCGTAGCTGAGCTAGGGTAGGTGTGAGGCTAGTCTCAGCTCCGCCCCGTCGCTCAGCACGGTGCCGCCGTTGGATATCAGTTTGCTCTTTGCGAGCTTGTGCCGTTGGGGGACTGTCGCCTGAGTGCTGGCCACGGCGAAAGTAAGTTGCTGTAGTTGCTGCGGAGGTAATGCGACTGAAGACTCGATCTCGTCGCCGTAGCGGTGACGGTGACGGTGCCACTACAGGCGTAGGAGAGTGGGGAGACGTCGCTGCTATAGCTGCGGGATGGGCTGTAGCCCTCCTTTCGGACAGCTGCAACGGTAGACTTGCAAGCGGCGTGCCAAGCTCAACGCGAATTTCCTCTAGAGCCAAAGGCGTGACTGGGCGATGAGGAGCTTCTCGTGGCTGGCTGGGCGTAATTGCAGCTACTGCTTGGGACCGCTTGGGTGTCGCGGATGGCTGCTGGGAAAGCGACGAAGATTTGGGAGGGACGACTGCTTGAGAACTTGAGGGATTGGAGGATGGAGCAGCCGCAGCTTCGAGGCTTCGTCGTAGATAGTCCACGCGTGCAAGCTGGGAATAGCCTCATAGTTAGCTCAGTGGCGTGACGAAGTGGGAGTAAGGAACAACTTCTTGACGGCGCGTAGCGGCTTTGTCGTCACGGCAAATAGTACAGCTTCCAACCAACCCGCCCTTCTTACCGTAGAACATGCTAACAGGCCTTCGGGTATTGCATCTAAAGCAAATCATGGTGCTGGGGCCAGCAATGGTGTCGCCAGCCCCGTTGCCGCGGTTGCCACTATCGCCACTTCTACCGGGCGCGTCTGCAGCTCCCACGCCCGCCATCTGCTGGAAATGAGCTGAAAAGTTGCCAGAAGCTGGCGCAATTGACGAGCTATCGTTTCGTTGTGTAGATTTGCCGTATCTTAAGAATTGGGTTCTGCGCGATGATTCTGGGATGGCTGGTGCGATTGCCAATGGTAATGCGAATTGGTTGTTTTGATGGTGGGGAGCTTGTTTGGCGGGGCATGAAGCCGACGTCATTGCAAGCTTTGCGATATCACGTGCGATGTCAAGTGTTGTATCACGTGCCGCCGGACCGGCGCTTTTGCATGCGGTCTGATTCGGGCCGCTCACCAAGTGCCGTCAGCCAATCGCCCCGTCGGGAAAGGTGGGTCTAGAAATTTCAGCCAATCAGAGCACAGGAATTAACTGTCTGAACCTGTATAGAACCCCCATCCGCCAAACCTACGCACAGCCACCTCCGCTCGCTAAGGCTCGCTACGGGGGCTGTTGCTCCGGTGTGGCTCCTGGGTGAATAAAGTAGACTGACATGAAATCTAGCTGTGTTGGAAACTGGAATAATGATATTTGTTACTGCTGTGGACAAAACGACCAGGAGCACAACCATGTAAATCCCACCGGAAACTCTAGAAATGTAGCGTCATACCCGGTTACTCGACGGTGATAGCGTCATGAACCAATATGTTGCTCTTCGTCCCCCAGTCTGTCACTTTCAACATCGTTATCGCTACCCGACCATTCGGCGCTCTCAAGACCCTTGTTACGGATAGCGAATGAACCGAGCCACCCCGCAAGAGTGACCCCGGCAAAGAGGCCCCAAGCAAGCACCTCCCCCTTCGGTTTTACGCCTGTTGATAAAGTGAAGAGGCCGCCAGATAGAAACGGCCCGATACTACGGCCAGCGGCAGAGAGGGTCTGGGCGATCCCGTTGAGGGTGCCCAAGGTTTCGTGTGACGGTGCAGAGTTGGTAATCTGGCCATCGGTTAGCTTGTGCCCTCAGCATGGTAAATTATGAGCCGTGAGAACTTACCAACAACATAACGCTGCTGAGCCCACCAACGGCGCAGATGTTCTTGAGTACCAGAATGACCCCCAACTCGCCATACAACCAGGTCTTGCCAGTCCCTAGTCCAAGTATTGGCTCATCATCAAGATGGTTGACCCAGGGCATGAGCGCCATGCTAATGGCCATGCCAAGCAATGAATAGCGGTAGGTGCCGAGGTTTCCGATCCGTGTCTTGAGTTTTTGAAAAGCAAAGAGTTGGAAAAAAATAGTGGCCAAGCCTGCCAACGAGAGGCTGACTCCGATGATACCGGGTCCAAGTTGGCGGCCTGTGGGCGGTGGGGAGGAAGCGAATATGGGGTACAGGGAATTGAAGGAGATGTTGGCGAGCTGGAAGACAAGATAGGTCCCCAAGACGGCCAGTGTGTTGCGGTTGCGTAGTTCACGGAAGGCCGATTCCTGACCCTCGGCGCCCTTGCTGTCGCCGTCTGCGTGCTGACTGCCTTGGGGCGAGAGTAGCTCTTGCTGTTCGTCTTCGGAGCCAAAAACTTCGTCCTCACAATCCGGGTGCGTGTCCAGGCCGCCCAGCGCGGTGCGCATAGGGCCTGACAACTGTCTGCCTTCGCCTCTAAAATTGCTTGGCGCCGTGCCCCAGCGCGCTGAGCACCACTCTCGTACCCTTTTGAACCAGCCTAAGCCCGGGCCAGCCGCGGCGCGGTCAGCGGAACCGAGAGTCTCATCGAACCAAATAGCTAACACCACCACGCTGGAAAGTAGAAGGGCGGCATCCACAATGTTGGGCGCCAGAAATGGGTATTTGTCCTTCCTGGAAAGCCCAACCAATAAACCACCCAGGGCGGGGCCCGTGATGCTCCCAAGACTGTAAATGACCGGGAGCCAAGTGAATGCGCTGCTTTGGTTTGTGCGATCCCGTATATTTCGCCCAAGCAAGTCGGCACGATGGCTGCATTGCCATTGAGCAACCCCATCGCAATTATGGGACCATGATTAGTTGGGCATATGTGATACAAAAGCCGAAGCAAACGAAGCAACCCATCAACAAGAAGGTACCTAGCAGCATGGTCGGCTTGCGTTCCACGGCGGTCCGACAGATAGCCCCAGAGCAATTGGTGGCCAGCCTGTTGCCAGGGCAAAGGCCGATGCGAGGAGGCCGACGTATAAACCCTCATGACCCGTCCGGGGATCTCGTCGAAAGAGGCCACCATGGTTGGCAGGTATGGGCCAATCGAGTTCAGCGCGGTTTGTTCCGCGAGCGAGAGAAGCGCAAGAAGGCCCAATTGTTCCCAGGGCAATGGAGTGATATCTTCGTCGGCAGAATAAGTGTCCGAATCCGCTAATTGCCTCCTCCGATCTCGGTGACCGTCCTCGTCGGCGCCCGGCGCGTTGCGTGGTAAGCCATCGGCCGAGTCTTGCTCGGGGTTGGATGCGTGATTAAAGGGCCGGAAAAGACGTTTGTACCAGGCCTTGGGTTCTTGGGGTGACCGCTGGTCGTCCGAAGGGGCGTCTGGTGGTGGGGTGGGGAAAGTGTGGTATTTGGCCGTCGACTGGCGACGGAGCAATTGGCGAACAGCGGAACGTCTTCGCGTCCGATTACTGGCAGGGACGGGTTCATCGTACGGGGACGGTATCGGGAACGGCGCTCCGGCGTGGAAGGATCCTGATGCGCGGGAACGGCGTGTTCGAGAGAAATTTGGTCGCGACGTGTTTGTTGGTGCAGCAGCCCTCGCTGCGGCGTGGGTTGCCTGAGTTCCATGCACCATTGGAAAGGAAAACTACGCGCCCGGGGGCGGCGAGCTTGGTAATTGGGTCTTGACGGCGCGTACAATTGATGGTCGAGGATACTGTGAGACTTCGTCTATCTAGGACGAACTCCTTTTTCGGACTGCGGGCGGTGTTTGGTGTAGGTCGGTCTTGAAGCAGTGATGGGTGATGGATGGAGGGGTTTCTCGAATGGCATGGACGATTCGTCCTCTTTCTCACATTCCAGGCTCGCTGCACAGCTGCACAGCGTCTTCCATGCATGGCGCTTTCCCAATTAGGGTTAGGGGTTATGGCGAGCACAACGGTGATGTCATCAACCCTTGTCCCTTCAGAGTCTTGGCAGTCGTGCCTCCGATCGGCGCTTGGCGTCCAGCAAGCCGGAGCATCGTGTCCGGAAATCTGGTGTGCGAAGTGGTTTGGGTTGGCGATATCAACATGGAAGTACAGCAATTTGACCTGACGATGAAGTCCCGAAGCAGGCAGCCACTCACGTGTCACCTTTATATCGATATAAGCCAAGGACATTATTCTTGCCCATGCCCCCGAAACGCGTGCAGTTGCCGTTTCCTTTTCCAAGCAGACGTCTGAGGCCGTCAAATATGGATGTGGCTTGATTCGTGGCTACCGTCACGGGTCGATATGATGATTTATTCATTTTTACCGCCCCTACGCCTTTCTATGACCAGGCCTCCATCCTCACACTCATTCCAGCCTCCTTCTACTCTTAAAAGACAACCGTCTTGGTGCCATTCAGGAAAACGCGGCCTTCCGCATACCATTTGACCGCAGCAGCGAGAACTTGGCTCTCGATGTTGGAGCCTTCATCGACCAACCCGTTGGGGTTAATGCTGTGGTCAACGCGCGCTACCCGCTGCTCAATGATGGGGCCTTCGTCCAGGTCGGCTGTGACAAAGTGCGCCGTGGCGCCAATGATCTTGACGCCCCGGTCGTAGGCTTGATGGTACGGCTTGGCACCCTTGAAAGACGGCAGGAAGCTGTGGTGAATGTTGATGATGCGGCCGGACATGGCTTCGCAAAGGGTCGGACTGAGGACCTGCATGTATCGTGCTAGGACGACAAGTTCGATGCTGTGCTTCTTGATGAGGTCGAGAATCTGCCCTTCCTGGACCGCCTTGGTCTCCTTCGTGACGGGGAGATGGTGAAACTCAATCCCATAACTTGCGGCGAGTGCGGCGAACTCCGGGTGGTTGGACACGATCAGAGGAATTTCAATGGGGAGTTGGCCGGCCTTGGCGCGGAAGAGGAGGTCATTGAGGCAGTGCCCAATCTTGGACACCATGATAAGCACCCGAGGTTTCTGGGAAACAGGTCTGATCTTATACGTCATCTTGTAGTCCTCGGCCAGCGAGTCAAAGATAGGACGCAAATGCTCGGTCGATTCTGCCGCCCTTGGGCTGGGGCCGAAGTGCACCCTCATGAAGAATTTTTCGCTCACGGGGTCGGAGAACTGCTGCAAATCCAGGATATTGTGCTCCTCGCGGGCGAAGATGCCCGTCACAGCGTGCACAATACCCGGCTTGTCCGGGCAGGATAGCGTGAGAATTTGATCGGTTGCCATTGTTGAAATGCTAGTGTTGATGCCGGCCGTTTGCTGTTGAGATATTTCTCTTGAAGGATGGATGCGTCACAAACAACGATTTGTGATCCGAGTCTAACTAAAATCTGGCCTGCTCCAACATGTGTCCACTTGGTTGAGCCTGAAAATTCAGGGTTAGGGTAAACATCCCCCTTGCAATCCGAGTTGACAGTCCAACCTGAATTAGATGATAAAGTCAATTTCTAATATGTTTACCGTCTGTTTATAGGAATCTAAAGAGCCAAAATTCCATGTTTTAAGTTGTCCGATAACGAACTAGTCAGCATCATTCAGATTTCGTGGTCATTATACACGACCCGCCCCCTTATGTAGCTCGTACAAATTTCGGGATTTCGGTAGCTCGTGTGGGGTGGAAATTCTAACCCTAAGTGTGTTGGTGTTCGTCTCGTTTATACAGATTCCTACATTAAAAGAAGGAGAAAGAGTAAACCAGTGCTATTGAACCCGTTGACGCAGCCAAATCCCCTTCGCAGCCAAAGCGAGAGGACGAGTCTTCGATCTCCGTCGATTTGACACCGCCATCACCAAATTCTGTCATTTTCTTTTACACATAAGAAGTACTTGCACATATCCCTATCGCACCTAGTCAAGGAGAAGGAGATCATGGTACCAAATGATCTTAACCCCAACCATCCTTTATCCTTACTTCCAGTTCAGTTATACTAGTAGAGTGGATGCTATATCAATATCGCCACCGCGGCTGTAGCGACCCACCAAACACCATTATAATTATTATTCATACTCCGCTATGCCCTAGGGCGTGTGGGCCGCGAGAACTGACCCCCCGCGGAAATGGTAGAGTGGAAGATCCTCTACTGGAACGTTGCGAAGGCGTACGAGAGGGTGAGGAGGGATGCGGTGGAGCAGAGAGATCGCTACGACATAATAGCAATCCAGGAACCTAGAGTAAGAAGCGAACGAGTAGCCCATACTGCCCGGCAGGCTGCCGATACTGGGTAGTAACGAGTACAGGCAGGGGGAGGGCGCTAATATACGTGAGTAAGGAGCACGAGGAGGGTAGCTGGGAGTTCGAGAGGGGGGATGACTGGGTTGCAGTAACCTTCCACAGCGGCGCCGAAGAGGCACTGACAGTCTGGTCGGTATACTCCCCAGGCCAGGGGCCAGGGGAACCATACGAACAATGGAAGACACCACTCAAAGAGCTTGCAGAGAGACAGCCGCGGGGCCGTAATGTGGTTGTAGGGGATATGAATCTCCACCACCCGATGTGGGATGCAGAAGGCAGAACAAGCCGGGGCGTGGGCCTGCTCCACGGCCTCGCAGAGGTCTGGGGGCTCGACCTTATAACACCATGGGGCGAGGTTACCCGCTACGGGAACGCAACAAGGGGGGAGCGAGACAGCACCATCGACCACGCATGGGTCACAAAAACCTCTACAGCGGTGTACCACGGACCGGGGGACCCGTGCTTAGGGGGGTCAGACCATGTCCCACAACGAATCTCGGTCTACGACGAGAGGCAGAAAAGAGAGCGTAGCGAAGTCCTAGAGGGCTGGAGCTGGGGCTTAATGAACGAGGAGCAAGTCGAAGAGCTAGCGAAAGCTAGGATCACTGTCCCCGAACGAATCGAACACCCGGAGCAAGTGGAACCCTCCTTCAACAAACTACTAGAGGAGCTAATTGGAATCGCCAACGAGGCGGTCCCACGGAGAAAGCGTAGTAGCGGAAGGCAGGCCATCTGGTGGAACATTAAAATCAAGAACGCGACGAGGAGAACGCGAAAAGCCTTCCGAGACTGGAGAGCTGTGAGGACGCCGTGGCGCCGCGAAGAACTCGAAGAGGCGAGGAGAGCACAGAGAGCTATCATCAGAAGGTCGCAGACGAAGTGCTGGAGGCAGGGTATCCACGAAGCATCGGCCGACCCCCAGAAGCTGTGGGCTATAGAGAGGTGGGCGAGGCTCCGAAGCCATATCGCGGCGGCACCACCAAAGATCCCCTCCCTGACCAAGGAGGACGGAGGCACAGCAGAGACGCATGGGGAGAAGTCTAGTATCCTCGCAGACCGGTTCTTCCCTACCGTTATACCAGGAGTCGACCCGGGGCCGCGGGGATATAGCCACGGGCCCGATAAGGAGTACGAGTTCCTCCACCAGGAAGTGACCAACGAGGATATTAGAAAGACCCTGGCAAGAACAGCAAACAACAAGGCACCTGGGGAGGATGGACTTTCCAACGGGTTCTTAAAGGCCTGCGGCGAACCCCTCTACAACGCAATGGCGGTCCTTACAAGAGGGAGCCTCGCGCACGGAGTGTTCCCGCGGCGATTTCGCAGCGGAAGAGTAGTGGTACTTAGGAAGCCCGGTAAGTCAGAGGAGCAACAAAAAACAGCGGGCGCCTGGAGGCCGATCACCCTCCTCAGCAGCGTTGGGAAAGTCGTCGAAATGGTAATCGCAGAACGCCTCTCCCGGGAAGCGGAGAAGCAGGGATGGCTCCCCGAGGGGCAGATGGGGAACCGCAGCGGCCGCTCCACGGAATTCGCGATCAGGGTGGTCACGGATGCCGTACACGAGACCTGGCGGCATAAGGCGAACGCATCTCTCCTTCAACTAGACCTCAAAGGGGCCTTCGATAGGGTACACCACGGATGGCTCACAAGGACCCTTAGAGAACTGGGGGTCCCGCTGTGGACCCTTAGATGGGTCGATTCGTTCACCGCTGGGAGGTCGGCAAAACTCTGGTTCGATGGGACGATGTCCGAAAGGTACGAGGTGGCCGCAGGGGTCCCGCAGGGGTCCCCCCTCTCCCCAATCCTCTTCCTTCTGTTTATCTCAACACTCTACAAGAGGCTCGAGGTAGTAAGGGGGGCAATCGTGGTAGGGTTCGCAGACGACACAAATATCCTGGCCGTAGCGGAGACGACGGAGGGTACCTGCGGCATCCTAGCGGAGGCCTGGGGACACTGTGCAGGTTGGGCAGCAGAGAGGGGTATGGAATTCGAGCCAGCGAAGAGCGAACTAATCCACTTTTCGAGAGCAAGGGCCCCGATCGAGAAGACCCTAACGATCGGGGGGGTAGAGCTGAAACCAGTTGAGGATGCTAGATTCCTTGGGGTTTGGCTCGATAGGAAGCTGAGGTACCGCGCACACCTCGCGGCGGTGAGGAAGAAGATGAAGACCCAGACCTGTGCCCTAACAAGGCTCGCGGCAAAGACGTGGGGGTGTACCTTCGCGAGGGCGAGGGAGATCTACTCGAAAGTGATCCGCAGTGCGATCGCGTATGGAGCCTCAGCCTTCCACACCCCTACAGAGGTAGGGGGCCCCCCCCGCGGGGCCGCAAAGGAACTCGCAAAGATCCAATCGGAGTGCCTCAGGGTGGTCGCTGGGGCCTACAAGGCTACCCCAATACGGAGCTTGGAGACAGAAACCTATTGCCCACCCATCGACCTGTACCTCAACAGGAGGCTCCTTGCCTTCGAGGATCGGGTTAGGATATCAGAGGAGGCGAGGCTAATCCGCCAGACCCCTGCCACAATCGCTGCGATCCTGCGGCGGAGGCGCAGAAGGGGGAGGGGAAGACCTCGGCGGGAGATAGACGATATAGCAACGGCACCAGCGGAAAAAGGCTCGGGAGAATGGAAGAAGAGGTGGGCACAGGAGTGGGCCCCCCTCGAGTCGAGGCCGGAAAAGGAGGAGCTAGAGCCAGGGTCAACCGGCCCAGTACCAAACCACAAGAAACAGCTCGAGAGGTGGATGGAGGAGGCAATGAGAAGGGATTGGATTGGAAGATGGGAGAGTGAGGTAGCTAGGGTGGTCGCTAGGAACCCGGGGCGGGCCCTCGAACCGGCCGATGCGACCGCGCGGTTCGACGCCTCTATCATGAACCGACACCGGTCGAGGGACCCAGCCTGGGAGCTATCGAAGGCGAAGAGTACTCTCCTAGTGCAAGCGAGGACCGGGAAGATTGGGCTTCGAGGGTTCCTCTTTACTAGGAGGGTCCCCGAGGTAGTAACGCCGGTATGCCGCTGCGGTATGGCGCGCGAGACATTCGAACACCTCGTACTCGAATGCAACGGAGCCGCAGATAAACCTCATCCCTGGCCAGACGACGGCGCAGAGCTACTGGAGTGGCTAGATGACGTGGAGAAGGCTGCCATAGTGGTGGGGTGGGTGCTTGGGCTGGGGAGGCTGAACGAGTTCCGGCTGGCGGTAGAGCTGGAAAATGAGAACAACGAAGAGGCCCGCGGCGGGGCCGAAGCGGAGTAGCAGAAGGGCATCGATGGAACAGAGGTTACGACTCATTTTATCTATTTCGTTACTTTGACCTCGGAAGGTGGGTGAGCCCTTTCGAGGAGATGGATCCACGGGGTAGCGGCAAGGCCGCAGCGGAGGTGCGGAGGTTTTCATCCAGCTTAGGCATGGTTTTTCCTACCGAGTTAATCGCTGAGGGACCGCATGTACTTAGTACCTAGCGTGATAAGAGAAATAATAATATGCCCTAGGGCGTGCCGGACCCTCTGCTATTTAGTGTACAGGAAAACCGTGCCCTCCCGGGCCGGGTGAAAACCTCATACCAACAATCAAGGAACGATGCGTTCTGGTGAGTCTGCGTATACAAAGAGAGGAGGCCTCCTGGCCTCCGGACGGGGGCGCTTCAGGCCGCCGCTTCCAGCTCGAGCCTCCTGGCTAAGCTGTACATCGGCAGCTTCCCCGAGTCCATCAGCCAGTCGAGGACTCTCCTCGCGAGTCGTGCAGTCGTGGGATTGATGCCGTGTAGAACAGAGTAAAAGTCCCGTCGTGTCCGAATTCCAGTTCTTTCCCATCTTCGAGTCAACGGTGGGGCCAAACACCACACTACCAGGTGTTCGGCAGTCTCTCGTCCCTCGCCACACTCGCAGACAGGTGTCAGAACCTCCGGGACTCCCCGTGTAAACAAGAAGTCCCGTAAGCCTATTTCTCCTGTCCGGATTTGAATCAGCAGTGAGCTCTTCGCCCTGCTGAGACCGTCGTGCCGTCTTAGGGTTTCGTTCCGGAATATCGTCTCCCGCTGATGGTCAAAGTCGTCCGCCGGTCTATTGATTGCCCTGCCGTCCCGTTCCTTCAGCCACCTCGCTTTCCAGGCGTCTTCTACTACCCTGTCCGTGGAGTAAAACAAATAGAAAAGAAAAAACCGACTTAAAGAAACAGCAGGTGGCCTTCGAGCTTCCGAATGGCTTTCTTTTCATCCCTCTAGCCGAAAGTTGGTACCGGAGAAGTCGCGATGCCTATTGGTAGAGGAAGACGAAAAGAACTATAGTAGGTGCGCTTGGTGTGGCCAATAACTCAAAGGTCGGGGCTTAGAACGACGATGCCTTGATTGTTTGCCCCCACTATCGATTTCTAATATTGAACGAAACCCCGAGGATTAGCATGAGTCAGGTTGAGCCGAGTCTTTCTTCGCCATCTGAGACCACTTGGGGCATCAGCGGGGAGATGGCTCAAAGGAAGCCGTAATACACATGTAGCCCGGGAACAGGTGAGAACATAAAGGACCGTCCAAATAAGGTTGAGGCAGTCATGACACAACACGGGATGGCCACTGGCGGCTGAGACCAGGGTGCGCCTCTCACAGCCCAAAGCGGGACCATCACCAATGCTGTGCCGCAGGGACAAGCGTTGCAGGATCCTTCCCGTGGCACCAGCAATGCCCCAATCCGGGCATATTCGACAACATATTCCAACGGGTCCTCCAGTGGCCCAGTCGGCTACTTTACCCCCGGCTTCCAAACAAATTGCCATTTATCATCGGTCGGCGACCTCCGCCCGTTAGTGTGAGAGAAATAGGCGGAAACTCATGCCACCTTCTGAACCCGCCGTTCGGGGACATGAAATCGAGTTCACACCAAGAGTCAGCTGCTCCCTTTATGAGCTTGGCAGCTCGTCCCAACACGTGGCCCTGGGTGGTGAAGTAACTAAGGTAACCGTCTCAGCTCAAGCTTATGTTGCTGCCTCGGTATCTCATGGGGCTCTAATTTCCCGACGGCATCAAATTTCTTAATCCACATTGAGAATTCTGCTGTCCACCTTGACGGCACTGGGAATCATGTATAATGATGGGAACTGGGGAATGGGCAGCGCTTTCAGGCTTTCAGCTCTGGCCACAGTCCCGTCCGATGTTAGTGGCGGCGCGATGATGACCAAGGAATCCTCCAAGTCCAGAGCTGGAAATTCCTTTTGCGGCAAAGATGACAGACGAGAGACCCATTTACGGCTTACTATACAAGCCCCTACTCTCGCCCCCACATAATCTCACCTGAGTTCTCGAACTGATACCACAAGTTCGGTGGTGACATCACAGATATGTATGACGCCGCGGAGACGCCACCCCCTGGATCGAGACTTCACGATGGATTCAGACGATAGATTCTGGATGTCAGTATATATAAGGGTGATCGTCATGTCAGGTGTTCAACTTGAGCCTCGCCCTTCGTATTTGAGCGGACCAGATTCTCAGGACACACAGCCGCCGTTATCTCGACTCTCGTGGTTTTCCAAGTTTACCTCCGCAGCACAACCCTTCTCACCCCTTTACCCGAACGCCTTGATCGTGGCCGGTACAATGGCAGTAAATTCAATCCCAACGACTAAATGGGGGACTGCCTGCGCTCAGTGCGCGATAGCCAAAGCAAAGTGTTCCGGTCGATCAGCGAAGCTGGGCCACAAGTGTGACAGGTAGGTGCACCTGGGGCGTGCAATGCAAACGACCAACCCACCCCGTTCGTAGCTATTTTATATAACTGACATATCTCCAAACAGATGTGAACGTTTATCAAAGCCATGTACCGATCAGGTTCACAAACCGAGGAAAACTCGACATCCCAGGCCGCCACAGTAAGCCCTGACTGTTTAGTCAACTGATGCAGTGTTGATACATAACTAATGTGAACGTAAGAGGGATGGATACCGGGAGACCTTCTTTCAACCCTTTCTCAGTGGATTCGACTCCAGAATACGTATCTTCCCCGATGGTTGATGATGCGGCGGGGGAATCGCCATCCGTTGGTTGCCAATTCCCTGTCTTCCCGAGCTGTGCGGCGTCGCCACACAGCCAGCAACCGCTCGACTATTTCGATGTTACTCCGGAAGGCATCGACGATATTCTTTTATTCAAGTACCGCACCCAGCTGATGCCGCAACATCCGTTCGTCGTCATTCCTAAGCATATTTCAGCTCCGGCGCTGAAAAGCCATCGCCCAGTTCTCATGATGTCCATCCGGGCCATTGCAAGTTTCGAAGGGCTGCAGACCATGTGTTTCCGGATGGACGCAGTTATGAGACACATAACCGACAAGCTGTTTTTTCAGGCCGAGCGCTCTGTGGACTTGCTCATGAGCATTGTGGTGATTCTTGGTTGGCACCACTACCACGGCGCAATACACAGTAACCTTAACAACTTGCTATGTCTGGCGGAGTCGCTGGTTTCCGACTTGGGTCTGAACAAGAAGCTTACTGATGACGATGGACGGGGGGATGAGACGGTGACTGAAGGCCAAAGGTTGTTGCTCGGTGTATGGTACTTACGGTCATTGTACGTTCCAGTCATGTTCATGGCTTTCAAATCATTACTGACGGCAAAATAGAGCGAGCATATATCTGCATCAACTTACACCGATGCCTTTCACCTCATACCTCCAACAGTGCCTTGCTAACATTCAAAACGCCAAAACACACGAGTTGGATGAGGCTCTTGTTTGTCACGTCAAGATCCAACGCTTAGCTGAACGGGTGGCTGTTCTCAAGGGCCCGCAGCCAGGGAGGGCCTATGGTGGGAATGACGGAGCGGCTCTAGAGGGGTTCGGGCAAAGTGAAAAAATCAAGGACCGAGAGGCGGCGATGGCTGCGTGCCAGACATACCTGGCGAAACTAAGAACAGAACTTCCCATTGTCGTGAAGGATGACGGTAAGCCATTTTGAAAAACCAGCCGACAAGTGGCATGACGGGCAGAACTAATAGCAACAGATATGGTTGCTATACAACTCAACACACTTGATGTGCGTATATCTGCATCTCGCGAGAGCAACGCGTTGCAATGCTGCGCCGCCGCGTCCAAGCCTCTCTCCTCACTTCCCTCGGGCTCTCCGATTGTCGATTCTCTCTTACAAACCGCCCCCACCGCACTCAAAAACTGGTTTCGAGCGTGGATTTCGGCAATACCGGTGGCGAGATACCGCACGTTACCATCACAGGCCGTTTTCCAATTAACATATGCCGTACAAACTCTGGTTCGGAGCCAAAAAGAAGCGCAGAGGCATGCCGCCGGTTGTCCTATGCACCGGGAACCCCTAACATTGGCATCGCGGTCGCCCCCGCCGTGTCCGGGTACATTATCGGACACTCAGCACGGCGGATCAAGACCGTTGGGAGACGAAATGATAGTGGTAAATCGACTGATTGCCACGGGTGCCAACCCTTCAGACCTCGGCAAATTCTGGGGGGCTTTAGGAGAGATGAGCGAAGCCTGGTCCACTCCAAGATACCAAGTTCCGCAACCCTCTCTATTGTCTGATGGACCTTGGGACCTTCGTGTGGCTAGCTTTGACGGGGTCGCGGTTGAAAGAAGCCGAGCAAGGCAGCCCATTGTCGTGAACACGTTCGATACGCGACCAGATCAGGGGTTTCAGGACATGTATGCTTCGGACATGTCCATTTCGCCGTCAAATGGTTACCCGGCTCCTCTAGAGCAGCCAGGGCATAGCAGCGGTGCACCGCATCTCCCCATGACCACCGTCCCCACAACATCGCACATTGCGCTAGAAAATCCGGCATCATGGACAGGAGCGGAAACATGGAACCTCCACGCCGAGTTCTTGGGGACGTTTAGCGCTGGTGCGAGTATCGGAGACCTGGAACATCAAAACATTGTTCAACAGCGGTGGGATGAAACCCACGGGGACCCGAGCTATGGCTGGAGAGGAGTTGTATAAAGCTAGCCCACCCACATGCCAATAATTCGATACCCACGGGTTGTGTAGTGTTTTGGCGACCTATGCTAGGTAGCTTCTAGAATAGAAACTGTTTGTGATTCACCTCGTCTTCCAGCTTTAGTATTTTGGTAGGGGCCTTTGTGATGAGCTTGACCGGAGGCAATACATGAAAGAACATACATCTCATGATTTGTCCACGTCGTGTGCTTTCCACAGCATAACGTGGTGAGGCGTGTCGCCCAATACAGCTGGCTCGCCCACCTCGACAAAACCGAACGACCGGTACAAGCCCCTGCCTTCGGGGGTGGCAACAAGGAAGGCGTCATTCCCCGCTTTCTCTGCCAGTTCAAGCCCCTGCTTCAGGAGCATTCTACCGATCCCACGGCGCTGATGCCCTGGGTCTATGGCGAGGCACATCAGATCTAGCGCAGGAGGATTTGTCAACTTGGGTTCGAAAGAAGGTAGGTGGTGGGTTCGTTGTTCGTAGACTTACACCACATATTGCTATGTCTCTCTGACCCGAGTGCGGCCATCGCCATCTCATCCATTTTCTTGAATGTATTCCGCAACGCATCCTGGTCAAGGGATGGTGGGAAAGGGTCCTGCTGTTCGCGTTCGGCGGCGCCAATCGCCGAGGACGTTCCCTGTGAAGGCAATTCCCACTGAGCGAAGCCCACCACCTGCCCATCGCTATCACCACCTTCCGAACTATCCACAACTACAAACGTCGGTTTGCCTTCTCTCATCCTCCGCGTAGTTCTGACAGCTCGCCATTGCGCCTCATCAAGCCTAGGGTCACCGGTTTCGGACTTGGAGTGCAAATGGGTCGGGAACAACATCGTAGACAGAGAGTGTTGAAATGCGGCTTGGCCGATGCGACCAATGCTCAGGCTATCATCTTCTCCAGCTGGGCGAAGGAAAAGGGGCATTATGAGAGCTGATCTGGATCCGAGATGGCTAGGCAGAATACTAGGTACCTAGGTAGGTAGTCCAGGATTCGATGAGTTATGCCCGAGGATATGCTGACAGTGTTTTCACGAAATAGGTGCCTAGCTTGACCCCAGAGAGACGTCGGTTTATGAGTCTCGACATCGTCTTCAGAAACCATGTTTTAGATCCAGACACCGGTGAGTCACCCGCCATTAGGGAACGTGACAACACGGCGACGTACCGAGGTACGTAAGATTCAATAAACAGGGCCCGCTACCGCTCGAAATGGAAGGTGAAGACAGCCAGAAATGTTTATTGGCCGAATGATTCACCCGGTCCACCCATGATCCTGACGAGGACACCTGTCCACAGATCGCGACATAAACCCCCTGAGAAGACTGCATCATAGACTCCCTTGAGAGGGAAGGCGATATATTGAACATCCAGACTACCTATTCTCGGCATCGAAAACAGTAAGAGGTGGATTGGCCTGAGAGAGGGGATGAGCTGGCCAAGTTTGGAGGGTGCCAGAACCTACATTGCCTCGCCGCCGAGCCGGAGGATTTGACATGGAGACGAAAGAACAACCTTGGTTGGGGTGGTTTGAGGGAGAAACGGCGCCGCGGGCGCAGAAAGTCATACCAAAAGAAAATACGGAGGTCGGGGATTCACTTCAAATGGGGGAGGCTAGTACCATTGAAATATAGGTATTTACGTCGAGTTATTTTGGTCACTGGTGGCGAGCGACGCACAGAAATATACCGCAGATGTCTTTGCTCCTTTCCCAAAGCAGTCCAATCTATCCGGTTTTTCTGCTTTGGCGTTGGATCTGGTTCAGGTGCAAGGCACCCAGGGTTCTGGCCCCCTTTCCATCGTTCCGTTCTATCCCATAATTAGGAGCTTGGGACGATTCCAGTTCCTCTCACGTATACATATGCTATGCAACTAGGGCATCTCATCTGCTTGCTGCCTAATCATCTTTGTGTCTTTCTGTTTCTTTCCCCTTCGTTATTACGTGCCTGTCTGGCTACCCTATAGGGGATTGTCGCAAGGACGCGACGTGGTTTGGTGATGTGGCTTTCTAGCGGGGAGCCTCGGGTTTGTCTCTTTTCTCTTTTATTCTTTTTTTCGTCGATCTCTTTTTTATTTTATCTCTTTTCTTTTTTACCTCCTTTCTTTTTGACTCTTTTCCCTTTCCTTCTTCCTTTGTCCTTGTAAAAGTTATATAATAACCGGCGCAACAGGGGCCGGCCGCGAACCGTGGGACTGCAGGAGCCCACGGCAGTGGAGAAAGCCGCGAGCACGATCGCGCGCTGGACGGGGGGGGCCGCAGACACGGACAGTGTGGTAGAGGACGCCTGGAGAGCGAGGTGGCTGAAGGAACGAGACGACAGAGCAGTCATCAGACCGGCGGACGACCTTGACCATCAGCGGGAGACGCTGTTCCGGGACGAAACCCTAAGACGACACGACGGCCTGAGCAAGGCGAAGAGCTCTCTGCTGGTCCAGATCCGGACAGGGGCAGTAGGCCTACGGGACTTTCTGTTTACACGGGGAGTCCCAGAGGTCCTAACGCCCGCCTGCCAGTGCGGCGAGGGACGAGAGACTGCCGAACACCTGGTGGTGTGGTGTTTGGCTCCACCGCTGACTCGAAGATGGGAGAGAACTGATATTCGAACGCGACGGGACTTTTACTCTGTTCTACACGGTATTGATCCTACATCGGCACGGCTCGCGGGGAGGGTCCTGGAATGGCTAATGGACTCAGGGAGGCTGATGATGTTCAGTTTGGCCAGGAGGCTCGAGCTGGAAGCGGCGGCCTAGCACGCACCTCCCTCGGAGGCCAGGAGGCCTCCTCTCTTTGTATACGCAGGCTCACGCACATGTACTTTCCTTAACTGTCGGTATGGGTTTTTCATCCGGCCCGCGAGGGCGCGGTTTCCTGTACATTAAATAGCTGAGGGTCCGGCACGCCTTAGGGCATAGCGGAGTATGAATAATAATAATATATAATAACCGGCTACGGCCACCCACGCAAGGACAATCCTGGCAGCACAAAAGGCGTAATGCCGTCGGATCGTCCTTGCCCCGGAAATGAATTCGCTTGTGGCCCCGCTTCCGGTGGCAGCGGGCACATGGCCCTTTGGCGAGTCAGATGGGGTTGACAAGGTTGGAATCTTACCAGTGTAGTCCACACAAACGCTTCCCAAGATATCGCCTGGGGTAACAAGGAACTTCCTACCATTCATTTTCCCACAAATAGCACAGCCCTGGTCCCGGATGGAATTTGGGACGCGAAATCCTCCTTGCATTAGAGACCATGCTATGTTCAAGCCGAGAGTCTTGTTCCCGTCGCGAAGTGGCATACTAGCAATGACAAGGAATGTTGACTGAACGTGTGACCGTCCCGTAAATCTGTAGTACTTGGTGCGGTTGGTCTGTGTAATCTTCCCGGCACGTGTTGCCGTATGGTCGACTTGTAACTCGGGCTTTTGTGCGGTCGCCTTGTTTCATGCTTGATCCGATGTAGACCCTGACTGATGGTGTTTGGTAGGCTGCTGCGACCTCGATGGCGATATTGATGTAGCATCTGGTGTGACTCGGCTGGAAGTAAGGATAAGATATGGCAGAATTTGGTAACGATAGTGTCAAATCGGACGAGAAGAGATCGGAGACTCCTCTGTAACTGACGGTGTGGCGCGCGTATCGGGTGTAATAGGTGACCAGCCGTTGCGACACCGTTGTTGGGACAGATCAGGGCGAGGGTGTAGAATGCAAGTTGTTTGACCTGGAGGGAGTTGTCGACCTGTTGAGCACTTTGCCGTTTGACTCTTCTCATATCTCAGCTCATCTTCGATATATCGGCTCTGGGCCCTGTGTTTGGGGTGGAGCAAGGCAAGCGTTCAGAACCAAACAAAGAAGACACCCAAAAGCAATAGTATATTCCGCCATAATGTATCCGCGCTATGCTTGACGACAAATCCCCTGCATGCTCAGACTGCTTCCCCTGTCGATCACCCCCTCCCGCCATTGTAGTCGGCCCCGCCCGCCTTGCGTAACCTGACGATGATGTCGGCCTCATCCAAGTCCCTCTTGTCGCTGGCATTGACCTGCACGCTGTAGTGCGACAGCACCTTGCTAACGACGCCGGCCTCGATGCTGGTACGGGCCTTGCGCATGGCCCTCGTGTTCTCGCCGATCCAGACGATCAGGGCGAACTTGACGCGCTTGCTCTCGGCGTCGTTGGCGTACTCGACACGTACGTAGGCGTATTGCACCTGCTCCTCGTCTAGCTCGACTGCCAGCTCGGACAGGCCACCCGTGCCCGTCTTGCTCAGTACCAGCTTGTCGCCCTTGGAAGAGGCATCCGAGATGAGGAGCCAGTTGGTCTCGTCCTTGTCTTCGCGAACCGCCTTGTATGCGTCCAAGATGTCGGGGGAGTCCAGGCCGGACATTTTGCTCTGTTGGTATCGTCGTTCTCGTCTGGTCGGGGAGAAAGGGGGGGGTTCGAGTCGGGCGATGCGGGGGTGGGCAGGTCGTCGACGCGGTTGCAAACGCGGGGACAGATCTCGCTGGGCTCTCGCCGGTAAGGCCTGAATGACCAGGAGTTGAGATTGTGGGAAAGGGATAGAAAACGTCGCTTTAAGCTTCGAAGCGAAGACAATTGTTCAACGAAAGATGCGGTGAGCCCCTCTTCAGACTGTTTCAGGGTCTCACTCAGGCCGATCGGAGCTCTTGGCAGCCCCAGTCGCCTAACCCTTGGCAAAAGGCGCGGCAAGGAATAATAATGCACGTTACCTTAATTAGTTATGTTGGTTTGGGCTTTGCAAAAACCGTTGTGAAGGACGGCGACCAAAAAGAGAGAATACATTGGAGTTCTTTATAACCGGAATACGAGGTGACTCTATAACCACTAGAACTACGTTTACAACACACCCTGTAGCATTACCACATCCCAGTCACGGGCAAGTCCCTTGAGCTCAACCCAACCCCAAACTTGTACATGCCCTCCGTCACCATGACCCAGTCTTGCTCCACGACATCCCAGTAACTCAGATCTCTTCTGGTGAGACCAAAGTGCGCCGTCTGCACCTCACCAGGGGCCAGATAGACCTTGTCGAACCCTCTGAGCACCCGGACGGGAAACTCCACTCCCTCCTTGGCGGGATACTCCAAATACAGCTGCGGCACGACGGCACCTGCAACGGGGCCGTCGTTCTTGATGTCTACCGTGACGCTGACGTAGACGGCCCACAGGTCTGGGTTGCCACCCTCGTCACCACCCGCACCGCTCAGCGGTTGTTCCGTCTCATAGCCCACGGGATAGGGGTACTGCCCGACCTCGATGCCGTCCGTCGACGTCAGGTACGGGTAGATGTACTTCTTGAGTGCGCGAAAATTGGCGGGGAACTCGGCCTCGCTCTTGGGAGGGATGGCGGTTGAGAAGCTGGGCGGTTCGGCCGCAGGACTCGGGCGACGTGCAGGGAGTGCTGATTTGTCTTTTTCTTGCGTGACGCGGAGGTTGCTGAAGTTGAACGTAGTGTAGCTGAGGCCGAACCCGAACTCGAACCGAGGGGCGATGTCTTGTTTGTCAAAGTGGCGGTAATCGACGTATAGGCCCTCCGAGAAATCTTGCTGGGGGATGACACCATTCGGCAGATACAAGATCTTGCCACCAGGGCCATAGTCGTCCAGCGACTTGCCGATGGTAAATGGGATATGCCCGGACGGATTGGTATCGCCAAAGAGAATATCGGCGAGCGCATTGCCAGACTCTTGGCCTGGGAGGTTGGCAAAGAGAACAGCCTTGACGTTGGGTAGGTCGATCCATTTTTCCATCAATACCGGGCCCACCGCATGGATCACGACAATAACATCTCCAGAGCCAGAGCCGCACCTAGATGCCACGTTAACGATGAGATCATCGCCGCCCTTCTGCAAGTTGAGGTTTGGCCGGTCCCCGCTAACATCCTCCCACTTCACGAAACCTTCGCCGGCATCGGCGCTGACGAAGACAATGCACAGCTCTAGGTCGTCCATGATGGCTTTTTCGTTACCGGTGAGGGTGGGTTTATCGACCAGGTATTCATGGAGGTCAACCTTGGACGTGTCAAACTCCTTGCGCAGAGCTTCGATGGGTGAAACCAGGTAGGGGAACTCGACAGCCCCCGAACCCCAGCCGGAAGCGAGCGTCCCTTGGTTGCTGGAGTTCAACTCGTCAGCCAATGTTGAAGGCACGAGAGAAATAACCCGCCTGACGATGCAAAGCTGAGGAAAGTACATACCAAGCTCGGTCCTTACAATGGTTGGGTCCGTCCCCAGGGCCGGCATCGTCGCCGAACACGCCGACGCTGAACTTGCCCGTGTGTCTCTTCCCAGTAGCTCTCTCGATGACTCCACGCCTCGCTTTGAGCTTGGATGTGTCGAGACCACTCCGGCTGATTGGCAACAACCCGTCATTTTTGAGCAGCACTGTGCCCTCAGCAGCCACCTCACGGGCAATGACGGAGTGGTTCGCTTGGACATCGACAAAGTGGTTCACCACAACCTGCTCCTGCGGGTCAGAGCTTCCTGGTGCCAGAACGCCCATGCGATCGTCGGTCCACGAAGAGAAGTTGGGCGGTTGTCGCGGGAACTTGGTCTCGTCGTCCTGGCCGAGCTGATACCAAGCCGCCACGATCCGGGTGACCATGTCGTTCAGGCGGTCAACGGGCACACTGCCATTAAGGATAGCCCTGCTCAGTTCGGGGCCCCAAAAAGAGACGCCGTTTGCCCACTTGGCTCCATCTCCCGGCATAGTCATGTCCAGCCCCGCAAGGGCTGTTGCCACTCCGGATCGTTGAGCAAGCCAGTCACTCATGACAAAGCCCTGGAAACCCATCTCGTCCTTGAGAATTCCGTTCAGCAACTTGCTGTTGCCGCAAGCATACGAGTTGTTGACCATATTGTAGGAGCACATGACCGAAGCAACGCCCGCCTTGACGGCGTCGCCGAACGGCCACGCGTACAGTTCATGCAGCGTGCGGTCATCGATGTTGGAACTAATGGCATGCGGCAAGCCCCATTCCCACTGCTGGCGAAAATGCTCCTGCTCGTTGGCGATAAAGTGCTTGATGGTGGCCATGACACCCTCGCTCTGGATGCCTTTGACGGTCTCGGCGCCTGCGATGCCCTGCAGATACGGATCGGACCCGAATCCCTCCCAGTTGCGCCCGCCAGCAGGCATGCGACCGAGAGGGCCGACGCAGGGGCCCAGGAGCACGTTGATGCCCTTCTGGCGGGCTTCGATGGCGTGGGTCTTTCCGCGGGCATACATCAGCTGCCGGTTCCAAGTGGCGCCGACTGTGATGCCGGCGGGGAAAGCGGTGATGTTGTCGGCGAACCGGATACCCAACGGGCCATCCTGCAGCTGCAACTGGGGGAAACCGACGTGCACTGCCGGCCCGTTGGTGCCCACTGCCAACCCCATCTGCCATCCTGTGCCAGTTGTCACGTTGACCTTCTCCGCCAACGTCATCTTGTCTACCATTTTGGCCGCCTTGTCGTAGCTTGCGGCCCAGCTCTTCGCAATTCCGCCCCTAGGAGAGGGGTACCACGGAGGTGACTGGCCATAAGGCGGCTCGTCCTGATATTTCTTGTAAACAAACGCGCCACCCGCGCTGACGACAATCCAAAGGACGATAAATGTAGCCAGCAAGGCAATGCAACACCGGCTGCGCCGCCCCAGGAAGCGTACTATCCACCATTGCCGACCTTTCATCGGGGCGTGGAATGTTTTGGGGGGGTTGTGGGACACGGCCGCTTCGTGGTCGCGGTAATCGGTCGCTTCGAGGTCCGAGTCGGAATCATGGCCAGCATTATCGGACAGCCTTTTGCCCTGGCGGAGAAGCCCCTGCTTGCTCTGGTCGCCCACCATTGTATCCAAACACCTGACAGCCTCTTCTACTACCAACAAGTCTTGTTCGATGTCAACTTTCTTTTCTCGGGATGGTCTGCCTCGCCGGCGGCATCGATGATGATACGGTGAGGTAAGGGGTCGAAACCCGGGCGCACTCGATGGCGATGGCACTGAGGAAAGAGAATAGAGAATAGGCTCGATCGGTTGTTGGATGATTAGGCGGCAATGGCGGCTGGGCCGTTCCGGGACAGCCTCGAAACTCGGGAAATTCTCCACTGATCGACGATGAAAGCCAGTCGTGGCCGTCGAGTCGACCGTGGATCATCAGCTGTCGTGAGTTGAGGCAGCAGAGCACCTTGACGCCAACTCAGGCAGCTCCACGCTCAGCTCTTGGCTTGGCGTTCCTTGGCGCATGGGGTTGGAACCGATTCCGATTGAGCAATCTTTCCGCTTGATGGCCCCACGATTCTGACCGGTTTCCTTCCTCCATCCAAAACAGAACGTCCAGAGCCGCTGTCGCGAAGACGACTGGAGCTGAGATGAAAAAGCTGTTAACCCAGGTAGAAGGGTAACAGATTTTTTTCCAAGGCTCGCTGGAAGTGGGGTGCTTGCACATCATGGATCAGGAATACATCTGTAGGGAAACCCCCTAGCTCCCACACAAAAGCGAAGGGAACCCTCTGGCCAAAAAAAAAAAAAAAAAAAAAAAAGGAGGAAAGAAAAAGACCAAATTGTTCGTTGAACAACACTAAATCGTTCGTCTGCCTTTGGCTTTCTCTTCCATGGCCGCGCTGTCTCAGAAATTTATTTGGTTATTCATGATACTGTGTTAGTTACGTGCCGTGATGAATTGATCTGAACCCACACACAAATCCCCTCCATGCCGCCAATTGGATTGGCCCTCGCCTCTCTGCAGCGGGTTTGCCCCACCAGGGCCTTATCTTTGCGCGTCATGACTGCCCGAGGAGCCAAGCTCCAACATCACCAGATTCCTTATCTCCCCACCCTTGTCGAAACAGGCGAAGGCCGTGGTTCGTCAATACGATCAAGTAAGCGTCAGCGGAGCCATGACATACATGACCAGGTCAATCATACATCGGATTGATTGTCGAGCTCTCGTTCGTGTTTCGCCATTGCAAGCATGGGAATGCATGACAACATTGAACAGGCGACTCGAGCAACGCGCCTCATCCCCGGACCCCATGGGCCATCTGAGCAGAACGAACGAAAGGGGCTGGCGAGGAGGTTCAGCATCGCCCTCTAATTAATTCCGCGTGCCTCGAAGCCGCCTAAGTCGTCGATTTGCCTTATCTTCCCTTGATAGTGCCGGCAATCTGGGCGCTCAACTAGTTTCCGGGCAGCCCAGCAGCTGCAGGTCCCCAGGGTGGGATTGCATCCAAGCCACGACGTTGCGGCGTTGCCAAAGACCCATCCCACTGGTTTTTTTCCAATATCCCCGGGTTTTCGTCTCTCCCACGGTTGCCCCATTTGTGGAGAAGCAACGGCGATAAGGGAGGTTACCACGCTTCCCATGCCGATGTTGGGATGTGGGGGCTGGACATCCCCTGCCCGCCGCCGCCGTCTCGAGGTGGGTGGCCACCAGCTCGACAGAGCTTTGTCGAATAGTAGCGCAGTGCCCGAGGAGGTTGCTTCCCTGGTAACCGGGATTTTCCCATGATTAGAACCCCCGTGGCGATAATGCAAGATAACTAGCCGGTTGTTATGTAGTTCCGACTATCGGGGCCGATATTAAAGCTAGACGCTGCCGCCGGCAGTTGGGTATATCACCTTCATGTTTCCGCTCCTCTCGACCTCGAGACCTCCAGATTCCAGCCGGACATACTCCGATTTTATATTGCCAGCGCGCCACGCCTTCGTGGCATCTATCCACAATGGACCATGCTCCCTCCAACAAAGACCACATCGCCAACGCCGCTCTCGGCCAGGGGGTAGGCTACGGCATTGTGGTGGGCCTGGGCGGTGCTTTTGCTTTGGGTATGATGACATAAACTCCTGCAGACGAGGGTGGCTCTGTGAACACCTAGTGGATGCTTATACGAAGCCAGGCATGATGCTCGTGACCTTCATTCTACGCCGCTACAACCAGGAGCTTCAGACGTCAGAGATGTTCAACACTGCCGGGCGCACAGTTAAATCCGGTTTAGTCTCAGCAGCGGTCGTTTCCTCCTGGACCTGGGCGGCGACCCTTCTTCAAAGTACCGGTGTCTGCTACCGGTATGGTGTTTCCGGTCCCTTTTGGTATGCCTCCGGCGCCACCGTCCAAATTCTGCTCTTCGCTACTCTCGCTATCGAACTCAAGAGGCGGGCGCCCAATGCCCATACATACCTTGAGATTATCAAGGCACGATACGGCACATTTGCCCACCTCGTTTTCCTCATCTTTGGGCTGGCGACAAACATTCTGGTATCTCTTATGTTGATTGTCGGTGGTTCTGCCACAGTCAACGCCTTGACTGGCATGCACACTATTGCCGCGAGTAGGTCACGACTCCCCGCTTCCGAAAGTTCGAAACACATGGCTGATGATGTAGTTTACCTCTTACCCGTGGGCGTCGTGGTTTACACGATGGTCGGCGGCTTGAAAGCGACTATTCTGACAGACTGGGCCCACACATTCATTTTGCTCATCATTCTCATCATCTTCTCGCTTACCGCATATGCCTCACACGATGTACTGGGATCACCTGGCGTCGTTTACGACCTGTTGGTGAAGGCCGCTGCCCGGCACCCGGTCGAGGGAAACAAGGATGGCAGTTACCTGACAATGCAGTCGCGAGAGGGTGCCATTTTCTTCGTCATCAACATCGTCGGTGAGTCCTTCAACTAGATGTCCGTCGGGAATGCCGACTGGCAGGCTCCATGTAATTCCTAGCTAATTCATGATAAACAACAGGAAACTTCGGGACAGTCTTCCTAGATAATGTTATGTATTTTCCGTGAACTGGGTTGAAGTGTGGTGCAGCACACGGGGGTGGAGATCCTTCGTGTTCCTCACACAACACAAATGACCCTACTTACCTAGGCAATACTAACATCAATTCATCTGCAGGTTATTATAACAAAGCAATCGCCGCCTCCCCAGTCCACGCCCTGCCCGGCTACCTCATCGGGGGTCTCTGCTGGTTTGCTATCCCCTGGCTGACCGCCACGACCATGGGTCTGACGGCCCTGGCCATGGAGGATAAACCCGGCTTTCCAACCTACCCAGATCGTATGGCCGACGCCGATGTGACCGCCGGTCTCGTTCTTCCTTATGCCGCAGTCTCACTCCTCGGAAAAGGAGGAGCTGTTGGAACGCTCCTCATCGTCTTCATGGCCGTCACCAGCGCCACCTCGAGCCAGCTTATCGCCGTTAGCACTATCTGCACCTATGATCTCTATCGAACGTACTTCAACCCGACGGCTAGCGGCAAGAGGCTCATCTACACTAGCCACGCTGTGGTGGTTGGTTACGGTCTATTCATCGCTACCTTTTCCGTCGGTCTTTGGTATGCCGGCATTTCGATGGGCTATCTGTACTTGATGATGGGTGTCATCATCTCCGCTGCGGTGCTGCCTGCAACACTCACGTTGGTTTGGTAAGTGATGACGTCGGACGCTTTTGTCTTTTTTGAAAAGGCCTCCGGCGCTAACACTTAGGACAGGGCCGGTCAGAACAAGTGGGCAGCTTCCCTCTCGCCCATCGTCGGCCTCGCCTGTGCTCTTATTGCATGGCTCGTCACGGCCAAGAGGGAGTGTGGCAACCTGGGAGTGGCATGCACGGGCTCCAACTACCCCATGCTTGCAGGCAATGTTGCTGCCTTGCTCTCTCCTGTCGTTCTAGTTGTCATTTTTACCTTGATATTCGGCATCGACAAGTACGACTGGAAGTCGATGATGGAAATCCGGAGGGGAGATGACCACGAATTAACCGATCCTGTTGGCTTAAGTGTTGAAGAGGTTCCCGTCAACCACAACGAGAGCGGTGCTGAGTTCGACGAGGAGCAGAAAAAGCTGGAGCGCGCGAGTAAGATCAGCAAGACTGCAACAATCGTTATGGTGAGTTACCCGGAGAGAATTTCGCCATTTGCGCAGGGGTCCCAGCTAACAGGACACATTATAGACACTCGCATTTCTGGTCCTGTGGCCCATGCCCATGTACGGAACGGGCTACATTTTCAGCAAACCGTTTTTTACCGGATGGGTTACGGTGGGCATCATCTGGATCTTTTGCTCTTTCATCGGCGTCGGTCTCTTTCCTATTTTTGAGAGCCGTAAGACGCTTGCTAGAACGTTCAAGAGCATCTACCTCGACGTCACTGGAAAGTCGCACCCGAAGACGATCCACGCTCAGATGGCCCAAGAAGAGCAAACCCCAAGCGAGGCCACGCCATCAGAAAAGTCTGGTGTCAAACAGGTGGTTAAACCTGCATGATGCGGCAGTCGAGAACAAGTATCTATGTTCTTTTACACGTGCAGTTAATTACATGTAGTGTTGGACTACCATTCGTCTGAAACCGTACAACGTTGGAAGAGTCCCAGTCTGGAGAGAAATCGGCCATAATCCATTGGCTTGTCTTTAACTCTATTTACCTCAATTGATATCTGTTGCTTTGTTTTCTAGCTTCCTTCTTCTTCTTGATTTCTTGCTCTCATTCCAATTTCGCCATTTTACGACCAGACGCCCGACCAGGAGATATTTTGGCCACATGCGGTCAAAGTCCTCACGTAAAAAGGCCTTGCTCCCACGATACCTTGGTAATTGCCGACAAGATTGGTGATTTTCGGTCTCCATGTGGCTGGCTAAGTGAGCGCTGTTTTATCAAGCTGCACACGGCGATATGCATGAAACGGAAATGGAAGCTCGTTGTGACGAACCTACTTCAGGACCCTGTCCTGTTAGGGTTCATCTTCGGTCGAAGGTAATCTCTCAAGGGTGCTTAGGTTCGGTGCAGCCAAAAGGTGCACAACAAAGACTTGTTTCAACAGTAGGCTTCCGAGCTTGTAGCGAACTGTAGTTGTGATTGCTAACTGGAGAACTCCCAGAGCTCTCCAGTACGAGTGACTATATACTATCTAGTATCACCACTCTGTTGGTGATAATCGCCCATTATCACTGACAACCAGTGATAATCGCCCATTATCACTGACAACTAGTGATAATCCAGTTCTTATTGGTCCTTAAGCGATTGGCTGCTGGCCGCCCTGGCCGCCTCGGGGTCATTCCGTGACACTCGTCAAAGTATCTCGCCGCCAAACCCACCGCGGTTGCGGTGTTGGCACACCAGCTGCTCCATCTGACCATGCACGCCATTACCGACGTCTACGGGCGGATCACGTACCGCAGCTACCGGTCGTAAGGGAACGGCACCGGCAGCGGACCGGCATCCGGGTTCCGCCTGCTGCTGTCGTCATGTGACGAACCTACTTCGGGACCCTGTCCTGTTAGGGTTCAGCTTCGGTTGAAGGTAATCTCTCAAGGGTGCTTAGGTTCGGTGCAGCCAAAGGATGCACAACAAAGACTTGTCTCAACAGTAGGCTTTCGAGCTTGTAGCGAACTGTAGTTGTGATTGCTAACTGGAGAACTCCCAGAGCTCTCCAGACGAGTGACTATATACTACCCAGATGTCTAGGTACCTTCGTACCTGAATACCCTGATCGTGGGTGTCATGGGTGATCGTTCACGATCACCTTGATCGCTGCCGGTCAAGTCTTTTCCCTAGCGATCATCCGGACAGCCTTGCTGTCCGGGTTCTTCTCCCTCTGTGTGCGGGAAACGCCTTGTCCGGCTTGGCGCGCGCGCGGGCTTGGCACACCACCGCTAATTTTTGCAGGCGGGCGCCTGGGCAGTCGGAATGCGTAGACGGCGCTTCAACGCCCACAACAGGCCGTAATTGAAACTAATCGAATTGCTGTAGCGATTGATCGTGATCGTATTGTCGTTGTTTCTTGATTTTTGAATGGAAGATAGCGGTTCCGCGCCCGCGCCCCTGAAATCTATACTCAAACGGCCTGGCTAACCCCTTAGCGGTGCAAGGCGGGTATCCACGAGCCGGGACATATTCGCTCACAGCAGCGAGGGGTCTCTCTTCGGCTTACGACCCTAAGCGGCTTATTTGTTGAAGCCGTTCCTTCCTCTAAGCCGTAGAGTGACTGCTCTCGAAGGCAAGAGCGGTTAGGTACCAGCTCGAGAGAAGGAGCGGGCTGTGGATCGAACCGATTAGGTGCCCTAAGCCGGCAACGTACCGTCAACCTCCCGCTCACTCGCCTGGAGCTGCTCTTTTTGCTCGAGCCGGGATAAATTCGCTCAAAGCATAAGCCGTCAAGGTTTTTCAATATCAGCATGCGGCGGTAATGCCCTGAGATCTATCCCACAGCTTCGTCGTCCACTTCGTCGTACTATTCAGTTCAGTATGCCCACTACAAGGCGCTCGAAACGTGCCCGCGCCGATACGAATGGCGATGCCGTTGATCCGCTATCTTCTGGCGTTGGAGCGGGTAGCGAGTCGACTGCCGTACCGACACGCAAGGCGACAGGAATTACGCTCAGGAGCCCCAACTAACAAACGACTATATCCGACCCGATCGACTTGGCTGAATCGCAACCCACAGAGAGCCTCTCATATGCGCGACCGAAACGGATACGCGTGTTGACGAAGAAGGCATCGCCTATCAAGCCAGCCGCAAGGCGGCCCTCTACCGTAAGGAAGGCCGCAAAGAGACACCCCCCCACGAAGAAGGCCGCGCCCACGAAGAAGACCCCCCGAATTGTTGTTCGAAATACGACCGAGATACCGTCCGAGATGCCAGAGTCGGAATACAATGTCGAAGAAGAAGAAGAGCCGCCCGCGCGGGTGCAACAGAGGCAACCGAAGCTTATTATCCGGGGCTCAAGCGTAATCTCAGAGTCGCAGTCTGGGATTGACGGCGTTATTGTTGATCCTTTCAACGGCCACGACGATGTTGACGACGATATCGTCTTTACTGGCGCCCAGTCGAAACCGCATAACCCGCCTCGACCGACCACCAAAAACGACAGCCAGATTACCACCAGCCCGCCAGAGCGACCCTTCCCCCCCCCTCTACCGAAGTCGATCTTCGTCAAGATTCAACGCGATGTCAAATGGTTCCGTAGCCAGTATCTTTCGACGTTCAAAATCCTCCCGCCAGTGCCCTCGCGATATCTACGTCGACAAGCAATTAAGGTCGAAGTAACAGATGTGGCATCTCGAACGTGCGGCTGAGCCCAGTTATATAACTTTGGTGGAAGATATACGTCTCCTTGCGCGGAAGGCTGGATTGGAAGGCTCAGTCGCCCACACTGTTTGCGAAGTTCGTCTTAGTAAAGTAGCTGGTCCACGTAAACAGAGCGACATCGCGATGTTTAATATAGCACCTCGGTCGCCTTCGTCGGTTAGCCGCATTGACTTTGACTCGCTTATGAGCCAGATGATAGAGACTGGGGGCACCGAATTCGAGCTAACTTTGGAGTTCGAGTTTGAACTTGAACCGCCCATCAACAACGACGATCTAGTTGTCGCCGCTTCGCCCACGCCGATTCGAGGCTTCTCGACGCCAGTCCTAGCCCCCTCCCGAACTTCCGGGTCCCGACCCGGGCGCGCGGGCGCGCAGCTGCCCAGAGGCGTATCCGCAACGCCGATATCTAACAGAGGCACCCCGAAGGCGCCTTCGACCCGCAAGTCAACAAGCAATACGATGGCGGAGGAGATGTACCGACGTTACGAAGCCGACATCGCCAAGAGCCGCACTGATGGAGTCGTAACCACGCGCCTCGTATTCGACGAGCTCCATTTTCGATGGAAATGCGACCTCGGTTCGAAGTGCAAGAACTTTCGTAACGGCGCGCCAGCTACTTGGTGCTGGCGCGAACCGGGCGACCAGAAGCATCATCCGCTTACGAATCAAGACCTCCAAGTGTGGGCTACGGCGATACGAGATGGGAAGACCACGAAGGATAACCCGCCCGTCCAGTTCCATAGAAAATGGCGGGAAGCGGTGGAACAACAAGAACAACAACAAGCCGCTAAGCAAAGCGGTATGCAGCCGTGGCCCGTATCTGGGAGGATCCCGCGTGGCGCGCGCCATACGATGATGCCAACCTTCCACGTCAATATCAACAACAACAGTAACAACACTGGCCCTGGCGCCCCCCCCCCCCGGGGCGATATGGGGCACCGGTAACTCATCTTACCCGCCTCCATCGACGGGCACTATCGCCGACCCACTACTACCGCAGTGGCTGTACAATACCTCGGCGTCATCCTACCCGAGTCGTCGGGCCGTAACACTTGATATCCCGATACGATCTTCGTCGCCGGCGCCGGCGCCTCCAACAAGCAAGACGATGGCCGAACTGATCAACGAATTCGCCCGCCAATTCGCGCGTCAATATCTGATGGGCGCCTACAACGAACAAGCCCGTACGGCATTGAATGCTGTAAAGCACCGCTTGATTGAAGAAGGCCACAGTCTGGTGGCGTTGAAGGCGCTGCCAGAGACGTTTTTCCAGGAGTGTGGTCTACCGGGCTTCTTGGTGGCGCCGTTAAGAGGGCTAGTCAAGACCTTCTTAAAGGATGAGGTCGAATTAGCTACTCTTGACGAGGGCGAATATCAACAAGATCAGCCAATTCAGCCGTCCTCGACATTACTATCTCCAAACGATCCGTATGGCGCGGACTCGCTAATTAGTATATGCCCCCCCCATCTATTTTAATCCCGTATTGCTAACTAGTTGGCTAAACAGATACCTCCTCGCATCCCGCCCCCCAATTGCCGTCCGACTTTCTGCAATCTACCAACAACGAAGGCGACGATGACGATAACGACGAAGTGTCAACGGCATCCAACGCATCCGAGCTATAAATAGATACAGGCGCACTAGGAGGAAAGCCACAAGATCAAGAGGGGGACTGCGATTCAACACGTGGTTAGGACGACAATGTCTACGACTAGATACAACTTACGCAACTGCGCCAGTTTCGTTGAACTCTCGCAGCTGTTCAGCATATAGTTCAGCGTAATTGACAAGACCATCACCACTCTGACTGCTCTCTCTGAACGCCAACGAAGCCATTCAGTAGTGACCGTGTAGCCCGTCTTCCCTGCTCCCGACAGTATTAACCGCTTGGTAGAGGAATTCCTTGAACTGCGCCTCTGTTGAATCGTCGCCGCCGTGGGATCTATATTCGCGTCGGATATACGCCTTGACGTCGTGGAAGAACGCTTCGATTGGATTGAAGTCCGGCGAATATGGCGGGAGATACCAGATCAACACGCCGTACTCCTTTGCCAATGCGTTGACACGCGCGTCGTGATGCCACGATGCGTTATCCATTACCAAGATACTATTTGGGCCGGGGAAGGCGTTCATCTTCGGTAACACGCCCTGTTGAAGCCATTCAACAAAGCCGTCTTGATTAGTATGCCCCTTGAAGATCAAGACATCGAGTATCCCATCCACATAGATGGCTGGAAGGATGTGGAAGCGCTTGCCACGTTCCATCAAGGCGTTTACATACGGCGCAACGCCTTTCCGCGCCCACCCGGTGCGACGCATCCCATCACGCCTATCCGTTCCAGATTCGTCGCAAAATACGAACATCTCGGCGGTAAATTGCACTACTTTACGCATCCAGTCGAGGCGGAGTGGTTCGCTACGTTGCGATGGGCGGCGTGTAAGCTTCTTGTTGGACCAGCCGGCTTGTTTCAATCTCTTCCGAATCGTCGTCTGGCTAACGAATACGCGATACTCTTCAACTAAGAAGACTTGCATCTCGTCGACATATAAATCCGGCTTCGTTTCGAGGTGTTCTATCAACTTCTGTGGGCGCAGATACGTTAGTTTTTTTTTTTTTTTTTTTTTTTTTGAGAGGGCATTTACTAATGCGTATTCAGGGGTGTACCTCGAGCACCCACGGCGCCAGCGTAACGGCATTGAAGCGACTGTTTGTTGGGAAAAACGCCTCCCCGGATATATCGTGACGCCGCTTCAAACGACGACAATGGTGTACTGAGCATCCAACCGCACTGGCGATATCAACAAGAGGCTCGCCGGCGTCGAGCATCAATAGTATGATGGCGCGTTGGTCGGCGTTGAGGTAACGGACCATCCTAACGGTAGCCACGCCCGCGCAGGCGGTGGAACGCCAGTCAAAATTGAGATACGAAGAAACAACGACAATACGATCACGATCAATCGCTACAGCATTTCGAATAGTTTCAATTACGGCCTGTTGTGGGCGTTGAAGCGCCGTCTACGCATTCCGACTGCCCAGGCGCCCGCCTGCAAAAATTAGCGGTGGTGTGCCAAGCCCGCGCGCGCGCCAAGCCGGACAAGGCGTTTCCCGCACACAGAGGGAGAAGAACCCGGACAGCAAGGCTGTCCGGATGATCGCTGGGAAAAGACTTGACCGGCAGCGATCAAGGTGATCGTGAACGATCACCCATGACACCCACGATCAGGGTATTCAGGTACGAAGGTACCTAGACATCTGGGTAGTATATAGTCACTCGTCTGGAGAGCTCTGGGAGTTCTCCAGTTAGCAATCACAACTACAGTTCGCTACAAGCTCGAAAGCCTACTGTTGAGACAAGTCTTTGTTGTGCACCCTTTGGCTGCACCGAACCTAAGCACCCTTGAAAGATTACCTTCGACAGAAGCCGAACCCTAACAGGACAGGGTCCAAAGGTAGGTTCGTCACAGCTACCCCTATCCGCGGTTCATAGAGGGGGCAATCAACCATACATTGATCCCGTGTCCACATGTGTGGGCGCAGTCGGGACCGTGACGCCCAGGCACCCCGAATGATTAGTATGCAGACGGTTATTCGCCGCTTGGGAGAATCTCAGCTGACGATTTTGATATTATTTTCACATTATAGGGGTGATAGGTGCGAGCTAAAGTCTGCTGGCATGGACATGGTACTTCGAGTTACTAGGGCCATCATTTTTGATAAAGCGTGGGACGGGCGACGATACGAGTTGGGGTTGAGGGACGCCGAAACCTCAGGCCGTGGACGCCACGAACCCTATCGGTCCAAGTTTCAAGTTCCGTGCAGATGATCATGGTCACTATTACAGATAAACTATGCGCTTCCAATTCCTGCGTCCGGGCTGTTTTTTTTGCATTCTCCATTCTCTCACTGCCAAACTCATGTTTCTCATACCTAGGTGGTATCTTCCAAACCAACGCGTTTGTTGCAAAATTATTGTTCTTTAACGCTCCAAGCAAGATGCTCTGTGGTGTTTCGAGACGCTCGCCGGATTTACCACCACGGCTATATAGGTAATATTGGGGAAAAGGACGCGCTCTTCCGAACGAGAGAGCATGGGGCTTCTTGTTGAGGTGTGAGACGGAGGAAAGCTCTGGATGGGCAAATACCACGGGAGGGATTCCGCCACGACTCTCACACCACCGCCACTGCTCTCGCCGCAAGCTTGTCAGTGCCGAAGACCCGAGGGGAAGGTTGGTAAGTTCTACTAGAATTCCTCAAGAGATCGCCGAAGTCCTGATCAGAGGATGGGACCACCTTCGACGCCAGATGTCGCGTAACGATAATCTATTTAAGCTAGAGCTTGTCGGAAATTGGGAACGGCAGACGAAAGTATTGTCCCTTGCGTGGGGTCCGACCTGCCAGTACGGTTTCCGGCTCGTGGTCCCTAGCCCTCCGCCACCTAACAGGCTGAACGAGTGGTGATGATTTGATTTACTCTTTAGCTTCGCACAAACCCGGTAGAAGCCTGACGAGGAAAAAAAGCAGAGGGAGAAAGAGAGAACGGCCGGGGGGAGCACCAATGGAGAGGGATCGAACAGGGGATCATATCATACGGACCGCGACATAGGCGGCGTTGACAAGGCACTTCAAGACCTGCTTGCTCACCCGATCAAAGCGGATTTGTAGATTGCGTGGTTTGGGTCTGGTGATCCCCTGTCTTATGTTTAAGCGGAGCGTTATCGTCCCGCTCACAACCCAAGTAAGATCATTATAGTAAGGGAGGGACGAGGTTGATATAATATCCGGGTCATCCAATGCTATGAATAGACAACCCATGGAAATCTCCAGTTTCGCTCATCGCTTCCCCTGGCATGGACAGGGCGCAATGGAACACCCAAAACTTGAATTGCATCGCTACCTGCACCATCCATCTTCTTAGCGTCTGTTCAAATTCGAGCCTGTGGAATAACGATCCAAAGGATCTTTGTATTCCGACCTGAGCTAAGGACATAATTCATCAAAATGGTAGATACCTACGCTAGGTAGATACCTAGTCTCACTACCAAACCCGCATCCATAATCGAAGGGTACACCGTACCTACCTAAGGTATGTGTACATGTACCTGCATTCGGAGTCCCCGGCAGTCGTGCCGTTTTGCGCCACTGATGAACAATCTTGGCACATCGCTCTCCTGCCGGCCCTGAGCTCAGACGGAACTCTATACCTATGGCCGACCATTGAACAGCAAAGAAACAAGGTGACGGGACTTGGGCGACCTCAGCAGCGGCGATCTCATCCACTTGACAAGAAACGGGGGGTTAGGAAGTCTCCCGTCTCGTGCTACCTTTTGTGCATGCGGCATTCCTTGAAAATAACTCCGACTTGGCAGTCAGCAGAACCCGGATTGGTCTGTCGGCTGCTGCCGCGCCTCGTGTATGTGATGCTGGGCGGAAGCTTGAGTGCGGGGGAGCGGGGGTCACAACAGTCAAATCTGGCCGGTTCCCCAAAATCACCCACTCCGCTGTTCTTTTTTCAGGTCAACGACTGGTCAGCAGCATCAGGACGGCAGTATCTTGGCCCGTGGTGAGGGGAACCAACCATCGTCGCCAGCGCCACCACCTTCCGCAGCAGCGCATCGATGTTCGCCCAGAGCAGCATTCACCATGGTGATCGGCGGCCCAGTCCAGGACTGGTGTGGTGGAAGCCTGCCCTTTTACAGGCTAGAGGTCCATGGCGAGGTGCGGCAAAGCGATTCGGTCTTTGTCGGAGGTGCCATCGTGAATTGCCCAACCCACATAGCCTCGGTAAGCATTTCTCGATGAGGCAGGTTGCGATGGCGGCGCCGCCCGATGTCCCTTGGACCCATGGCTTGACTTTTCCAACTCGGTGTCCTTTTTCAGGCTTTGGGAGGTCTTAGCCGTCGATGCAGTTGACTCTGGGACTCTATAAAAGCCCTTGTGAGGCCCGGTGTTGGGGATGTAAACTACCTAGTAGTATTATACTGAGCTGTAACTGTCCTGTCATTATTTCGGCGTCTCCCTGGGCCCCACGTCGCTGCAATGAAGTTTCTCGCAGGCGTCCTCTGCCTCGCCTCGGCCGCTCTGGCCCTCCCCGCTCCGAGTGACGGCGATGCCTCTCTTGTCCAGCGGCAGACAGCGAGCCAAATTACGGATCAATATCTCTACAGCATCACTCTTCCCACCTTCACAGCCCGCCGCAATGCCCGCGATCCTGCAAATCTGATCTGGGACTCCGACGGCTGCAGCTCGTCTCCGGACAACCCGTTTGGGTTCCCATTTGTTCCGGCCTGCCACCGGCACGACTTTGGGTATCGCAACTACAACGCCCAAAACAGATTCACGGATGCGGGTAAATTGAATATTGACACACTTCAAACGGAGTTAGTATATACCTTCCATTCCTAGATGTAGATACACTTTCGACGAGAACAGCACTAACCCGTGATACAGTCTCTATTACCAATGCCGTAACAGCCAGCGTGCGGGGCGTTTGTGAGGCACTGGCGGATGTCTACTATGCCGCTGTTAGGGCATTTGGTGGCAGCACTCAAGGAAAGCGCGCCGAGGATCTGGTTAAGGAGTATCAGGAGAAGGTGGCTATCTACGACAAACTTGTTGCGGAGGCCCAGGCCAACGGCGAGCTTTGGCGGGTGGATTGATGGATGGGGGAAACCAATCAGTTCAATCAGTTCATAGTTGTAACCACATCTTACAGTCTAGAACTGCGACACATTGCTTCAGCCTCTGGAGTAAAAATATTATGCTGTTGCTAAGAGCCTCCAACTGTACTGATGGGCCCGTGTATGTCGGCCCAAGCGCCATCTTTCTGTTATCTTCGGTTCAAAGTTTTAGTTTTAAAAAAATTGGACTTCACCCATGTATAGCACCACCTTGCCACCGTACTTCTCCTTGGTCCCGATCGTGACGAGGTTGAAGATGCCATTGACAGAGTCTTGCTCCGTCGTGAGAGCCGCAGAGATACCCCAGAGGCTGGCGGCTGCGTTACCCATGTCGGTCTGCACCCAGCCAGGATCAATGACAAAGGTATTCAACCACTCGTCCTCGGCATTGAGCCTCACGCCGTACCAAGTGACGGCGGCCTTCGAGGGCCCATAGGCCGCATTTGGGACAGACGGTTGTCGTCTGCACAGCCATCAGTTAGCATCTGTCATGTTGTTCGGCAACACTTTAAGGGAACCACTCACCCGAGAGCGCCGGCACCGGAACCCAGAATCGCGAAGACGGGTTTGCCGGAAGATTTCTCGAGTAGATCTCTGGTAGCTTGGTAAAGCTCGACAGGACCAATGACGTTCACATGATAATGCTCTAGGAGGTCGCTGCGCTGGGCATCCTTCACAAGGGGATAAAGCTTGGCAATGCCGGCGTTGGCGACGACGACATCAAGGTGCGTAACCCCCTGTCCCCGGGCCTGTTCTAGGGCATCAAAGGCAGCCCCCTCAACGCCCGCGTCATACTTGACCACAATCAACTTGCTGTCATCGCCCTTAGGAAGGTCGGCGAGTGCTTGAGAGGTGGGGTGGCTTGGGTCCCTGTTCGCGGCGATCACGATTTGTGAAGGGTTAGCGGAGGTCCTGAGACCGGCGGTGCTTGTGATTCTACGGTGACTGGAAATGATAAGCCTACGTGGTTTGGCACCGCGAGATACTTCTTGATTAGTCCAAGTCCGAGGCCACGGTTACGCCGGTCACGAGAAATTCTCACCGTCATTCTCGTCGAGAATGATGGTCGGAGCCATGGCACATGTGGCAAACAAGAACGAGAAAGTATTAGGATGTAAATCCTTGGTTGGGTAGAATTGTGGTGGTGGCTAGTAGTAGTAGTAGTAGTAGTAGTTTATTAACGCCCGGCGGGTCAACCGAAAGGGCAACTAGTATTACAATCTGACGATACATTTCCCAAGATATGTCTTAATCTCTTTGAAGCCCGTAAAGTTCATTCTAGTTCATATTCCGACAGTTACCATTTCACTGCGAATTCTCGTGGGTTTAGTAGGGCTGTTAGTAGGCTGGCTTGAAGGCGATTCTCCAAGTGTTCAACGTCCTATCTTCAGCAGCTGAAGCGGTGCCTGCTATTTGTGTCACGAGGTGAGGGGGTCGGTGCTGTCGGGTGTGGTGGGTTAGGTGATTTAGTCGGCCTGTGGTTCGTTCGTGTCGAGTCGGCCCGTCGCCATTGCGAACCGTATGGTTGCGCGAACGGCAGCCATGTCAGGAGTCCAGTCGTTCTTGTCCGACGGCGATTTCCCTCCTAGATAGAAGGAAATATTGCTTCTCTGAGTGTCTGTACATTCGAGCATCTTTCTTCGGTACGCTGTCCATTTTGTGCATCGGAATAGGAAGTGGCCCACTGTCTCTTTTGCTTGTCCACATGCGCACTGGTCTGACGGTGCTACTCCGATTCGGTGGAGGTAACCGTTGAGCCTTGCCATGCCTGTTCTGAGCTGAGCAAGTTTGGCAGCCTCCTTATGAGATAGATGATCGTACAGCAGTTGGGTGTGTTTCCCTGGTAGTGCTGCGTCGACTCGCTTGGAATGAGCTCCGACTTTGTCTGGCAGGTGATTGCTGCTGTCTCTCTTGGACCGTGCTACGTTGAGGGTTGTCGACCGCATCCTGGGCATTTGTACTTCCGGAGCGGCGCCCTGTCGAGTGGCATGTTTTGCGTTCCCCTTGGCGATTTCCCAAAGCTTGTTTTCTTCTCTTGCAGGGAACCATCGTATTGATACTGTGTTTCCGTTCCTGCGTAGTTCTCTGATTGATTGGTATATCTGGCAGATGTGCCGTTGCCCGGACTGTCGTCGAGCGTGTCGGATCGCGAGAACAGCCGCTTTGTTGCGTGTTGAGAGCTCGATGCGGCTAGATCTAAACGTTGGCAGGCTAGGGTGTCACGAATATGCCAACAAGAGGCCGGGGGGGGCGCGGGACGCCCCGAGCCAATCATTAGCAACCAATCAGGAGGCCAAGGAGTAGTCAAGGTGATCAGTGAGCTCAGTTGCCAAGGACAGACTGAGCACACTGAGCACCAGGACAGGACCACCAATAGGGAGCCGGGATGGCTCAACATTGATCAGTGAGCTCAGTTGCCAAGGGCATACTGAGCACACTGAGCACTCAGGAATCAGCTAGTATATAGTCACTCGTTCTGGAGAGCTCTGGGAGTTCTCCAGTTAGCAATCACAACTACAGTTCGCTACAAGCTCGGAAGCCTACTGTTGAGACAAGTCTTTGTTGTGCACCTTTTGGCTGCACCGAACCTAAGCACCCTTGAGAGATTACCTTCAACCGAAGCTGAACCCTAACAGGACAGGGTCCTGAAGTAGGTTCGTCACACGTTGCTAACTCCCTTTAACTCTGTTACAGTTCAGGATTGAAGGTACGGACATGGCTGCCGAAACACCCACCCCCGCCCAGATGCAGAGCGCCATCGAAGAGATTGCAGCTCGAGTCGCCACGACCGAGACCAATCTCGCCGCGACCGAGACCAATCTCGCCGCGACCGAGACCAAGCTCGCCGCGACCGAGACCAAGCTCGCCGCGACTGAAACCAAGCTCGCCGCAGCCGAAGGCCAGCTCGCGACGGCCAGAGCCGAACTCACCCAGGCCAAGGCCGGAGAGGGAGACCCGGCCAAAAACAAGGTCAAACTCGAACAACCCGAGAAGTATGGAGGAGACAGAGAGGCGCTGCCTGGATGGATCACAGCGATGCGCAACTACATTGACCACAACTCCCATCAGTTCATCACCGAGGCATCTAAGACCAGATATGCCGCCACCCGACTCAAGGACACGGCGCTCAGATGGTTCTCAGGAACGCTGGAGAACTACCTCGGGGGAGGGAACCACAAAGCATTCACCCAGAAGGTCTTCGAAAACTATTCCGAGTTCGAGCACGAGATCCAGAAGGTGTTCGGTGACAAGAACGAGAAGCTACACGCGCAGGAGCGGCTCAGCAAGTTACGGCAAACCAAGTCCGCAATGGCATACGCCGCCGTATTTCGACAGGACTGCATGAAGGCAGAAATCAACGACGAAGGACTCAAGAAGATGTTCTACGACGGTCTGAAGGAGGAGGTCAAGGACGAGTTGTACCAGAAGGACGAGGTCGACACGTTGGACGAATACATCGCCCTGGCCATCCGAATCGATGAACGCCAGTATGCCCGCAAGCAACAAAAGAAGGGCGCGAAGACGTACCACGCGGACAGCCACAAGGCCAACAAGAAGCGCCCGTACAAGAGCACCGCTTCTGGCCACCCACGCAGGACCCATGGACGTCGACGCCATCCAGAAAGCGGGGAAGAAGAACAATGCTCGGGACAAGTCAGGCATCACGTGTTACAACTGCGGAAAGAAGGGTCACTGCAAACGTGACTGTCAGAGCAAGAAGGAGTGGAAGCCAGTCCCGGGAAAGGAAGCCGCCACCATTGACGAAATCAAGAAAGGGGTCCGGTTCCAAGAAGTCGCGGCTGCCAGCTATACGCAGGAGGATCTCGAAGTCGACATCGATCAAGCCCTTGAACGGGAGGACGAGTTAACGGATTCAGATGAGGCCGAACCATCGGACTCAGACTCCGATGACCTCATCCCTGAAGACGACGTCCGCCGGATTCTCGAGATGGACAACGAGTACGCACTCGTCATCTCGGACGACGAAGGAGAGGTCGCGCCACCAGGTTATGTACTGCGAATGGCACAGCACTGGGGCCTCACGCTAGTACAACAAACGGACGGACACTGGCGCACACGAAACAACGCCGACGAAAGCGAAGGACCCAACTTGGTGTTCCTCCAGAACCGAGTTCGGGAACTCCGAGAACGGATCACCAGGTTGGAGGACGAAAAACAGGTACTCGAGAGGACCCTCGAGGAGAGAAACAAACTGTACGGCAAACTGCGTGCCGAATTCGACCTGATAGGACAGGGAGTGCGGGAACTCAACAACACAAACCGGACTCTCGGACAACACATCGACACGATTGGGGAAGTGGCCCAGAACATGCTCAAAGACGCGGGACAGCCATCACTCGACCACACCTCATGGGACGGACCATCGTTAGACATCAGCGAGATCCACATGGACAAGGTCTGCTTCCCACACTACGCCTATCGGGAGGCACAAGAGCAACGGGAGTCCCAAGGGCTTGATAGCCAAGACTGGGACGACTACTGGTCCCGGCACCAGTACCTCAGCAGAGGAAAGCCAACCTCAGACCTAGAAACAGCAGGGCTGAGAGGGGTGAATGGGAGGTTCCAACTTATGGAAGGAGACCACCCACGGATGAACCCCAGGAGGAGGGACCATGTCCATCTACCACGGTTCCAGTGCGTAGCGCACGAATGCCGATACCATTTCCAGACCAAATTCCAGTCGAACCACTGGCCCGTCAGACCGCAAAACGAGCGCGGAAACCCGGTACCCACGACTTGGGTCTACGATCATGGGGACGCACCCGCGGCTCTGCTCTGGAAAGTGGATATGATTCCGGACGGCAGGCTCAGGTTCAGTCCTAAGAACGCCTGGCCGGAAGGATGCAACAACCCCCGCTGGACGAATCACTGCGGACAGGCGGACTGCCTAGTACACGCAGACGCCAAATTGGAAGAACACGCGCGGTCACAGGCGCAGCGCAACCGACCGCGGCCCACACGAGCGCAGCGGCGCGAGAACAGACAGCCAGTGGAGCCACAAATGATGCAATGGCTCCAGGAGCACAAAACGATTGATGCCGCAAGCCAAGGTGCGGATAGGGACGCCTTGATGTACCACGAGAGCTTGGGAAACGGCTCAGGGCCCTCGGAGGGGCCCGTAAATCTCCAACTCCGGAACAGCGAAGACTGGCTGCGCAGTACAGGAAGAACTGGCGCAAACGGAAGCCATACGACGACCGCCCAGCAGACGAATACGAAGTAGCTGCTGTACGAAACAACGAGCCAGACGACAGGCTTTGGATCCCAGCGCGATGGAAGAAGTACGAGGCCCTCGCGTTGGTAGACCCAGGGGCGCAGATGGATCTCATCTCGCCCTCATTTGTGAACCAACTAAGGATCCCTTGGAGGATCAAGAAACAATCACTCATCGTCAGAGGACCATTCGACACACAATGGGTACGACGGGAGACAGAACCACTCGACATCGAGGTGGCAGGGAAGACCACCCAAGTGGTATTCGACATAGTGGACATGGGGCCCACGAAGGACATGATTTTGGGGCGCCCATGGCACAGGATTTACGACCCAGACATCAGTTGGAAGGGAGATGGCCATCTGCGACCGCGGGAACAGCGGGAGCATCCGACCAGCCTGATGGGAGAACGCGCAGAACAGGAGCCACGGCAGAGCAGCGGGTCAGAACGAACCCCCTCTACGGGCCCACCGCAGGAAGCAGCAAGTGCAGAAGAACGCACTCTGGAGTCCGGAAGAAGCGGCACACGACAACAGAAGCAGACACGGGAGGCACGAACCATCGCCGTCGTCTCAGTCGACGAGCACGGGAAGCTCAAACACGAAACATGGGTCAACCGAAAAGAAGCAGCAAGCATTGAGCTGCCAGCGCAAGAAATCAAGATACTCGAGGCATCATTCATCGAGTCAGGGAATAAGTTTGCGTACTACGGAGGTACGCCAAAGAGCGCAACAACGGGGCGAGTACCCGATGAGTACAAGGGACACCCGGCGTTCACAGCGAAGCATCTTACAGGGCTGCCAGATCACGGACCTTGGGATCACGAGATCAAGCTCAACGAAGGGGCCCAGTTGAAGTTCTTCAAGGTGTACCACACCAACGAGAAGCAAGATGCAGAGTTGAGGAGTTATCTCGAAAAGAACCTCGAGATAGGACACATCAGACCATCGACATCTCCAGCAGGCTACCCAGTCCTCTTCGTTCCAAAAAAGGATGGGAAGCTCAGGGTGTGTGTGGACTACCGACAGTTGAACAACGAGACGGTGAAGAACCGCTACCCGCTGCCACTGATTTCAAGGCTTCGAGACCAGCTGTCAGGGGCACAACACTTCACACGACTCGATCTTCCAACTGCCTACGCCCACATTCGCATCAAGGAGGGAGACGAATGGAAGACGGCTTTCCGAACACCCTACGGGCACTACGAGTACCTCGTCATGCCCTTCGGATTGACCAACGCACCAGCGACATTTCAAGCCGCTATCGACCACGCAACTCGACATTGCCTCGATAAATTTGCAGTCTGTTATTTGGATGAAATTGTCATCTACTCCAAGACACTCGAAGAACACAAGGAACACGTGCGGCAGGTGCTGGACGCACTGCACGAGCACAAGTTGTCAGTCAACAAGTACAAGAGCGAGTTCCATGTCAAGAGGACAGTGTTTCTGGGTTACGAGATCTCCCCAGGATGGGTCAAAATCGAACCCGAGAAACCCAACACCAACAAACGCCACCGAGGTCAGAGGATTCATCGGATTTGCCAACTTTGTCAGAATGTTCATCAAAAGTTTTGGCGACATCGCGAGACCTCTACACGAACTCACGAAGAAGGATGCCACATTCCAATGGAAGCAGGAGCACGAGCAGGCTTTTCAACAGATCCGCGATGCGATTATCGCCGATCCAGTACTCATGCTGCCTGATCCGAGCAAGCCTTTCGAAGTTGAAGCTGACGCTTCGGACTTCGCAATCGGAGGACAACTTGGTCAGAGGGACAAGGACGGCAAGCTGTACCCAGTTGCGTTCTTCTCCAAGAAACTCGAGGGGCCAAGACTCAACTACCCGATCCACGACAAGGAGCTTCTCGCAATCATCGAAGCATTTCAGGAATGGAGACCATACCTCAGCGGCACAACACACGAAGTCCAGGTGTACACGGACCACAAAAACCTACGGCACTTCACCACCACGAAGGTGTTGAATGGACGACAAACTCGATGGGCAGAATTCCTGTCCGAATTCAACTTCACGATCCACTACAAGAAAGGCTCAGAGAACGCACGAGCGGACGCCTTAAGTAGGAGAGCGGATCACCACGACGACACATCTGAAGTCTCACCACCATTGCTACATCAACAGACAGACGGATCGCTACGGCACGCTTCCCAACCGACTGAGGACTGCGAGATCGCAGCACTTCAGCAACAGCCGGAAGATCCCGAAGCCAGGCCTCTGCAACAGTTTGTAGAATGCTGTGCGGTCTTCAGGGAACAACGATTGGAACGAGATTTCCAAGGAATCATCGCGGACGACGAGCGCGATGCATGGCAGGAAGAGCCAGAATCCAAGATCGCAGGACTGCGACTTGAAGGAACGAGACTCTGGTACCACGACAAGGCCTACGTCAGGCCCAGCGACCAAAAGGAGCTCATTCGAAGAATTCACGAGTCGAAACTCGGAGGACACATGGGAATCAGCAAAAAAATTGCGAAAGTCAAGCAGAACTACGACTTCCCAGGAATCAAGCAAGCAACGGAAGAAGTCCTGGCAGGGTGCGATCTCTGCAGACGAAGCAAACCAGGACGACACAAGCCATATGGGCTGTTGCAACCACTGCCGGTTGCAGAACGACCATGGAGTTCGGTGACGATGGATTTCATCACCAAACTGCCAACATCCAAAGACCCAGTAACGGGAGTGAAATACGACAGCATCCTCACAATGGTGGATCGACTTACCAAGTGGAGCTACTTCCTCCCCTACAAAGAGTCATGGTCAGCGGAACAACTCGCAGACGTGATCTATCGCAACGTCACCTCGGTCCATGGATGGCCAGAGGAGTGGATCACGGACAGAGACACGAAGTTTGCATCAAAGTTTTGGCAAGCTCTGATGACGAAGCTGGGTACGAAGAGTAAGCTTTCGACCGCTTACCACCCACAGACGGACGGACAGACGGAGCGACTCAACCAGGTCGTCGAGCAATACCTCAGGTTGTATGTCAATTTCCAACAAGACGACTGGGTCGAGCTATTGCCTACAGCGCAACTCGCCTACAACACCACCGTCACGGAGACCACGAAGGTCACGCCATTCTTCGCAAATTACGGTTACGAAGCAGATTTGCGACAGGGGCCCGATGTTTCGGTGCCCAGGGCGGCGGTCAAAGCCGACAAGATGAACTCGTTGCACACGATGCTCAAGGAAGAACTCGAGCTCGTAAGAACACGGATGAAGAAGTTCTACGACAGAAACAGGCTCGAGGGACCTCGCCTAGAAGAGGGGGGCAAAGTTTACCTCATTTCTCGAAATCTTCGCACAAAGCGACCAAGCAGGAAGCTCGATTTTCGCAAAATCGGACCGTTCAAGATCGACAAAAAGATTTCGGAAAACAATTACGCACTCGCGCTACCCTCAACGATGCGACTACGAACCAATGTTCTCCACGTTTCACTTCTGGAGCCAGCACCAAAAAACGCACGACTCGACAAGGGCGTCGAGGCAGAAGACGAAGAACTCTGGGACGTCGAAGAAATTCTGGATTCACGCATCACGAAAGGACGAGTCGAGTACTTGGTTAAGTGGCTAGGGTTCGGCCCCGAAGACAATTCATGGCAACCCGCTACAAACTTCAACTGCCCTGAGGAGTTGAAGGATTTCCACCGGAGGAATCCGGATCGACCAAGAGAGGCATCGAAGACCAGTCGAACCCGGCAAGAAAATCGACGGAAGAGGAACTAACAGCAGGGTCAGTGGAAAAGCACGAGGACGGGAAGGAAGGACACAAACCCCTGGACCCAGGAGGGGTCAGGAAGGGGAGCACTCGCAACGTCCGAAGAGGACGACTGCGCGGCAGCAGCCTCACGACGCTCCTGTTCCCGCAATACCTCGCCCTCTTGATCAAACATCCGACGTGCTTGATCCTCCAAAGATTGGTGTTGACGACGAAGACGGTCAACCCGCGCAAGGGCGGCACCAAGGGCCTGATCGGCCTCGTGTCGCTCCTTGTCCAACTGACGCTTCTGCAGAATCAAACGTTGGAAGGCGGAGCTGTCGTAACCAAATGAGTCACAAGCGATGTTGTGCACTTTGGCGCACGCAGTACAAACGTCGTTACCAAAAGGCACGCGACAGTCAGGAAGATCCTTATCCTTGCAACCAGGGTCCGGAGCAATTACACGGAAATACACATTGCAGTTGAATTGCAGCTGCAACGCCCCACATAAATCAATGCAACTGAAGGCTTCCAAAACCCCTGCAATTCAACCTGGCCCTCTGCAACGTGGATCCATTATTGCAGACATTGCAGAATAGTGGGTCCTTCTTAGCAGGTGATAGTGATTAATAGTAATTTGTATGGTGAACACTAACATGAAGCGGTCAGGGCATCGGCAGAACTCCCACCCCCCTAATCCCAGTCAATTCGCAGCTCAAGCTCTGACGAGCTCGGCATTCTGGCCTACCTGCCACCATAATGGCTACAGAAGCATCTGCTGCCGTCGCCGCGGTTCCTACACGTACTGAAGAAGACCTGGCCTTTCTCTTCAAGCGATTTCCCGGCTACCTATTCACTGAACGCAAGGGGCCAGCGTGGTCGTGGGTATGGAAATTCGGGTATGATATTTCACGCGACGGCAAAGACCGTGTATGGGTATGCCTTCGATGTATCCAACAACGCAACCGGAAGCCAGCCGCCTATAACCCACGAAATCTTGTGAACGTCGAGATTCATCTCTTTAACTCTCACCAGCTTAGCGATCCTACCGGTAAGCGACCGCCGCCTTCTGCCGTCAAGCCCCAACGCGAGAGCAGCAATTCGAGATCCATCGCCACCTTCTTCAATCTCAATGCGAACAACGCCGAAGATCAGAGGATGGCCAACCACTTGATCAGCGCGTTCGATAGAGCTGAGTTTCAACGAAGGATTGTAAGATGGCTCATCAGCGCCAATCTTCCTTTCCGCACAGCTGAACACCCTTATCTTCGCGATGTCTTCTCCTACCTCAACCCCTCTGTCGACATTCAAAAAGCCAACCTCTCCGAGAAGACTGTTCACGCCCTCGCTGTACGAGAGGTTGAGCGGCATAAGGATGCGGTGGTTAAGACGCTCCAGGAGAGCCCCGGGCTGGTTCATCTAGTCTTCGATGGATGGACTTCACGCAACCGCCTCTCTCTCTACGGCGTGAGCGCAGTCTTCCGAGACGAAGAGGGCACGCCTCACAAGATTGTGCTCAGTCTGCCAGAGATGAGTGACCGGCATACGGGTGAGAACATCGCGGAGGCCATCCTCGATGTTATTAGAAACTATGGTATTGAAAAGAAGATTGGCTACTTCACTGTCGACAACGCTACAAATAACGACGCCGCGTTGAAAATAATCGGTGAGAAGCTCGGCTTCCAGTGGAAAGAGAGGAGAGTTCGATGCTTCGGCCACATCATCAACCTAGTAGTTAGAGCACTACTCTTTGGTGTAGAATGTGATGCCTTTGAGCGAGAAGTCTCTACTAGCCTACTCACTACTCAACATGAGCATGAGCAATGGAGGAGGAAAGGCCCCATTGGTAAGCTTCATAACTTCTGTCAGGTATGTGCATCTCGCCTTGTCAACCTACCTATCACTGACCGTGAGAAGGAGGTCAACAGGTCAGACCTCTGGACCAAGAAGCTCATCTCGGCGCAAGAGCAACGGATCCGAGAAGCCTCCGAAGGTGAGAAGATCAAGAAACACACGCCGGTCGGAGTGGTGACAGACAACGCTACGCGGTGGCTCTCTCAGTACTTCATGATGGAACGCGCTCTTCAACTCCAGCCTTTCTACGAGACCTTCCTCTTTGAGGCGAAGCTTCACGTTGACTCGCAGTTCCGGACGACAGCAGGCACTCTAAAGAAAGGCGCGAAGGAGCCGCTCTTCTTAAATGAGGAGAACAAGTTGACCGCGAACGACTGGGAGGTCATCTCTGTGTTGAAAGAGATCCTTCTCGACTTTGAGCTCGTTGTGAAAGCTCTTCAGGGCGACGGTCAACCTCGTGAGAAGAAGCGCAGCTCCTGCGATGAGCCGATCAGTCTAGTACAGGGAGCAAGCTGGGATCTTCTCGATGGGTACGAGTTCCTCCTTGAGTCTCTCGAGAGAGCGAAGGCGAGAGTTGAAGACCTCGTTGACGGCGAACACGTCGCTATTAACGTCAACAACGCATGGATGAAGCTCGACAAATACTACGAGAAGATCGGCCAGTCTCCTCTCATCTACGCTGCCACCGCATTGCACCCTCGGCACCGATGGGGTAGGTTCGAGGCGTGGCGTGAGCATCACGCTGACTGGATCGAGCCAGCGAAGTTACAAGTCCGAGAACTCTGGAGGCAACAATACCGAGACCTACCAGTCGAGCAGAAAGAGGCTTCAGAACCACCCACGAAAATCCCCCGCCTCTCGAGCAACAGGTTCGCAATCTTCAGAACCCAGGAGCGAACTCCAACAAACTCAGCACCCACCTCTCCTTCACCCTTTCCATCGCCAGCGCTGGTCGAACTTGACGAGTTTGAGCGTTGGCAACTAGATAATAGCGACTTTGATCGGTACGAGGAGGATCCCCGTGCCTACTGGCACAAGAGAAGGAACACCTACCCACGGCTTGCGCGCATGGCGTTGGATCTACACACGGTGCTTCCTATGAGCGCCGAAGTTGAGCGCTTGTTCAGCGTTACTGGCCATATGGTTACTCCTTTACGCAATCGGCTACAGGCGAACACAATATCTCTCTGTCAGATCCTCCGCAGCTGGTACGATGCCGGCGTGATTGATGATCTCGATCCAATACTGTCATGGAAGACACACGGACACATGGAAGATGATTGATGATAGCTAGGGTTAGGGATTTGTATGGAAATTTGGACCCACTTCTCCCATTTTGGGTTAGGTTATTGCCCCACAACGGGGCCCACAGTTCGGCCCCACCAATTTCAACATGTTGCATCCATTTCAACGAGTGCCTTCCGTGGATCAATTCAATGTGGCTTCGCTTACGTAAGGTGCAATTACACTGCAACGGGCTGGTGACATTGATGGGAGTGTAATTGATCCGGACCCTGCTTGCAACGAGAACAACGGGCCATTTCAACAGCAAACTCGTCTCGGGCGGCGGAGCGATCACGGCGACGATCGGTACTGGATTTCTTCGATCGGTTCTTTCGCACATGGTTAGCAGGCATGATCGGCAGTAGAAGAAGGGGAAAGGCGGAACGCTAATTACCCGAAGAAAAATTTATGGGCTGATTGGCGCTATTTCAGAGAAATCGATGGAAGGGCAGGTCGTCGGGACGCCGACCTCAGAGGGGGGCATCGTGTCACGGATTAGGACCCGTACGGTCTTGGCTTGCAGGACGCAGGACGTCCCGTCCAATCATTCACGGAAACATAGGACCAATCATAACGCCAGAAGGGGGTGCTCCCGGCGCTCCCTTCCAGCCCCGGGAGCACGGGGAGCATCTACGCTCCCAACGCTCCCAATGCTCCCCAGGCACATCACCGTGATCACTAGGAACCAGTCAGCGCTGGCAGCAGTTGGACAGCCGCGGCAGCAATCCGGCCAAAGCATCATACGGCAAATCTACGACTTGGTCAGGCTGCACCGACAAAGAGGGAACTCGGTCAACTTTCTGTGGATACCAGCGGAGATTGACTTCGCGCTGGGGTCAGATGCCAAGGCAGCAGCCCAGAGAGCGTCGAAGCAAGGACGCACACCCGACTCCCAAATGCCCCAGGCCAAGTCTACCGCGATGAGGCTGGCAATGGAAAGACAACGGGCGACAAGAGTTCTACCTGTAGGCGTGGGCAAGTTCTCAAAGGCCATGGACGCAGCACTACCAGGCAAGCACACGCGCCATCTCTATGACAAGCTGAAGCGAAAGGAGGCCCTGGCGTATTGGCGCAGCTCCGAACCAGGAATGGCGAGACTGAACGGCTTTTTGAGCAGGATCGGGGCGGTCGAGTCAGACCTTTGTGCCTGTGGACCATGCGAGGGAATCAGTTGGAACACTTTCTTTTCCGATGCGTGAGATGGACAGCTCTGAGGGAAGACATGCTGCAATGCACAGTGGCAAGACGAGGAAGCCTCTCGTTCTATCTGGGAGGGAAAGCGCCATCAGATACAAGGCATTGGTCACCAGATATGAAAGGCAGTCCGGGCGACGATCAAATACGCAATGGCAACAGGAAGGCTGGAGCAGAATGAGGGAGGAGACTCAGGAGAGTCTAGACCAGTCACAGTAGAAGAAACCAACACTCAACACCACGAGCCTCAACCACGAGCCTTAACCAGCAGGTCCCGCTTTAGCTGCTGAAGATAGGACGCTGAACACTTGGAGAAAGTAGCCTCCAAGCTGATCTGCTAACAACAACCAAGGCAAGAGGTAAATGGTGCAGCGAGAAAGAGGGAAGAAGTAGGGGGCTTGTACGAGTAAAGGCAAACCGATTTGATCCGGATGTAGTTAGCGTGCTAAGGCCCTATAGGCCCAGTGCCTCCGGGCGAAATAAATTCCATCCATCCATCCGTGTCCTCGCAATCCGCTCGACAATGGCGAACATCGCGGTTCTCGCCGTTTCCACGTCTACCGCTTTTCAAACCCAGGCCTTTCCATGGAAGACGTGATAGTCGTTCTGGGCGGCACTGCCGAGGCCGCTGCGGAGACAGCCGTGACACGCAAGTCGTGTACCAAATGCAATACTGAGCAGAACATTGACCAGTTCCTCCATGCCCGCGGGAACGGAAGGATTGTTGTCAACTGTCTAAGTTGCCGGCACAAGAAGAAGCTTCATGTGATATCCTTAGTTAAGGTAACGATAGTCGTTTTCTTCAGCTAACCTTCGCAGATTGAAGCGTCGCGAGCGAGCATCGAGATTTCTCGTGCAATCGCCCGCGGAGAAAATTCTCTTTGATGAACAAACTAATCGGAGAGAGGGACTACTCTGCGCAGGAGATCTGCCATATCCTCCTGGGACTCCCTCTCCAAGAGGATAGCCGAGTGGTCCAGAGTGTTGACTGTAGACCCCACGAGAGGCATGCTCGCCCAATCGACATCACGGCTGATGGCGATATCTAGGAGTCTCAGACAGCATACGAGAGGTATCTTCGGCGGCCTGCCTCAATGGATGACGTCTCCTACTTTGAGTTTCTGCAAGACTGGAACTTCAAGGCGCGGAATCCGGCGAGGTGGGCGATCTGGCAGCCTCCTGCAATGCCCAGGGTGTTGTATTATTACCCCCGGTACAAGCCGGGTCCGTTCCCATCAGCAGTACTCTGACTTCTGCCGCGTCAAGCTGCTCCTGAACCCCTCCCCATTGCCATTCGGAACAATTGCTCGAGGTTGATGATCTGCAGTTTGACAACTACACTTCCGCGTATCATTACTGTCTCGAGCACCACGACCACCAGGACGATCACTACGGTATTGTCGACGAGCCCGATCCGCTGCCGGGAGAGGATGAATTCGAGCGAGGGGAGGATGCTGGGGACATCACACTTGAGGATTGGCAGGAGGTGGCCCGGCTGGTCCCCGACCTCCAACTTCCCGAAGAACTAGCCGACTTGCTTGGACGCCGAGACATTGATGTCAATTGCGACTGGACACGACACATTGGTCGCTACCGGCACGACCAGTTTGGTACCGGAGGTTACTGGGTGCAACTCCGTGGAGACGCTCCAGGTAATTACGACGTGGAAGAGATGCCTCTCGCAGCCCGTGACACGTTGAACACGCAGCAGCAGCAGGTATACGACACGGTCATGCGCCACTACAGAGCCAAGAACGAGAACCGCCAGCCTCCGCCCCTTCGTCTACAGATCGACGGAGGAGGTGGGACTGGAACGTCGTACATGGTGAAGGTCATCTCTTCTCATCTTCAGGCCGAGGCAGCTTCCTATGGCCGAGTTTCCCCCATTGTCAGGGCCGCCCCGACGGGCGTGGCGAGCAACCAGATAGGGGGACAGACTCTGCATTCCCTTCTGCGGCTCTCCGTCGACGGCAATTACCGCTCGCTCTCCGGGACCCCGACGACCCTCAACGCCTTGCAGCGGGGGTTCAGGGGCATCCACTACCTCGTGATTGACGAGAAGAAGCATGCTCGGCCTCAAGACCCTCGCGTGGATCGACCAGCGCCTACGAGAGGTGTTCCCGGAGAATCGTGACGAGTTCTTCGGCGGCCTCAGCGTCATGCTGATCGGGGACTTCTTCCAGCTTCCCCCTGTTCTGAACAAGCCGCTGTACTCAACACGCGACGACCTAAAGGGCATCGAGATTGTCGGGCGTAATGCTTACCTCTCATTCGACAAGTCGGTGTTTCTGACCACAATACAGCGGCAGCAGGGCGAAGACCAGGCCCCGTTTCGGCGGGCCTTGGAAGAACTGCGAAAAGCTGATGTGTCAGTACCCTCCTGGGAGCTCCTCGCTTCGAGATGCTCTGTCAAGCTCTCTCCCGAGGAAGTTGACAGCTTTGCTGATGCGCTTCGCATCTATCCCACCAAGGCCCAGGTCGTCGAGTACAACCACCAACACATGCTTGGCCTGGACAGCCCCGCCATTCAGGTCGAGGCAAAGCATGAGGGTGTTGGTGCGGAGAAGGTTGAATCCTCAGATGCCGGCAACTTGTCCAAGCGCTTGCCCTTGTGTGTTGGTTGCAGGGTGATGCTGACGCGGAATTTGTGGGCCGACGTCGGGCTCGTCAACGGCGCACAGGGCACAGTCTATGACATATCCTGGAAAGAAGGTACCGACGTGCTGCGAGACCCGCCCGAGGTCATCATGGTGGCCTTCGATGACTACGACGGCCCGGGCTTCACGATGCCGAACGGGGAGCCTCTCCGTAGTGGGAAGAAGCTGGCTGTTCCCATCCTCCGAGTGCGGCATGACTTCATGGTCGGCGCCAACTCATGTTCAAGAGAGCAGTTCCCGCTGTTGGTCAGCTATGCGATCACCGTCCACAAATCACAGGGCATCACCCTGGACAAGGTCGTCTGCGACATCTCTGCGCCAGAGTTTGCTTCTGGCCTCTCCTACGTGGCCGTTTCGCGGGTGAAGACACTCGGCGGGCTGATGTTTGAGCGGCCCTTCGACCGCAGCAGGATCTACCGCGAGACACCATCACCAGCTATGGGGTTGAAGTTGTCCGATCACGCTACCAGGCAACTGCAGGCGTTAGATGCTGTGGCGGGGGAGGTTCCCTCAGAGTCTAATTGATTTGTAAGTAGCGAGGACGTGAGTGTAGATACGTAACGTGAGTGGCGGAATAGAAACGATTCGTAGATGGCTCAAGCAGATGGAGTTGTTGGCCGACGGACAGATATTGGCGCTTCGTCTGTCCCGTAATTAACCCTAACCCCGATTGTCCTCCGGAGAGGGACAGGAAAATTGCCAGGAGCGGGAGAGAGGAAGGAAGCGCCCCGTAGCGTAGCGAAGGGCCGTGCGACTGACGAACGAAGCGACGCCAGCAATTTTAGATAATGGTTGCTTGGAAGGACGGACAGGAGGTTTACCCCGCGATAGGCGGGGTAATCGATGCACAGCAAACTTCCGTTACAAAGCAACTCCGTCACTAACAATTTTGAAGTCGAGGTCCTGGGATCCTAACAAGACCATTGCAATTTATTGCTCAGCAACGAATCGTGTCACCGGCGTCGGTTTGCCTTCATTCAGTTTGCAAAATTCAGGCGAGTCGAGCGAGATACTTTTCCATGATAATAGCTACTGAATCGCAGTCCTGATATGATGAGACTTAATGGTACGCCTCCTGCCGGTTTTCGAGCCGCTAATGCTGGGGTTTCAACTTGTACTACAGCGGTCTCCAGTAACAGCAATCTCCCAAGAATCCTACCGCTCATGGACGTTGACAGGGCTTCGTGAAGACGCGTTGGACCGCATTCTTACGACCCTTTCAGCGTCAGCCAAGATCTACAATATAAAGTTCCCTTTGCCCCCATCAATATGTCTTCTTCCTTATTCCTTCTCTCAACAGACAAGCGAGATCGCATCCAGTTCTTTCTCGACTCACTCGAGCCCAATCCACCGAACACGAGCATGACCCAGGACAGCCTGCGGTCATCCAGCTTCTCCGAGTCGCGGCTCTCCGATCCCATTGACCCCCCCTTGAGCGAGACCGGATGGGCATCACAAGGGGTTGGTTCTGGGAATACGGATTCAAAGTTCGCAGGAAAGAAGACAACCCCAAGGTCATCCGTTGGCTTTGCAAGGCCTGCTCCTGTGCGAAGAGACCACCGAGAAACACGTATACCCTCCTTGGCTCGAACCCCGAGAACATCTACAGGCACCTTGCAAAGTAATGCAAAGATGGCCTTTGACGTGCTCAACGTCCCTCCTATGGCAGCTGAGTGTGAGAGAACGTTCTCAGCTGCTGGCTGCATGGTCACGCCACGACGGACACGCCTCGGAACTGACGTGATCTCTGCCGCTCAAACGATTGGATCGTGAGTGAAGGCCGGATGGATGGATGGCTATGATGGAATCGCCCTCCGAGATGTAGGCATTGAGGCGCTTGAGGATGGAATATCCTGGCAAACTGAAGGTGAAATAGCATGAGGTGTGCCACTCGTGGCTAGGTAGAAGTATGTTAAACAACGTGGGTCCTGTTATCGGAACATCCTTACCCGCCCAAGCCTCGGCAATCTACCGAAATAGAATCTACATTGATAGAATAGCTTCCTATTCTATCTACTTTGGGGTCGCCGTAGGTAGAAGTGGATAGATGCAGAACCCTGCCTCCCCCTCCGCCTTTCTGCCTTCCGATCTTGGTACGTGTGACAGACCTGGCGAATCTCTCTGCATACAGACGCTGAAAGGGTTCGCCGGGTTGAGGGTCAGATACAACGGCACGAGATTTTGGCGGAGCCAAAGGGTCACAGCAATGTGAGCAAGCAATTTACCTCGATAGCCAATGCTGCTTACTGTTCGTATTGCTTACTGGACAACTAGCAGAGTCTTCTAATGCCACGAGCGACTCTATACCAGCCGGATCGCTGCCTACCTTCGTGCCTCTCGTCCTCGAACGCTGGGAACGTTGGGAAGGTCGAGATATGCATACCGTCCCCGTCTATCTAGTTCCATTGGCCCACTCCGGCGAACGCGTAACGACGGCCCGCTGTGACGAATCTCCCTAGACCCGACTCTGGAAGGGTTTGCCGAACTGAAGGTTCGAGCGCGAAAGGGTGCTTGGGTTTGGTAAGCCGGAGTCCCGACGGTTCACAACCCATATGGTGACTTACAATAGACAATAGCTGGAAGGGTATCCTAGATACTACATGGCCCAATGGCTTACCGGAGAACTCCCAGAGTCCCCTACAACGAGGGACTAGCCGTGCTAGCACAAGTTCCTGACTACGACACAACAACGACAATACAACCATCTGCCCCAACATTTCCCCCGTGCCTGTCCTCCAACACATTCTCTGTCTCGAGACTTGGATCGGTTGGCTTGACCATTGATCCCGTCGAGCCAGCATCGAATAGTGTTTCCGGTTGGCCGTAAGCCCTGTGCTAATGATGGGTCCGGGGCGCTTCCCGCGCAGCCCCTCTGGGCCACTGCACAAAATTGTATAGTCAAAATCCGTCACGCTTGCCCATCACTTGCCTATCGGGGACGATCCCATTCTTGCCGGTGCTGACCCTCGTCCAGACGATTTGCTCGGGGCGGTTACCCGCGCTGCCCCTCGGGCCGCCGCATATGGGCCATCCGTGACCGAGGCGGAATCCGTCCACACAATACCCCCGCTGCTGATGTCGCGAATCCTATCAAACGGACCGCGTACGACGCCACGACCAGCCGGGCCCGGGCAGTGTAAACAAGAACTCATTCTTGCCATTCTCATAATCATAACCACAGCATCACGAAACCCGACCACAACGGACCTTGACCCAGTGCTTCCAGTTCCAACTCCGGCGTATTTCGCCTCACCTCGCCCACGCCTGTAGCTAGGCTGACTGCCAACTCGGACACGGATGGATGGGAACCATGGACGATCGGTCGTCTTGTCGGGCGCTCCGTCCTACCTGCGGCTCCTCGGGGCTTCCTCGCCCCCGAAGCGGCAACCCTGTCAATTCTCTGCCCCACGTGGGGCTGATGTCGCGCGCAGGCCCGCCCGTTGTTTGTCAAACAAATACACAAATACCTCTTTCTCCAATAAACCCCACCCCCTCGCGTCGGCTTTCTTCCCTTTCCCTCTTACCTCTCTTCCAGTGCCATACGCCGCAGCAGTTCGCACTCACATTGACACATTCGAGCGATGACCTGTACTGGTCGATAATTTTTGAAGCCACATATTGCCTGACATTGTATGCTCTGGGTTTGGTATCTCTGCGTGACCGCGGGAGGCTAGAGAGGCTAGATGTGCATCCGATGGCACAGCCTTTGACCCTACCAGACGATGCTTCCAAGATGTGTTCTTTAGGACAACAGCCAATTTATACACGATTAACTCATGACGTTCCAAAGCTCAGAATAACATAACTACAGGCAATGCATATGCGTTATGCATTGATGTAGCTTGCTGCAAGAGCCTTCCGGATTCCGGGAGACAAGCTTGCGCCCTCACTTCCCAGAGGACAGGTCTTCACCCCCAGGGGACAGGTCTTCACCCCCAGGGGCCAAGCTTGGTCTTCACCCCCAGGGGCCAAGCTTCCTCTTCACCACCATGGGCCAGCCTTCCTCTTCACCCCTCTCCCCCTTCCTTCCCCAACCCCCTAACCCTACACCCAGCAGCCCCCTCCCCTCCTACTAATCAGGCGGGAAGTTCGCACGTAGACGCCTAGGATATTAGTGTTTTCAATATGGAGGAAGAGAGAGAGAGACGAGACCGGGAACGCGTGCAGGATTCCCCTCTTCCCTTTCCCCTTTCGGTATAGTGGGACCAATCAGCGGGCGAAGCGGTCGGAACGCGTCGAGGACGCACGGGCCTACCTGGAATGCATCTGTACCTGCCAAATCGGGCTCAGAGCGTGTCGAGGTTGGGTGGGGTAGAAGTGGGTCGGCGCAAGGCGAGGGTTAGGATTAGGGTTGCAAGGCTGGGCCCCGAAGTGGGGGCCTTGTGTAGCGGGGCTCTGCTCAGGTGGCCTGTGCGCAGCCACAGGCAGGGTTTTCCCCAAGCGCGCCCCGCCTCCCACATTCGGTTCCTCGTGCAACTACACTATACCAGAGATCCCCTACCACGGCGATTCCTCCCGTGACAGCTTCATCATTGACGGAAAACGCTGCGGCCCGAGGTTGCCGTCTGGAGTTTGTGAACTGCAATGCGTGGAATGAGGAAGATCTCTCGGGTCTCCTTTCACAACTGTCGGCCTCGCAGGCCTGGATCCGTGGTGTTGTGCACGTTGGTTCGGATCCTATACGGGAGGTAAGCTATACACTGGCCAAAACGACTCCCATACATTCACCGTTAACACGGGGCATAGCAGTCGCAGGTTGGAATGTCGGAAACAGCCCAAACTCCCCGCCACCTCAACTTACCACACTATCTCACCGTGAAAGTTCTCGCGGAGACTGTTGGCCTCAGAGCATGCAGATTCGCAAAAAAGTGGTTCCGGAACTCGTAGCAAATGACATGGTTTAACATGGGCCACCAACAAACGGAATGTCGATTTTTTATTGGGTTAAGTTAGGTTTTATTGGGTTTCATTTTTGCAAACAAAAGTCTACCATGCTTTTCTTTCCCTAAGGTTTCGCGTTTTTCCCACCTTCTCAACACTTTTTCCTCTCTCAATTCCTCAAAACCCCCGACGTCAATCATCCCACACCTACATGTGTGGTCTTGTTGGAATTATGGAACAATCGGTTTTCCATCATTTCGCTCTACCCGAGCGACTTCCGGCTTCTGAAGATGCGAATCTCAACGACATCGAGGCTAGGCTCACTGACCACCTTCTCGTGGCGATCCGCATCCTGCGGGATGCCGCTACTGGAGACGAGTCACGATCTGATGTATCGAGTATCTGGGAACGCCTCCGTCAGTGCTTAGTTATATCCAAGGCCGTCACCCGCGACGGCAGGGTTGACAGGACGCTTTTGTTGTCAGAGCTGAGGGGCATGACCGCCCTCGGCGCAATCCTGCTTGACATTCGTAGCCAGAATGCGGCTCTTTTGATCCATCGACTGTCGGAGTAAGTGTTTATGCTTCTGGGTTCGCTCGAGTCAAACGACTCAACTAACCGTTTGTCACCGCCAGCTTGGATGAAGAGGTCGTCTTTGAAGTTTTTGAAACCTCTCCAAGAAGCGAGGACGTCCTCGCAGCAGATAATGCCCTCCAGTGGGATTTTCCCGGCAGTGCATTTGCTATTCCGTTACCAACATTCAACGACGACAACTTCCAAGGTGCACTTGCCGACTTCCTCGAGCTAGCCTCCCTGGAATCCACCAAGGCGTTTGCCGCCCAATCTTACAAAGCCGGAGTTCAAACATACGAAGACCGAGACACGGGCGATCCGGCAATCATCAGCTCGCTGTTGATGGCAATCATTGAAGAGAACGGACGCAGACTGTCCATCCCTCCCCTTCGGAAACGAGTGCGGGACGACGTTTGCTGGTTCAAGGCTCGCAGGCCGTGGCGCCGTTCTCCCCGCTGGCTTGCGCTCAGGGTTCTCATCTCGCGGTACTTGCTACTGAGGTTGGGCACGGAATTGGGTCGATTCGAATACAAATTTTGTGTCTGCGTCTGCTTGGCCAAATTTTTGGAGGGCGCGCAAAGGGCTCTTGAGGTTGACCAAGTCCATTTCCTCAAGGCCAAACTGTGCCGACGGCTCGCGAAGTTGGACATGGAGAGAGACAGCATGCAACAGGAGCACATCAAACGAAATGTGGATCTTCTCTTCTCGCGGCTGACCCCCATCATCGACCCGATCATCCACAGCGCGGTCGGCCACGTACAATCCGTGTGGCAGGCGTGGAAGGTGTCCTCCATCAAGCAGATTCCTCCTTTGCCGAAGACGGCCTCAATGTCGGACACCAGGCTGCCCCTGCGAATGAGTGGCCAGTGGCTGCAGCGAATCCTGGTCTCATCAAACAAGATGATGAAGGGCCGCCAGCAAAAATGGATCCCACCATCCGACTTTGATCCTTCAACTCTACGCAACGAGCATTTCGCCAAGCTCGTGAATCCCCTTCTTCAGATCACCGCTATAGAGGATGAACTCCGGGAGTCCCTTCAGTCAGGTGTTGGATCTGGAGCCTCTGGTACCGCACCGACCCAGATAAGAAGGCATCTTGACAGAGGCCTAGACTTATACAGAGGCAACGCCAGCGAGATGAGCCTTTTGATCCTCGATGTCATGTGCCTCTGGACAAGACTTGACATGTGGACATGCCAGCAATTCCCCCTCCTCCAAAAGTTCCACCCCGTATTCACGGCTGAAATTCTCGACGTTTTGCACCTGGAGCTCTACAAGGACATGGCTCGCCTACAGGCCGTCCAGCATTACCTTGAGGCGCGGGTTAAGATGTGCCGCGGCTCCAAGATCACTATCTTTGATGATCCGACCAACGATTGTTTCGCACGAAGATATTACGATGAAGTCCCTTCTGTTGACGGCTTGAGTGCCCTCCGTGAGGATATTGAAATGGCGGCTCGCGAACAAAAGCAAGTTAAGTTGGATGAATGGAGGCGAAAGAATGCCGAATACAATGATCTGACCCGGCAGGTCAATGGCAGCACTTGCATTCTCACCGTCGACGAGAATGATCCTTTCGGAAGGGGGGAACATGTCGAGAGCTTCTGTCCCCGGTGTCAAGCGATACGAAGACTGGCCAGGCTCCGCATCCAGATTCACGAGCACCCGCTCCCATCTGACGACTTTCTGGCCAAAGTGGTTGTGTTCGAGTTACGGTGCCCTGCGGCCTTTGCAGTCTACCGCGATACAACTTGGATGATATTATCACGGCTCGCCTGCTCTGCGCCGGCCCAAGGAGTCGAACCCAAGTGTCGCATCCACGAGTACGCCGCCCTCGCAGGCTTTGCCACCAACACAGCACAGCCTACCTTTTCCTTGGCCTCCTTCACGAAGCCCTGTAAGTGTCCCCTCCTCCTGCCAGGCGCCATCTGGGGCCGAGTCGTTGCTCTGCTAGTTGCTGATTCTCCCTCTCTACGTTAGTTTTGAACACTCACTATGCGAATGCCACCTTTCCGATCGAGTGGGATGGTGGACGGGATGCAGTGTGCAAGCCAAACGGATTGAAGTTGGCTTATTTTGATGCGACCAGCCGAATCTGGACTGGACGAACACGGCTGAGACCACAATTTACCCACCACGTCCGACTCCAGTTACCGCAGAACTCGCCCTTCGGCAGCTTGCTCCATCACAAAGGGTTTTCCGCCGAAGGGGACGGCCCTTCGTCGTACGAAATCATGGCTACCCAAATGAGCTGCCCCACAGGTTTGAATCCGCACGAGTTCCTTGCCTTCAAGACCCTGGTGTCGGGCACCGCTCGAAGATGGATATCCATTCTAGTCGAGCTCGGAGCAACCAACATGAACTGGTCGAGCGAAGCCAGCGCGATACTCCTCAACCACTTGGCGCTGCATTGTGGCCCAGCATCGGACCAAAATGACAAACTGAAACCTCTGAGACTCATTCACTCCGTTTTCCGTGACGCCCACTTTGTTGAGAGGCTGCTCGAGCAGTTGCACTCGCGTCTGTCGAATCTCGCCGCGGTGGCAAGTTGGAGGGAGGCATATCTGATGGGCACAATAATCACTCTGGCGCTACGCGTCTTTGACCTATCTTCCGCAGCCAACTTGGGAACAGATATTTATGAGAAAGCTCTCGATTCTATCCTACAGGCCCGGCAGATTTGCGCCCAATGGTTTAGGCTGCTCCGGGAGGAGATTCTGACATCTCCAGACAGGGCTGCGGCCAAACAGTTGCAACAACGCGCTCTCGCGGCGGCTTTGTTATGTCGGCGCACGTTCGTCATCCATCTGGAGCACTCTGTCCCTTTCGACCCTGTATCGTTGGCCCTGTACGTCGAGTCTACTATCGCCACCCATGAGAACATGGTGAGCAACATCGACTCGCTTCCGCAAACCATGTTACAGAACATGGTATCTACCACTAAGCTTTCCCATCGTCTCAAAAGGATTGTTTCGCTTTCAATCTGCGAAAGCCCAGACAGCCTCCGCGAGGCCTTGAAGTACTTCTGGCCTGACGCGGATCGAATTGGAACCACGAATTCCGCATTAACCCTTGATCGCGCTGGTTGGCTGTCCTGCGATATCGCCCAGACCGAAACCGAGAGTCACCAAGTGGTGAACGTGGATTTGCTCCTTGGTACACTTCTCGTAAATGGGAAGCCTGTTGGGGTAGGTCTACACCCAGTCCAGCTTGGCCGTGTCTTGAGGGACTTTGAATTAACTGGGGATGTGAATAGAAACTGCCTCAGGATTCGCAGAACTCATTGATGCTGAGGGCTCTTTTTGGCGATCAGCCTCTCCGAGTGTTTCAGTCGTCGATTCCAGGGATGACGTACAGTAAGACCTGTCCCACTAAGATCAATGGAGTTCAGACGTTCAATGGCTGATATTTCCCTGGCACAGCGCTCACCAACCGACCGAAAGGTTTCACGGTACACATCGGATACGAAGGCCGCGACACCATCATCGTAGCTAAATTACGACGGCCACAAACCTGCACTGTCCGCTTCATTTCCCAGGAACGCTTCCATTCTGCAACCATCTGGGATCTCCCGGGACCCTTGGTGGATGGCCGTATACACTGGCTGTAAGTGATTCTGCTCCATAGTCTAGGGACTCTTTTGCACCGGCTAACGAATACCTCCTAGAGATTTAAGTACTGGGGATGTTTACATGGCGCCCACCGCCAGTCCATGGGACATCTTCAACCACCATGTCATTTGGACCATGAACATCTATGATCCTGTTTGCTGGAAGCTCCGGCAGGGCAGACAGGAGCGAGACATTGTCGTGGACCCCCTTAGCCCTCTCTTCGAGCGGGTTGCAAGGATCCTAGATGGCTTGACCAACAGGCGGAACCTTCTTGTCAGCCAGCCATCCGGATTCGGATGCGGTCTCGAAGTTCATATCCAATGCCTCCAGTTAATGTTTTTCGTCAAAAACACCCAGCGTTTGTATTCTCCACAACTGAATCTGGAGATCGATCCCAATCAAGACGCCGGGACCTGGTACGGCCTGACGAGCAAGCTGGTGTGCCGTGGTGTTGACAACCCCCTTCGCCGGACGGTCCTAGTTCCCCTGGGCCATTTGTCCACCACCAAATCGGGATGCCACGTCTTGGTCAGCATCAAGGAGGAGGGAAGGTATGGGAAATTTCCGATCAATGATACGCTCGGCAGGATAGACTGCGCCGCCGAGCCGAGCCTCGTTTACACCAAAGCCTTGCTACACGCGTATACGTCCTTCTTGCTTCCCGATCCCTTGACAGGGCGTACTGGAACCGAGGAGAGTCTCCACTGGCTTCGGCTGGGAATCTGCCGGCCGTGGACAGTGCTCAGCGGATCACTAGCTCCAGTCTTATCTCAGATTGCCAGCCTCACGCCGGTGCGAGAATACTATCCCCGAGATTTGAAAGTCATGAAGACCGATCGCTGGGACGATTGCCTCACCTGCCACATGCAGGACCCGATGTATCGACAGGTGGTCGAGGAGATAATGGCTGTTTCGAGAGACCTGGCTAGATTTTCCACGACTCAGAGCACCATGCCGGGAATCTGCCATGATCCCTCTCCTACCGGCGACGCCCATCTGACCACGAGGGCGTTGATACGCCGCCGACTGTATGAGAGAAATGGATTTAATGGAGGCGGGAGCAAGCCCACATCTAGGGACAAAGAGCGCGTGTACTTGTCCCGAGACAAGCTTCCATCCTCGGGACATGCTGCTGTGATGGAGATTACACACCTCTTGCGGACAAAGCCACAAACGTTCAAAACTCCGTCTAATTTAGCCGACCTTCTGTCCCAAGGAAATACCATCGGTGGCTATGGCGCCGAATACAAGACCGTGTCCCTCACTAGGCAGATGCAAGCTGACATGCGCGAAAACTGGGGCTCGCTCGTCGAGTCCTGTCGCAGCCGGTCAAGCTACAGCCTCATGTTCTTTTTGGCAACCTTGGCTTTTCGGCAGAAGTTTGATGACGGTCTCCTTAAGGGGCTTTTGGCGTTCGCTATTTTTAGTGATCTCCGGTCCTTGTCTCTTCCCCCCTGGCCTTCCTACTTCAATTTCCGTCCGGGTAGCAACCCCGGGTTGGACGATATCACGAAACTGATCCGCCCCTTCAAAATCCCTCCTCCAGAGAATGACGGAGAGGGACTGGGAATGCTGATAACTGCCAAGCAGCGCCGCAAGATGCAAGCTGCAAAAGACGTGCACGAGATGAAAAGCGACGAGGATTGCCGTTCTTTGGCCAAATTCCTTCTCGCCCAATGGCCGTGCCATGAGCCTGACCTATCGAAGTTTCCGCGTACTGATCTTTTGGTGGACATCTCGGCAGCGCTTGAGGCTATCCGCCCAGAATGGCTGCGCCTGTACCATAACAGGAGCCTGTCTCTTCATTTGGACCAAGTCCAGCTCATTTTGAACCGCCGACGTTCAGACTTTGAGTATAAGCCCCCACGTATGATCGCATCCGAAGTGGCTTTTGGGCCACTTAGCCCTCTTCGTGGCGCCGTGATCCCTCAACTCGATTCCGACCTTCTTGGGAAAGCTTTCAACAGAACTCCTCTCATCGCTGCAACACGAAACTCAGAGGTTCAATGGGCTCCTTTGGCCAGCTACTCTCAACATGACCGCCACTCCCCTGTGCTGATGCATAATAATCGCCCCATTATCAGCAATGCCAAACCAAAAGTCTCAGCCGAGGAAGCGAGGGGACACATTATCGAACTGCAACACATCATCAACGATTTGGCGAAGAGCAAGTCATTGGTGCGCAAACGTTATGCCCGAGATCTCTTGCAGAGTCTGGACGCGTTCAAGAACCTCAGGACGCCCCAGCAGCTTGCCACATTCCTTTGCCTCCGTGACGATGCCGCGGCCGTGTCAGAGTTCATCCGCGCCTTCTCATACCTGAAAGCGTCACTGGAGACACCGGCACTGTCGATGTCGTCCCGGCGGATCCGGTGGCTTCAACTAGGCGGTCTATGGCCCGCAATCACAACAGTGTCCCTGCTGGAGCAGCTGCGATCGACGGCTAGCCCGTGTTTCGGGGATGGGATGCGAGATGCGCTGATCGATTTCGGCCTGGCCATAACCAAACTGCAACGGGTGATGAGACTGAATGACTGTGTTCGGGCAGGCGACAAATCGCGCTTCGAGGACGAGGAAGCCAACCTCGGACATACCAACTGGAGACCCCAGGACCATCCCGACTGGATGCTCTTGGAAATAGATTCCAACTTACTCATCCGGCCCAGCCAGGTCGATGTGGCCCTAGCTACCATTTCGCCAGCGTCGGGTACAAACTCGGTTTTGCAGATGAACATGGGGCAGGGCAAAACATCATGCATCATTCCGATGGTCGCGGCTTCGATGGCTGACAAGCAGAGCCTCGTGCGCATCATCGTCCCGAAAGCGCTGCTCCAACAGACTGCTCAGCTGCTCCACTTGAGGCTTGGGAGGATTCTGGACCGCCAGGTCAGCCACATCCCCTTTTCCAGGCGGACGGTGACGAAGGACGACAGCATCCGATTGTATTACGACATTCATAAACGTGCCCTGAAGGCGGGGGGGCTGATGCTGTGCCTACCAGAGCACAATCTGTCCTTCCTATTGAGCGGGCAGCAGAGGATCCTCGACAACAAGGTCAATGAGGCGAAGCCTATGATCAAAGTGAACACTTGGCTGAGGTCCGTCTGTCGTGACATTTTGGACGAATCCGACTACACCTTGGCGGCTCGAACTCAACTCATCTACCCCTCCGGCCCGCAAATGCCCGTCGACGGTCACCCGCATCGATGGCAAGTCGTCCAAGCCCTACTTAGCCTCGTCGATCAACACCTTTACAGTTTACAAAACTCGTTCCCCCAGTCCATCGAAGTGGTCAGACGACAGGGGGGTGGCTTCCCTCTCATCTACTTTGTGCGCCGGGACGTCGAAGACGAGTTACTGAAGCGACTCGCCACAGACGTTACCAAAGGCCACGGCAGTATCCTCCCCGTAAGCACGTTTGACAATCGAGAACGTGCGGCCGTCAGGGACTTTCTCGCCCCAGGGGCGAAAAAGCTGAAGTCCACCACTCTTGACAAAATACGGAACCTGCGTGCGGATAGGCCCCAGGTGAGACAGACGGTGTATCTCATCCGCGGATTAATCGTCAATCGTATCCTGATCATGACGCTGAAAAAGCGCTGGAACGTGCAGTACGGCCTTCGGCCCAATTCGGATCCCGTGGCGGTCCCATACCACGCTAAAGGGGTGCCCAGTGAGCAGTCGGAATGGGGCCACCCCGACGTGGCGATCCTATTTACCTGCCTCGTGTTTTATTACGGCGGCATTGATGAAAGCCAACTGCGGCTGGCGCTGGCTCGCGTGCTCAAGTCAGACGATCCGTCCACCGAGTATGATAAGTGGGTGCAGTCCTCGGAAGAATTCCCGGCATCTGTGCGGGCGTGGAACACAATCAACATTGAGGATGACGCCCAGGTCCGTGACATATGGAAAGCGGTGCGGTACCGGGTCGTTGTGGTCGACTACTTCCTGAACAATTTCGTTTTTCCGCAACACGCGAAGCAGTTCAGGGTGAAGTTACAGTCCAGCGGGTGGGACATCCCGCTATTCTCGACGCAGCTGGAATCAATGTCTGCGGACGCGATGAACGGCTCCGCCGGGGATCAGCTGTCGAAGAAAGCTCGACAACAACCACTCACGACAGGCTTTAGTGGCACAAACGACAACCGTACTATGTTACCGCTCACCATCCACCAGGCAGACTTGGCAACGCTATCACACACCAACGCCGAGGTTCTCACATATCTTCTGCACGGCCGGTCTCGCAGGTGTCAGATCATCACCAACCCCAGGGATGGCCGGGCGACGGAATGGGACTTGCTCCGTATGCTTAGGGCACAGAACATCCGGATCCTCATTGACGCGGGGGCCCAAATTCTCGAGATGGACAACGAAACACTCGCCAGGGCGTGGCTCAAAGTCGACGAGCGGTGCGATGCCGCACTATATTTCGATTCGACTAACAAACCGTGGGTCATCTCCAAGCATGGCCGCAAAACGCCGCTGTTGGCATCGCCATATGCCGACGATTTAAGAAAGTGTCTCGTGTATCTTGACGAGGCTCATACCCGGGGGACTGACCTTAAATTCCCGCTTGACGCGCGGGGTGCCCTCACGGTTGGCCCGGGCCAGTCCAAGGACCATACAGTTCAAGGTGTGTGCCCCCTGCTCTCTACTAGATTCCCCACTGCAATTGCGCTGACTCTCAAACTTGAATTAGCGGCCATGCGGCTACGCCAGCTCGGGACGTCACAGGCCATCACGTTTTTCATCCCGCCCGAGGTGCACCAAGTTATTGCCGACCTGCGAGCGAAGTCAAAGTTCGATAACATCGACTCCCACGACGTGTACGTAGAGCCTCCACTGCGTTAGCGTTGTGATACGGCTCGCTAATACTGACTGTGCGTTGGTCGCAGCATCTGCTGGCTTCTCGACAATTCTTGCGACAGCATCGAGCAGCTGCAGCCGTTATATTACTCGCAAGGTGTTGATTTCTGCCGTAGAACCCAAGCCGCCCTGGACAACCCCGACTACTTGACGAACCCGGACCACCGTGCCCAATATGTGTCATCCATTAGGCAAAACGAGCTGCAGACGCTTCAGGAGATGTACGAACCGAAGGCCAAGGGGAGCAAGCACGGCAATTTCCAATTATCGCATCCCAAGGTGGCTGCATTTGCGGAGGAGCTCAACCTTCGGCGCAAGGGCTTCCAAGACACGGGACGGGCCGTTCATGGCTCAGCACTTCAAGAAGTCGAACAGGAGCGCGAGGTTGCTTTTGAAGTTGAGTCGGTTCGGCAGGTGAAAAAACGGGTGCAGTACGACGCGCTACGCTTTCCAGGTCTCCACGCCGAGATTGAGATCTTTACCCGCACCGGACGGCTGCCCGTTGACAGCCATGCCGTTACACATGTCTTCCAGCTACTTTCGAGCACCTCGCTGGGCCGGAAACACAAGGTGTCGGGTCGGGGCAGCCACGCGCAATCCAAGCTGTTCGTGTCGGCTGAGTTCAACCGGACAGTGAAGCTCTACACCTCTTCAGCCCCAGATACTCTTCTGGTAAGTTTCATCGCCTCTAGTGATTGAGTTCCGCCCCCTTTCTACTTGTCTAACACGGCGATAGCGCCCCGTCAGCTGGGTGCTCTGGAGCGGCCTATTCGAAACAGCCGTCGTCCTTGTTCCCGAGGAAGCCGAAGAAGTTATCCGCATGATGTACGCGAAAGCCACGCACCCCAAAGTCCACCTCATGACCTACGCATCCCCCGTAACAAAACGAATGATGGCGTTCAACAACCTAGCCTTCTTCAGCATGCCACCCCTGCCCAAAGACTGGGCGGCACCCCAGTGGCTCAAGACTGAACTCGGCTTGCTCGCCGGAAGACTATACTTTCAATGGCATGAGTACGAATCGCTTTGCACATTCCTCGGTGTGATCGAAGACGATAGGGACATGGAATCGCCTTTGGTCGCTGATGATGAGGAACAAGGGCCAGATTCTGAGGATGACAATGACGTTATACAAGATGGCCAAGGGCGAGGCGAGACGGTGATCTCTCCTCGGAGGGATGGGCGGACTGTCAACATGTCATTCTCCCCTCGGCCTTTGACATTTCTACAGGAGTGGTTGGCCATGAGACGACACGGGCAAGACTTCGTCCAAACGCCTATGGGATTTATAACACAAGGCAAGGCGTTGCAGGCAAGCCATCCGTTTTTCGGTCAGGACAATGCGTCGAGCGTACCAGTAACTCAAGTTGGAACATCTGTGGCTGGGACGACGGTTGGTGTAGCAGGTGGTGGGAGCTCTTGGGGAGCGAACGAAAATGGCTATGCTGACGAGGTTGTTGAGTTTGATGGTGTGGATGATATGGGTGCGAATGTGGGTAATAATGAGAGCGATGAAAAAGGGGAGGATGTGGTGTATGATGATAGCGAGTGGTTCGACTCAGACCTGTCTGAGTGAGGTGGTATTGGAAGACTGGTGTTAGATTGAGATTATAAGTAAAGCAGGCGAGTAACAGTCTATTATCTAGTTAATTGTTATTATTATTATTCATACTCCGCTATGCCCTAGGGCGTGCCAGACCCTCAGCTATTTAGTGTACTGTCACGAATATGGTCGCATGCAGACGACCCGGCGGGTCACGCTGGTCGTGCCCCGAGCCAATCGGCAAAGAAGGGCCTCCTCCAATGGGAACCGGATCATGAGCTGCAGACGCGATCCAAAGGTAGCCAATCAGAAATGGATCATTGGATCGAGAAGCGATCTAATGATCCAGGACGGATCGCAGGATCATGGAAATATTCTTCGATCCAGGTACGGAGGTACCCAGGAATTAGCTAGTATATAGTCACTCGTTCTGGAGAACTCTGGGAGTCCTCCAGTGAGCAATCACAACTACAGTTCGCTACAAGCTCGAGAGCCTACTGTTGAGACAAGTCTCTGTTGTGCACCCTTTGGCTGCACCGAACCTAAGCACCCTTGAGAGATTACCTTCAACCGAAGCTGAACCCTAACAGGACAGGATCCTGAAGTAGGTTCGTCACATGTACAGGAAAACCGTGCCCTCCCGGGCCGGGTGAAAAACCCATACCAACAATCAAGGAACGATGCGTTCTGGTGAGTCTGCATATACAAAGAGAGGAGGCCTCCTGGCCTCCGGACGGGGGCGTTTCAGGCTGCCGCTTCCAGCTCGAGCCTCCTGGCTAAGTTGTACATCGGCAGCTTCCCCGAGTCCATCAGCCAGTCGAGGACTCTCCTCGCGAGCCGTGCAGTCGTGGGATTGATGCCGTGTAGTGAACTGGGGTATACGCCTTGCAGTGGCCAGAGGGGTAGGGTTATCTATTTTCCGTTTTTCCGCCTTGGCACTTCTCATGTATTTAGGAGAGACAGCTCCCGCCCTCTCAGGGGTTAAGGGGGCAGACAATTCTCACTCTTTTCTTTCAACACTTGCAGAAGTGACATTTCTTTCGCGGCAGCTGTGACCGCAGCCCTCTGACCAGAGGGCCACGCGCGTAGGCGTATCGATACCGCGATCGTAGGATCCGCGGCATCACTTTGTTGTTTCCTGAGCCATCTCCTCTCTCATGCTGCATTGACATCACAACGAGCGTGGCACGTGACCAGCGTTGGTGGTGTGTGTGGTTTTGAGGTGTATCACCGCTTTAGTAGAAACGCTTCAAACAGGTCGCGGTACTCAGGAGGAAGTCGCGCCTTGATCTCGTCAGCTGTCAGAGACGGTTTATTCGACTTGTCGAAGAACTTGCGGGCATCCTCCTCGGTGATGCGCCGCATCGTCGGTCCATCTCGCCAGACTTCGTCAACAAAGCTATGAAAAACAGCTGGCAGTCGTGCCCTGTAATCGCCTGCATCACCATTGCGGTGGAGAAGGTCCCTGAAGAACCCGTCTGGCAGGTCGGGAAGCTCGGTATATGGTACCTCTTTCATCGCCTGCTCCAGCTCGCCGAAGGTGGTTCTCATGACCGCGACGCCTTTCTGGCGGCAGAGCAGGGCGAAATTCGGTGCGTTCAGCAACTTAATATCAGCGCCGTCGATGCGCTCGGTCCGTCGTGCCACCCCAGGGGTCGGCAGTGCCCGGTGCGGCTGGGCTGGTGTTGCTCGCTTCCCCGCTACCATTCTCGCCTGCCGGGGAGAACAAGAGGGCTGATTTGGTATCATTCTGGCCCTTGCGTGTGGTGGCGCCATTGTCCACCGGGGGCCTCCTCTCGCCTCCGCGGCGTTGCGATGCTGTAACAGCTGTTGGCGGAGGCGCCAGCTGCGCCTCCTGCGTGATCTCGCTGCCCTTTGTTCCACAGATAATTTGCTAACAACGGTCTCCGGCTGCCCCTCGGGTTCGCCTTCGTCCTCGACATCCTCGACATACATATGGAATCGCTTCCCAGGGTCGGAAACTGTGGTCGGCCCAATTGCTCGGGGCGGCCGGCAGTGCCCCCGGCAGCCCTCACGAAAAGTAAGGGATAATTTCTCCCGATCCACGGCCGGGTTGTGTTTTCTCAGCCACGGGAAGCCGAGGATGACTGGGTTATCCTCCGCTAACGTTGTAATAAAGAACTGTAGTTGCTCGCGATGGTCGCCAATCACTAGGCCCACTTGTGTCTTCCACTCAATCCATGACGATAGAGCGCCGTCGGCAAGGAACAGTGGCCTCTTTTCTGGTAGTCTCGTTAACGGAATATGGTGCCTGACTGCGAACCTGAAGTCTAGGAACGCCAACCCAGTACACCCAGAATCAACCAGTGATACACACGGAATTGCGCGGCCGCCTACAAGGAGATAAGAAGACAATGTAATGGAATTTTTCTGGCCGATAGCACTAATGATCAATCTGTCATCGGCACCGGCGAGCGTTATCCCCAACACCTTGTCCTCCTCCCTATAGTCGGCCCTCCGCCTCCACACGCGGCTCTGTGTGGAGGTTAGGCGTTTCCCTGGCTGCTGCGGTCCTCGCTCCGACCTTCGTAGTTCGTGGTGGGCTGGCCATCGCCGCTCCAACCGTCCTCGGAGTCGACCTCGCCTACCACATGGCCTGGGTTCTGCACGTTCAAGAAACGGACCTGGGAGTTGTAGCCGCCCCGGAAATCGCCACGCATCTCGCCGCGGCGAGTCGGAGGACCTTGGTAATTGCCACTATTGCCGGTATTCGCGTTGTTACCAGGGCCGTTGAACGCTCGCTGCTGCTGGTAAGCGCCTCCGAAATAATTGTTGTTCCCACCTTGCTGAGGGCTATAATAACCCTGAGAGTAGCCCTGGCTGTTGTAAGCGCCGCCATAGCCACCGCGCTGGCCGCCACCGCGAGAGCCGCCACGACCACCACGGCTCGGGTATGTGGGGCTACGGCACTGGCGGGCCTGGTGGCCGGCTTTACCGCAGTTGAAGCAGAGGCCATCGTTGGCTCGACGTAGCTTCTCCTCTTCAGGGATCTTTGCCAAGTTGATCCTCATCTGGTCGAGGTCCATGGCATCGGGATCCTTGGCCTTGCCGCCGTTGCCGTTGCTGCGGTTCTGACTACCGTTGTTGTTGCTGGCTGCCTTGCGGAGGTGGTCTTCGCCCTCCATGTTGATTGCCAGTGTCTGGGCCATCTTGACCCAGCCTTCGAAATCGTTGCGCTCCGGGGTATTGATCTGCATGTTGAGGGCCTCCCGCATAGGCTTGGAAAGCCGCTCACGGAAACCACGAACGCGGGCCGTACCATCCCAGTCGCATACGTCGGTGAGGTTCGTATATTCAGTCAAGAAGTCGGTAAACGCCGCAAACTCGTCCTTCTGCGACAGGCTACGAAGCTTGTTCTCCGCGTTGGCCGCTAGATCCATTGTAGCGTACTTACGGGCGAGGTGGTCCATAAAGTCGGTTGCGGTTTCCCACGGCCAGGTGGCCGAATCGGAAGGGTTCGCCGTCACCTTCTGGACACCCTACTACTACTACTACTACTACTCCAAGTATCCTGAATCAGACCATGTTAGGCTGATTATGGGGTGGGTCTGGTAGCAGGGGCCCTGGATTGGCTCGGATTAGCTCGGACCACACCAGGCTGAACTGATTACCACTCGCACCACACGAGCTGAACTGATTACCATAGCTTACCCACCCATTATAGTTAGAAGGGAAGCCTTAGCAAGCACACCACCACCACTATCAAGCACACCGCTATTCCTGACTGGGAAAAGCGCGTGTGCCCCACTGCAGCAGGACAAGCTGAATTCTTTGACAGCTGCCAGGTGGGCCAACAGCGCAATTGAATTCTTCCTCAAAGCCATCTTCACAGCAGTGTTACTGCCACAGCATTAACTTTCCGCTTCCAATTAACGGCCTGCTGCCGCCGAGCCTGTCAGGTATGCTTTCAGACCCTGATTCTAATTATCTAGCTAATGATGTTATTCTTAAGCAGAATGGAAGCAGCCGGATGGTCATCGCAAACGCCAGAGCGGCCCTGCGGCCCGCCGCCGCCCGAGAATACCTACGGCACTTTGGAGGAGGCATAGGCAGCCACCCAAGCCCACGCTTCCACCAACGGCTACAGGATGGTCAAGAACGGCACCAAATCTGGCCGAGCGCGCTTCCGCTGTGCCAAGGGTCGTGAGTACAAACCTCAGGCCAATCCCGAGACCCACGAATCCAAGCGCCGCAAGACCAGCACGCAGTTTACTGGCTGCAAGTTCCAGCTTGCCGCCCGGCCTCTCCCTGACGGCAGATGGGCTGTGAAGCTTCCTGACGGCCCAGCAGCGTTGCACAACCACGGCTGGAGCTACCCCACTGCCTTTGCTGGCGCCAGAGCGAGAGACTCGTACGAACCCGGCACAGCGGCACCGCGGGCCTCCGGTCGATTCATCGATGGCCTAGATGCCCTGGATCCCGACATTGAAGATGACCATGATCGGGCGCTAGCGGCAGCCGAAGTAGCTGCCCACGAGGATCAGGAAGATGCCGTTGCTTTGGGGAATTAGCCAGCCGGCGGCAGACGCGGCTGATGCTTTGATGAATCGTTAGCATATTTCAGAACAGCAGAAATACAGCAGAATTGCGTTATCTACGATTTGTTCGGTTGATGCTGTTGTGGTTGCTGCTGGCACTGTGGCGGGCTGCGGCTGGCCTGGCAGCTGTCAAAGGAATTTAGTTTGTACTGCTGCAGTGTGGCATATTCGCTTTTCCCAGTCAGGAATAGCGGTGTGCTTGATACATTACCGCCGCATGCTGATATTGAAAAACCTTGACGGCTTACGCTTTGAGCGAATTTATCCCGGCTTGAGCAAAAAGAGCAGCTCCAGGCGAGTGAGCGGGAGGTTGACGGTACGTTGCCGGCTTAGGGCACCTAATCGGTTTGATCCACAGCCCGCTCCTTCCCTCGAGCTGGTACCCAACCGCTCTTGCCTTCGAGAGCAGTCACTCTACGGCTTAGAGGAAGGAACAGCTTCAACAAATAAGCCGCTTAAGGTCGTAAGCCGAAGAGAGACCCCTCGCTGCTGTGAGCGAATATGTCCCGGCTCGTGGATACCCGCCTTGCACCGCTAAGTAGTGGTGGTGGTGTGCTTGCTAAGGCTTCCCATATAGAAACACAGCAGTTCGACTATTGCTCCCTAATTTAACCAACCTCGTTTTTTTCCTACTCTATTGCTTTTTTCTCCAAATTACGCTTACCCTCCCCCCAGCCATACCCCTAGCCGCCCTTACCCACATGTTGGCCGACAACCTAGTCCCCGATCAACGTGTTGGAAGTTGTGGCACTTGGCACTCGGACATTCGGTTGCAGAACATGTATGGCTGCCCAACGTGGGCGCAATGCAGCCTACGTGGGGGGAGGCCAGGAGCTGACGACCAGCTATTTTACACAAGATGAGGGGAAGGACAGACAGAAACAAGGACAACCTTCAATTGATGACTTCGGGGCTGCTCCGAGGATCCCAACCCACTGTTGTAAGCTTCAAAAACATTTGTGTGATAACCGTGGAATCGTGGCTGTTGGTCTTCCAACACAACGCCGGTGCCGCCTCCTTCTTCTCCTTGATGGCCCACGCCGCCGCCTCGAACTCGGCCCGGATGGCGGCTTGGAAATCGGGTGTCTCTCCTACCCGCTCCCGCTCCCGCTTGCGGCCGCGTCGGCGGGCGGCACCACCTCAAACAACCGCTGCAGCGCGCCCGTCCGGCCGAACTGCTGGCAATACACCCCGTCCACCCATATGTCGCCCAACCCACCTACCGGCCCTGCCCCGGGCTTCCTACCACGCCCTCTGGGGTTAATCCAACCATGCTCTGACCGGCAATGCTTCTGGATATCCTGCCTCGTGCGCCGGATATGCCCACACTCGATGCACTTCTTACCGTCGCTCCACATGGGCAATCCGTCGATCGCCGGCATCACCTCGCTGGGGAATCGGATGTCGTCTACGCTAGCGGCTAGCGAACCGTCATCTTCCAGCGCCAACGCCTCCTCCACGATGCGCTGCCGATCCCCTGGAGCTAGAGAGGAGTGCTGTGAATTGACATGTGCCGCAACCGATTTCGCCGTAACCGCACCGCAGTGCTCGCGGCAAATAGCGATCCGGAATGCGGGCAATCGTTTGAAGAATTCATCGAACAGCACTATACGTAACCCCTTCCCTCGTGTAGGGGCTGGGATAGGGGCTAGGATAGGTAGCTGACCAACGCTCACGACCCTGGCCCCGCCCTGCGCGATAGCTGGTACCGCTCGCGTTTCTGTCCCCGTTCCCATTTCTGTACTTGTTGGAAACATCTCCCTTGCTGATCTCGAGCGAGACTCTAAGTCCTGTGGGTATCTGGCCGACTGTACGCTAGGATCGTCGGGGGCCGTACCATTGGGGGCACTCTCGGCCCTGGGGGCTAGAGCCTTTTCTCCTTCTAAACGCCGCCTCTTCGGCGGTCTGTGGACGGGAAACGCATCAGGCCCTTTCTCGTCAGCTTGGTCGGATCGATGGCCAGGTAGGGTACGATCTGGCTGCGGGCCATTCGGAGCTGTTCGAGGCTGTACGGTCCGAACAAGCGGCGCGGAGGACGCCGGCTCACGGACGTCAAGCGGGCAGTCGTTCGGCTGTAGAGAAACTCGAGGAGGCTGCGCCGCCATTCCGGGGATTTGGCGCGCCGGATCCGGCTGCCCGAGCTGTAGAAATCCGTGCCATTCCAAAGATAGCCACTTGTAAAGCTGCAGAAGAGCGGGTTGGAGGCTGTCGGGGAAGGCCCCGTCCAGCCCGTACGTGTAGGCTCTCTGCAAGGGCCGATGTCCGCTCTGCCAGGCGAACGCCACGCCACCGTCAGCGTCGCGCCTTCGATCATCGTAGCGGTTAAACGGATTCCTGATTTGCCGAACGTGCTTCTCGGTAACGGCAATGGAGAGCTGCCGATATACATGTGTGCCAAACGCTCGGCCGACGGTCGATTCGGTGAGCCGCCGCAGCGCCCCTGACAGGACGTGTGTCTTCCACAGCCTGTCGGATCTCTGCGGGGAGCAGAACATCAACGAAGACTCGACGTCGATTCCGTAGCAACGCCGTTGCAGCATGTATGTGAACGGCCGGATATACACAAGGTACTGGTAGAGGAGGCGGCCGACCTCGTCCGGCAGCATGCGGGCGACTTGGAACTCTTTGTTGGTAACCGTACGGGCCTTGGTATGCCTGGTTACGAGGAAGAAGGAGCCGTCGTAGACGTATATGCCCCGGCTTGTCGAAGCGCCGTTGCAATGTTCTAGGCACATCAGCTCCGTCGCCCGAGCAGCCTGCCCGCCGGTGAGGTGGATCAGTGCCATGAGCTCCACCAGCGCTTGGTCGTGCAGCTCGATATAGCGACGGACGGCCTGCTGGTCCCATCCGTTCCTACCGATCAGACCATTCACGGGGGAGAGGCAGGCACGCTCCGACAAGGCCAAGAAGGCATCGACCAGGTGGTTCACCGGTTCGGTCACGAACGAGTAGCCTTTTCCCACATCCGACATCTTGTCCCGGAGGGCGTGGAGATCGACCTGCGGCTGCAAGTCGTACATCAGGCGCCTCGTCGACAACGCGACGGACTGGAGCAAGTCGTGCGAGAGTGCCCGAAACTGCTGCATCGAGATACGGCCCTCGTCCCACGACAAAACCTGGTCGTCATCGCTCCACTGGACACGGAAGGCGGGTCCATCCGACCGTGCTAACTTGCGGCCATAGGTCCGAAGACTGAGCAGCTCGCCTACGGGGGCCTGGGAGCCCAGGCAGAATGCTGGCACCCGGACTTTATTCAGGCGCTCGACCTGATTCCGGTGCGGCCGGGCTGCTATCCGGATGTGGTGGTGGGGAAGGCGCGGGAGAACGGTCTCTAAAAGAAGGAGGCGCGCGCAATAGATCAAGGCGGAAAGCTTGGATGTGTACCGGGAGGGTCTCTCAAACGAAGACCCGTCTGCGCCGAGGCCTGCGACGCCGCTGAAGTAGACGAGGAGGGTAGAGCGTGCTTGGCCGTCACGGAATGGCTCGGTCACCAGAAGCCTAGCGAGCTGTAGCAGGGCGTCCTGGTAGTACGGATCGGACCCAGCGTCCTCCCCATCTTCTGAGCTAGACTCGGTATCCTCGCTATCTCCGTCGTCTACGCTAGAGTCGTCCTGGCTGGTTGCGGCGTCCTCGCCTTCGTCATCGTCATCGTCATCGTCATCATCATTGAATGCGCTTACGTCGTCGTGATCAGCAGCAGCTCGCCTTGTCTGCCGCGTTCGAGATGGCCATGAGAAGGCGGTAGTGTCCACGGTCTCTGTCCCAGAATCGTGGGCATTGTCGTAGCACTCATCCTCGCTCCCGCCGCCGGACCCCCGCGCGCTCGGCTGGGCTGCTCCTCTAGTTGCGCGGTCCACGCGCCGCTGACCCTGGGTTCGTGGTTCGCCGAGCGCGGACCAAGCCGCTTGCAAGGCGTCACGCTGGGCCTGCGTCAACGACCTCCGGCATAGAGAAACGCGGGAAGCCTCCGGCAGGCGCCAGAGCCGAAACGAGAAGCAGAAGAACCTGAGAAAGAGCCTCCAGTAGGATTGGGCCGTGGACTGGCGGCCTACGAGGTCAAAGGGGACCCTGTGCGGACGCACCGGGTCGGTGCTCCGAAGCCACAGCCGGATCGACACGTCGGTGTGTCGCGCCGTGTCCTCACAGCGGCTCTGAAGCCCGCGCAACGCCGACGCAACGCGGCCTAACCGATCTTCGTCCTCGCGGGTGCTCCGGATCGTTGTTTCGTCTCCAGGCGCGCTAAGTCGCAGGCCGTCCCCTTCTTGGCACGGTGGCAGGGCGAGCCTGACGAGAACGTCGCGCCTCGCCCCCTGGAAGGTCTCTAACCACCCAGTCCGCCGCATCCAGTTCGTCTGTAGAGCTAGATCAGGTGGGCTCGTGCCGTCTGTCTGGCGAGCGGTAGCCGAACGGCCGGCCAGGTGTTCCCGCTCGGCTTGGTGCAGCGCGTCAAGGGCAGCCCTCTGCTCGGTTGTGGCCTGGTTCCGCAACCGGGAGGAAGCGTCTTCTGGTCGCTCGGCCGGGGATGGGTCCTGCGTAGCGATCCAGTACCCGCGGGCGCCGTTCTGGGTCCAACTCTGCAGGGCAACGTCCTCTAAGACCTCGTCGCGCAGCCAGCCCCTATGCCCCTGGGTGCGGCGGCGATTGTGGGCTTTCGCTAGGTGCCGCGTGATGAGGTCGACGCTGGTTGTCCGGTAGGTACAGTGACGGCAGGCAACGCCGGTACGAGTGGCCAGCTGCGGATGGGCCGGCGACCAATCGGGGCGGAGAGGTAGGGTGTTGGGATCCGGAAGACATAGGGCGCGAACCAAGGGGTGGAGGCCGTCGCGCGACCGCTTTGGGATGGCATGTTTGTCAGCGAGATGCCGCGTCACGCAGTTGCCATTGGGCTGCAAGGCGTAGCCGCACGGGCGGCATAGCAACGCGGGCTCGGGCACATTTAAGACCAAACCGATTGCGGCAAGGCGCCGGTTGCGCTCCTCCTCTTGGAGAAAACACCAGTCGGGCTGGAGTGGCAGTAAGGCCTGCTCCAGATTTCCCGTCATATCGGGATACTCTAGCCAGGCTGCTTTACTACGCTGTCTACTCAAGCATTAGGGGAGTAGTTCGACTTGTAGACGCCTAGGACATTAGTATATGCGTACCTAAATATACTAGTTCGACCGGCAGCAGCAACAATATACTTTGGAGAGAGAAGAGAGCGTGACGGATAGACAGATATTAGAAAGTTTCTACGTAAATACCAATGCTGTACGGACTGTACCAATCAATCACAAAAAGAAGTAGGGAGTGGCAGGCAGGTTGGACGTCGGGATGTAACCAATCGGCCCCTATCCATGCATCCCACGAACCGAAGTCTGTTTCAGAGAGAACCCCGTGCTAGCCCAAATGGCGCTAGTGAAGTCAAGGGCTCAATTTCATAGAAGTGACATGGGCATTTTCATGTCAAATTTAATATAGATAGCATGTGCAACATCCTGAGATTAAGCTAGTTTCTATGGTATAACTAGAGAGCTTAGAGAGGAACTAAATTATACGAGAGTAAATGGACATTGAAAGTGGGAGTTGTGATTGATGGGGTGCCGGGTTTGCGACGCTTAGATCGTCGAAGAACGCTGGATCGAGATTAGCGTACAAAAATTGCTGGCGTCGCTTCGTTCGTCAGTCGCGCGGCACTTCGCTACGCTACGGGGCGCTTCCTTCCTCTCTCCCGCTCCTGGCAATTTTCCTGTCCCTCTCCGGAGGACAATCGGGGTTAGGGTTAATTACGGGACAGACGAAGCGCCAATATCTGTCCGTCGGCCAGCAACTCCATCTACTTGAGCCATCTACGAATCGTTTCTATCCCGCCACTCACGTTACGTATCTACACTCACGTCCTCGCTACTTACAAATCAATTAGACTCTGAGGGAACCTCCCCCGCCACAGCATCTAACGCCTGCAGTTGCCTGGTCGCGTGATCGGACAACTTCAACCCCATAGCTGGTGATGGTGTCTCGCGGTAGATCCTGCTGCGTTCGAAGGGCCGCTCAAACATCAGCCCGCGGAGTGTCTTCACCCGCGAAACGGCCACGTAGGAGAGGCCAGAAGCAAACTCTGGCGCAGAGATGTCGCAGACAACCTTGTCCAGGGTGATGCCCTGTGACTTGTGGACGGTGATCGCATAGCTGACCAACAGCGGGAACTGCTCTCTTGAACATGAGTTGGCGCCGACCATGAAGTCCTGCCGCACTCGGAGGATGGGAACAGCCAGCTTCTCTCCACTACGGAGCGGCTCCCCGTTCGGCATCGTGAAGGCCGGGCCGTCGTAGTCATCGAAGGCCACCATGATGACCTAGGGCGGGTCTCGCAGCACGTCGGTACCTTCTTTCCAGGATATGTCGTAGACTGTGCCCTGTGCGCCGTTGACGAGCCCGACGTCGGCCCACAAATTCCGCGTCAGCATCACCCTGCAACCAACACACAAGGGCAAGCGCTTGGCCAAGTTGCCGGCATTTGAGGATTCAACCTTCTCCGCACCAACACCCTCATGCTTTGCCTCGACCTGAATGGCGGGGCTGTCCAGGCCAAGCATGTGTTGGTGGTTGTACTCGACGACCTGGGTCTTGGTGGGATAGATGCGAAGCGTATCAGCAAAGCTGTCAACCTCCTCGGGAGAGAGCTTGACAGAGCATCTCGAAGCAAGGAGCTCCCAGGAGGGTACCGACACATCAGCCTTTCGCAGTTCTTCCAAGGCCCGCCGAAACGGGGCCTGGTCTTCGCCCTGCTGCCGCTGTATTGTGGTCAGAAACACCGACTTGTCGAATGAGAGGTAAGCATTACGCCCGACAATCTCGATGCCCTTTAGGTCGTCGCGTGTTGAGTATAGCGGCTTGTTAAGAACACGGGGGAGCTGGAAGAAGTCTCCAATCAGGATGACGCTGAGGCCGCCAAAGAACTCGTCGCGGTTCTCCGGAAACACCTCTCGTAGGGGCTGATCGATCCACGCGAGGGTTTTGAGGCCCAGCATGCTCTTCTCGTCGATCACGAGGTAGTGGATGCCCCTGAACCGCCGCTGCAGGGCGTTCAGGGTCGTCGGAGTCTCGGAGAGCGAGCGGTAATTTCCGTCGACGGGGAGCCGCAGCATGGAATGCAGAGTCTGTCCCCCTATCTGGTTGCTCGCCACGCCCGTCGGGGCGGCCCTGACAATGGGGGAAACTCGGCCATAGGAAGCTGCCTCGGCCTGAAGATGAGAAGAGATGACCTTCACCATGTACGACTTTCCAGTCCCACCTCCTCCGTCGATCTGTAGACGAAGGGGCGGAGGCTGACGGTTCTCGTTCTTGGCTCTGTAGTGGCGCATGACCGTGTCGTATACCTGCCGCTGCTGCGTGTTCAACGTGTCACGGGCTGCGAGAGGCATCTCTTCCACGTCGTAATTACCTGGAGCGTCTCCATATCGCGGCCTGGCACTTTCACTCGCGGAACGCGCTCTTCAGGGAGATTGTGGGGAAGTTGGAGGTCGGGGACCAGCCGGGCCACCTCCTGCCAATCCTCAAGTGTGATGTCCCCAGCATCCTCCCCTCGCTCGAATTCATCCTCTTCCGGCAGCGGTAACCCTAACCCTTTATCTGTTGACCCACTAGAGACAGACGTTACCTGGGAGTGGTTGAACAGAATTGTCAACCGCTGCCAGCGACACCATTGCTCGACGACCTACTGTCTAACCCTAAATCAACCTCGAGCAATTGTTCCGACTGGCGATGGGGGTGGTTCAGGAGCAGCTTGACGCGGCAGAAGTCAGAGTACTGCTGATGGGAACGGACCGGCTTGTACCGGGGGTAATAATACAACAACCGCGCGGTCAAACGCTTCCCACCTGTACCATCTTCCTCAATGTTCAACCATTGTTCTGTGGTGGAAGTGCGCGCCAGCTGCGTGGTCGGTTCCTGGGGCAGCTGTTTTGGGGT